CGCGTGTCGAGGACAAAAGCTTTGTAAAGAGAGTAGTTCAATGGAATCGTTCGGGCGTCGAGAGTACTTTGGGATACTTTTTGCAGAATATAAAAAACCGAGCCTGTTTTTCAACTTTAACCTTCGCTTGGCTGCTGTTAATGTTGAGCTCCAGTGGCCACTGCAAAGTTCAGTACATGAAACGAACATCACAGATGAATTCAACGAACACTAAGCCCTATTTGTACCTTTGATATTTTGTACTCCACGTAAATTGAGCACAAATTTGTATTGCTAACATTGGTTTATTGGTGAAACTGGAGAGCAAGAGATTACGATAATCATGTCTGCTGAGAAGGCCTTGGTGATAGAGTCTGTAATTTTCGCGTGCATCGTCATAGAACTCTTCATCTTTGCACTGATTCTTTACAAGGCAATGGACGCATGTACGTTATGCTATCGGAGACGGCACGACGCCAGCGACACGATCGCACTGAAAGAAGATCTGTACGCAAGAGCGATCTGTTATCAAAACCACGGGGAGGAACCGGGTGGTAGGGAGATTGGAGACCAACGTTCTGGTACAGTGAATGCCGTGACCGCTGCCATCCACGCGGATATGAGTGATGAGCAACCTTACGATGTACCGATCAGACGGAATACTACTACAGTAACGACCATTAGCCACAGCCAGAAAGAACTAGATGCTGCAGCTATTCAACTCCAGAACCATGGTCGTGATGGTTCAAACGACAAATCGATACCTATTCAAACGATAAGTCAGGATCTAGACTTAACTGCAGTTGTGGGCCATGGTCAATACTATTACGAGAATGTGATCTGTAGTAAGGACTTCAAAGATCCAGAAGTCGCGCAGACCCGGCTCCAGAACCAAAGTCTTCAAGGTTCAAGCAGCAAGGCAGATTCAGTCTACACCAGCATGAGTCAGGAGCAGATTAATCGAGAACCAGATACAGTTGTGGATATTCATGAAGGCAATGACGAAAGAATCGTTGCGACTCGGCTCCGCAACCATAACACTGGTGACTTAAACGACGAGGCAGCGACGGGCAGGAGCCACGCGCACACTTCTGGAGAACCGATCGGGGTAGTTGCTGTTCCTGCAAACGATTACGAGAATATGGTCTGGATCCAGAAACTCGAGGAACCAGATGTTGCCGAGACTCCATCCCAGACCAGGAGTCCTTATTCTTCGAAAGAAGAGATCGCCCCTGTTTACATGAGCAGGATTCAGGCGCAACCGTCTGAGAAACCGATTAAAGTAATGGATATCCCTCAACACACATACGAGAATACGATCTTTGTTGAAAACCTGGAAGAATCTGATGTTGTTGAGACTCGGCTCCAGAATCAGAGACCTGTTGGCCCAACCGGCCTCAGTGCAAGTGAGGGGCAGCATCAGGAGCCTACAAGGGAAGGAAATATATTTCTAGAAATGCTTGTTGATTCTACCATCGGTCAAAGCGACAGAGAGCCAAACTTTGAAGCGATTTTAATGGGAGCCTTTATGGAAAGCCTTGCTGAAAGCGTGGAGGTACTTCAAGGTGAAACTGAGGAATAGGAAACAAAAAGTAACCCCGTGTACAAAGAACCCGATTTTGGAAACTTCTAAGAATCGGAGTTTTTGAGAGCCAGAGAAATGTAAGACCATCACATGTAATGTATCAGAACATGTAAACCGTTCTGCTTGTCTGCAGGCTGGTATCACGCAACCGAACGAGCCCCATAGACACAAACTTCAAATCTGTTAATCGACAGTGAACCGCGACAGTTCTTTTGGCAGCAGACTGCAAGATAGTTTGCAATGCAGAAAAGAAACAGAGACAGGAACCAGAGTTCTAGACGGTGCTAAATGGAACTGAACTTAGCTGAACTCGGGGTATCTGTTTAAACAAACGGTAGCTCTAGTTTCTTGATGATAGTATCGCCCTGTATTTGAGCCGATGTTTAGGTTGAGATTAATTTCATCATTGCATTGTTATTTGTGAAGATGAAAAAAAACCCAAATTCTGAAACTGTCATTGCAAAAATGTATACGAGTTTATTAAAATTGCACATTTTGTGCAACTTTCTTCCCCTCGTAAGTTTATGAAAACTATTTGACATCCTTTGGGGTCAATTTGATTGAAAACTGCCCTTTTTTAAGCATTTAAAATTTCAGGACATGACAGCAAGATTCCAAAATTCTGCCAACTTGTGGTACTGCCTGAAATGACATCACGCTTTTGCTCATGAATATAAAAATTCGCATTAGCATAAAAACCACAAAAGGCACCAAAATACCCTTGAAAATGGCAAAACGAAAATTGAAAAGAAGTTTAAATGGGACACACAAATTTCGAGGATTGCATTAAAAATAATACATTGCATGGACCATATAAGCCCAACTTTCGTGATAATCAAGTGAATGATCCACTCACAATAATACGAATCAAATCTTCAATTAATGTCCGTGCTAAACATCTTGAATTTCGTGTCCAAGAACACAACATGCATGTATAAATCTCAAAAGATCAAACCGTGACAAGGTTGAAATGTAATTACATTTTATCTGGATATAACTTTATGTAAGTTTTATCAATTTCCCTTTTAAAGTGAAGAAAATCGCATGCAATGACATTTGAGGTACATGATGCTCCGGAATTTTCCTGTAAATAAATAAAGAAATATATCTATTGTTTTCCTTCTATTTTACGTTGTTTGTTTATTTCTTCTGAACACAAATCGCACTGTAAGGTCCAGGGGCGGACCTACGTTTGGATCCAGAGGGAGGGGTCAGCTTCCGAGAGGGAGGTTTAGCAGGCGTTTGCAGTGTTTTTCTGCATGATTTTCTTTATTTTGTTGCGGTCCACCCGTACGTAGATCCGCCACTGAGGCCTCGCGTCATGCTCTCGTGATTTTCACCTTGAAATTAATTGGGTTTTCAGCTCCAACCAGGAAGTGTATGCAGTAAAAATCAAACATTTCATCGACACTGTTCACAATTGTGTATAACCGTGTGTAAGCAAATTCAAGGGCAATCGTGCAGGGAGTATTTCAGTGAGTAAAGTCGGCTTTGTCCCGAAAAAAGGGACATTGAGAAAAGGGTGAACTTGATGAACTTTCCATTATTGAAGGTACGCGGCGTATATAGGGATGAACATTTCGTTTGGAAAAGGTGACTGTAGACCCAACTAGTACTGAAACTCAACTGCCAAAAAGCTCAGCTCAATCTAACCCTAAGCTCAGTCCAATGTGATAGCACCCATCTTGACAATGTTATTGCTCCATTTGTTTCTTACTCATTAATCTTCGACTTGAAGGGATTCTTCTCCTTTCCCCTCTCAGTCATTTAATAGGCACCATCGGTTTGATCCTTCATCTTGATGGCATTAAACGGCACTTTGTTCCGCCTGCCTGCACCCCTCATTGAATTAGGCGGACAACAGAGGGGGCAAATTGGCCGTGCAGCTGCCCGCTAACTTGATCGCCGCCCCCGCCAAACCGAATTTGTCCCAGCCCGTCTGTTATTCCACCGCCGCTCATCAAGGCTGTTACGCCGAGATGAAGAGCAGATAAAATAAGACGGAGGAAGATGGAATCGACTTGAGATTCGCGGAGCATTTATGCGGGATAATTAAGCTTGCGCGGCCCCGTCAATTTTCGAGCGGGGACCGGACCGCCAGTGTAGGCTCGGGCGGGCTTTGCGCCGCGCTCAACCCAGCGGAAGTAATGAGCCTTGATTCGATCATATACCGGCTGCTTGCTGAGCTTATAACACATCAATAGAATGTCTATTCTCCCCTTTAGCTCTGTCTCCCTCCATTTTTCTCGATGATTGTTTCTTATTTTTGCAAGTGGACGGTCACGGTTGGAAAATCCGAGAGTTGCAACAGTATTTTCAATAATTATCCCGTGATGAACTGCGGGGTTTCCGCTCAAGGCTATGCCTCGCGCTTGGGCGACGGGAAAGTAAAGGACTGGACTCTCCCAGAATCGACTTCTGCTGTTGCTTGGTCGTTCTGTACATCAAGAAGCGAGAGTCATTTGACGGTCTGACGTGTGGATGACGTCTTCGTTTAAAAAAAGTCATCTTCTTGTGTCTGATGACAGAAGTTAGATTCACCTCTAGGAAGACTTGTATGACTCGTGACTCGGACTCGGATTCGAGTCCGACTTGAGTCCAATTTTCCGTGACTCGGACTCGGAGTCGAGTTACGATGACATTAATGACTCGGACTCGCACTTGGACTAAATATACCACAAGTCAACCATACGGTGTAATCATTATTTTGAAGAGTTTTCTCGAGTAAGCAGTACAGTCAGTGCGGTGCATAAGAAACGCATCTAAGTACTGTATATACGCAACGCGTGCGGCTGGCTTGTTTCCGATATATTGATTTGGGAAATCAATGTATCGAAACATGTACGGTACCCAAGCGTCCACACTTGCTTTTGAGTAAATGTAAGTTGGATAGTGTCAGGTACCAGATTATCATTTCCAGACAATGGTGGCTTGCCTTATTGTTAATAAATCAGAGAAAAAGCTGTGAAAAAAACATTTGCACTGTGAGGTTTGAGCAGTACATTCAAAATGTATTTCCAATATTATTAAAGGTGACTCGTGACTCGGACTCAGACTCGGACTCGACCTGCATGAGTGAATAGTCGCATCGTTCTTAGATCAAGAGGGCGCTCTTTGATGACCTCAGATGTAACGCAAAATGACAATGTTTTCATACATTTCTAATAGTTGTTTTGGAAAGAATGTTGCATCCTGACGCCATTTTTTTTATCATAATCATCTCAATGAAGGTCAGTCATTGCAAAAATGCTCGAAAAGACCGACATGAATCTGCGACTGAAAACATGTTGAATTCCAGAAAATACTTTGAAAATGCACCCAACTCTCCATAAACTTTGTACACAACCAAAGAAGTGGCGTCTGGGTACTACATTATTTCCATTATTTTCTATTTGAGGCTTTTTTCTTCTTCAAAAAAGCTAGATAAGTACACATCTTATCAATGCAGTTTGATGTAAAATTTGGTATATTTACTTCCTCAAGCAGACTACAACAACGCCCTCTTGCGTTTCATATAATTTATATCTAATAACTAGTATCTAGTAGACTCTGGGTGGACCTAGGCACTATCAACATTCTGAAAGACATTGGGCTAGAAGCTGGATGCATGATAAAATGGTGCCGTAAACAAAAGGAAACAAATCTGTTTACGCGCCAATTACATGAACAACCATTTGCAGCCTTTTTTATAATCACAAATTTAAATGTTCGGCGTAATTTAATACACGAATACCAATCTCTTGAGTTCTGGTCATTTTCTTCGAATATCCGCTTTAAAACCTCATATTCTAAATAAAAACACTATCTTGATTATTGGAGTACGCCATTAACAATATTCATAAACAGATTATTGACAAGAGTTACAAGTTTATATCTATACATGATTGTCATAAACGCATGGAAATATGTGAGCAAGTATGACAGCTGATTCGTCAAAGATCAAACAGCATCGTGTCCATCCAGTAGTACCATACAAATTGGGAATAAGGTGGTTTTTTGGCCACTCTGTACTAGGAGTGTACAAAATGCCGCTTCAGAAATACTTTGATACAACTGGCTATATCACATCAGTCTATAGAACGTGGCTACACAGCCGCGTCAAAAGACGTATGTGTATGCAAGCTGTAGCCATGTTGAAGCGGCCGTACTCGATCTTTGTGGTTTGAATACAGCGCCCTCTGTGGACGTCCCGAAGGGCGCCACCAAGACATAGTTCAACAGGATAGATCTTCCTCCTCATCGTCGTCGTCCACAGCTGGCAGGCCCGGCGGGGCCACGCTCATCCTCCTCCTGGCCGCGGCGACCCTGGGCTTGAGGGCCTTGGGAGCCAGTAAGGTCTGCAAGGCGTCGATGGAGTGCCGCCTAGGCTTGACGCGAGGCAGGTTGTTGTTGATGCTCTTCTTGCCAAGCAAGAGCAGCGTGACGTTGCCGTCGGGGTCCGTGGTCTGCCACCTCTGGGGGCTAATAGGGGAGCAAGAATTGGGCAGAAGGGGGACTAGGTCCCCGATCTCTAGGACCTTGAATTGCAGGAAGGCAGAGTTGAGGGGCCTACAGGTGCAGTCGTCAGGGACGATCTTGAGGGCTAACTGGACGTCCATGTTCCCGCTGGCTGCATGCACGACAAAGTAGCAGAAATCGTCTTTTTGGTACTCCACGTCCCTGCCCAACAAGAGGCAATAGAATCGTATCATGTCATGCCACGTATCGCGGCTGGTGTACAGCATGAATCGTAGGTGCTCCTTGCCGTAATGTACCTGCCTAACGCCCCAGAGCGGCATCTCCTGCTCGGTGGTGTAAAAGTTCAGGTTGTTGGGTTCGCAGAGGTACACTCTACTAGGCGTGGTAGCGTGATGGTGGTACTGCCACGGCTTGCCCGCCAGATACTCCCGGGCCTCGGCGACTCTGCTCCCGGATCCGTCAGCGTCATCGTCGTCGCCGTGGCTCAGAAACAGCACCACGGATAGGGCCGGGAACACGTCCCTCCTGCCGTCAAAACTCCCCCGGAAGCCGTTTGCTTTGCTCCGCTCGGCTATGTTGAAGAGCTTGAAGGCCGGGTCGAACCACTTGACGAGGGGTTGGATGAGGTTCTTGGTTTTGGAGCCCCCTCCCGGGTCGGTGACAAAGTGCAGCGTCAGGGCAAACGGGTCCTTCAGTTGTCCCGCCTCCGATGTATAGTCACCTGAATTGTTAATATTAAAAATGCTTGGTTAGCAACTCCAGTGCACATTCTAATGAATACATGTACATTTATCACTCTCAAGAGGGGGCTAGAGGCGAAGCTTTGGTTCTCCATTCCCTACCGTGACAAGATATACGAACTAAAAATTAATGCAAGTGGTTCATGTTGAGCATAGGACACCGTTTTTTGCTAAACTGGATGGGCAAAACAAAGGGAGTTTAGCAGAAAATATTTTATTAATAATCCGGTATGCAGTGTGTTCAGCACAGTCATCGAATGAGGGCGCCAACTTACAAGGCATTTTGTCGACAACACCACCAATTTCCATCGGGAATAATTAACAAATCGGGGCATAATGACTCCACAGAGAAGAGGAATCTCATGTCACGTGACAGGCAGGTGAAATTGACGGGATACAATAAAATGTTTAATTTCAAGTTAAGTTCTCTACAGCTTTCGGCCTAATATAGACCTAACCATGCCACTAGAATTCAAACAAATTCACGTCTGGTGCATTTTACTGAATTGTACCACTCAGTTCATCACAAAGACAGATTTAACATCTTCAATACAACCACGAAAACCTACGAATTAATCACCTATTATTGTATGAATCATTCAATTCATTATCTCATTATTAAAAATGATGTTTGAAAATGAACAGCAGATTCATTTTTTTTGGCATTTTTTTGCAGTTTAAGGAGTCAATGAAAACTCAAATACTCACTGGGTTGGTATGAACCGTTTGAGTTGCTCGGTGACGTCATTTCGTAGGGCGGGGCAGGATCAATAGGCACCCTTCAATATGAAATACAGAGAGGAAAATAAACAATTATTTTAAGATGCTCTGTAAACCTCGTCCGTTTCAGCCATCTTAGGTGATTTTTTTTACGGGGGGGGGGGGTACTTTGATTCAGTGCATTTTTGTATAAGAAATCCATAAATCTGCCTATCATTGTGGAAGCGAACCTCTAGATGGCTGTAAATTAGACATTATTTTTGCCTGATGGCGACATGACAACTTGAAAAACCACATCAAATACACAGCCGCATATTTATCATACTATAATTTATCTGTGTGAAAAAAAGAGCAATAAAATGTTAGTATACAGGGGAAAACTGAAGTTTAGCATTGGTCGAGCCTAATACGGGAAAGCCTCGGTTAGAATGTAGCATTTACATTACCCTGGCGCAAATTTCATCTACTGTACAGGGTGCCCCCCTCCCCCCCCCCCCCCCCCAAAAAAAGGTTACACTTTTCAGATGCAGATTTTTCAACATTGGGGAGACATACTGATGTTATTTAAGACATTCCTAAACTACAAGCTGTCGATGGCATATGGTGAAAATGGCTTTAAAATAAAGCCTAAATTAAGAAATGACGGCCATTTACACAGAAATGGTCGCAAACCAGTTATACATGCAAGCATGAAACTTGGTCAAAACAGTATAGCACTGCGTGCACAAAGAACTGCCATAACGATGACCACACATGTATCCAATGTGGACAACCTGGTTTCGGACTATTTTTACCTAAATGGCCGTCATTTCTTAATTCAGACTTTATCTTCAATTCCATTTTCACCATATGCCACCAAGACCATGTAGTTTAGGAATATCTTAAAGGAATTTCAATATGTCTTCCCAATTTCGAGAAATCTGCGTCTGAAGAAGTGTAATCTTTTTTGGGTGCCACCATGTACAAGGTATTTGCTAAAAAAAAAATTACATCGATAAACCATTGACCAAGGCAGACGGCTGGCGAGTGCATGTTAACCGGTACTCATGTTTCACAAGTGCTACATTAGTCCGGCATACCGGAGACAGAACAAGTTGGTATAATATAGGCGTAAGTAACCTACGTGTAGGATCCAGTCTTTCCCGCAAGCCACGCCGCAAAACGGAGCATCCCTGTGGGGTTCGAGCGCCTACCGGCCCCATCACATCCCGAGACAGACACGGTGGAATTACCAAGGCAGTCGTAGAATTATACATCAGCCACAAATGATCATGCACATTTTCCAACTGTGTATAGTCTCAATTCAATAGCCGCTGATGATATTGCTTCGCATGGAGTAACGGACTCGACAGCCTGCCCATATTGATTTCAGTGTAATGTATTCTGATCGCTGAGCTGCCGACTGCTTATTTAAGTCCAAACCCTAAATGGTTGGTATCGATTCGGCGCACATAAGGCATAGAGAGGTTTCAATGAGAACATTGCATTAATCGACTCTCTTCTCGATGCCCGTAACGGTTGGATGCAGATTCGGTGTCGCGGGTAATTGAAATGGTAGTGTAATCCTATTTGGGATGAATTTGAGCCGAAAGGCAAATTCTGTAAATTTCCCTCTCCACAAAGGAATACCCTTTAAAAAGAGTTTCAAATTGTCAATTTTTCATATACACTCTCTCCCCTACTATCAATTAGCCTGACAAAGTAACATGTTGGGAATGTTTGATCATGCAGCAGTTAATTTGTCATTCACGAAAAGTTTGGACATTAATGTAGAAAAAAGATCTTATCATTTTGTGCTAAGTTCTATAAGGGTCTTAAGATGGCGTCCTCCAAAACCACGTGAGGTAGAGTGACCAATCACTTGGCTGGGCACGCTCATTAATTTGCATTTCCAGTAGGCTAAGTCGTGTATTTTTAGTCTCAAAATTAAGCGGTTGTTGCCCTTTCTTACAGGCCTATATACATGAGTAAAAATTAATAAGAAACATTCGTGCTTGTCAACTTGAGTGGAGGAGCAGTGACCAGTGACCAGTGAACAGGGGATCGATTCCGAAACTAAGTGCTCTGACTATTAAAAGGCTAACGGAGAACAACCGAATAATCCTCTTCGGATCGACTGCAAAAATCGATTCTGGAGTTGCCACACTTTGAAATGACATCCACAGTAAAACATTTTGCATGATGTCATTACTGAATGCCTCGTTTGAAATACAATAGCGTTTAATGGCGTAAAGGTTTGGCGCTAACATCTTAAAAGTTCTGGCTGGCCGGCAGGGTCGTGATATCGTCTTGTATATTGAAGGTATATTATTTGCTGTTCATACAGTTTGTCGTTTCTGATAATAACACCACTAAAAATCCAAAGAAAAATGTTCAAAACCTAACCTGTTAAAGTTTCCGCTCAGTGGAAATTAACTTTTCGAGAAAAGAAAAATCACGCACAACATTTTGATCATGCACGAAACACGATTTCGGTATTGAACTCTTTATTTTAAACGATCAGTCAGTTGAGTGCTTGTTGGGTATATATCACCTACATTTCTTGATTTCTTCTAAATGACAGCAAGCCAGACGGAATAACTTCACGCGGTGTTTAGTACCATTACGATCTTTAATCGGAATAAGCTTTTTGGTTACTTTTGGGATAAATGCAAATCCTATATGTGCCTTTGAAGTTCTTTGTCTGCAGGAGGAAAGTTGCGGTACACCGTGTGAGGGGTGGCTCCGAGAAGCATTATTAGAGGTTGACCTTTCAGTCTAGGTGTCTGAGCTGCGTGACCGTCATTTCTCTCTCCACGACGGTCACAGAATACCGATGGAAACGTCGAGTTGAGTTAACACATGCATGCATTTCTTACCTAGAAGAACCATTCTTTGATTTAAAGCACTGCACATCTTATGGTGTATCCACAAATTTCATTAAAAAAATGTACTATATCCATTTTGAAAAGCCCGAAATTGCATTACTTATGTGGTGAAGTAAACTTGTTCGTGTGTTGTACAACGGCTTTACTATATATAGTAAACCCCATCACATACAGAATTGGTCGTGGAAATTTGACAAAAACCAGCCCACAATAGGTAAACCCGGCCAATTCACAGTGGAATTCCCTCTCATTGTACCAACCTTTTGCATTTATGACATTCACTCGCTTTTACCCCTTTGGGGAAAATATAAAAACTGGTATTTTTAAAGTTGGTTCACTGAGTTTGAAGAGAAAGATATCAAGTTACGACCGCAAAGTCCAGTCCCACACTCTTGCTACGATACATGGACTCTCTGTATTTGTTTAATAAGTCGATGGAAATGCAACAATGGTAAAGTAATAAGAAATTTCCCAATTGAAATGTATGGATGTTTAAACTTTGGTAGACTGTATTTCTGGCCAGGATCACATTATTTGTTGATGCATTTTATGTTCCAATCAATCAAACTATTACATGCAATTGATTCCCTTAACAATAATATGCAAGACTAAATTTGCTGTTGACCTCTCGACTCTGATCGAAGGGGGTTGGAGAGTGGAGTGTTACCATTCGACGCGTTAATTTTGTGATGAGTTTTTAGCAGATAATTAATAAGTATTTTCCGAAACGTTGATAACAATATACTAATCACTTAAAAACAAAAAAAGGTAGCACAATGATATTGATTTTATCGCAGAAATCAAAGCCGTAACTTAAATTTGGGTTATGGTAGTGTGCTGTGCATAAGAGCAAGTTAACTTGAAATGAAAACTAATATTCTGAACTCATACTGTTTCAGCTTTGAACTATAATTGGATTCAATTCAAACACAAAATGTATTGGTTTCACATATAAAAAACAAGTACTAAGACTGATAATGAATAACATAGATCACAAACTAGAGGCAAGTTGCAAAGACAAAGAAAATCATGATCTGTAACAACGAGGGTTGAGATTATTTGCGATCACAATGATAATGTGGTGCTTATATCATGGAGCTATAAATTCTATACAAAAAAATGCTTTACAAGTATCACCCATGTTCATCAGACCATGAAACCAGTTTTTTTGCAGCAGCAGCTCGAGATCAAGGCATTCTGGTCTTTACCTGCACAGCTACCCTCTTTATACTCCTGGGTGGAGAGAGGCAATTGTAGGTGTCTTGCCGAAGAACACAGCACCATTTACCTGTCTGGGTTCGAATCCAATATAGAGGGAAGACGGTTCCAGATGTTGGATCACAAATAGAAAAGAAATCGAATGAAAGGTAGCAATAGGCTTATCTAATTGCCGCTTCCAGTGACTAATAACTATTCAAGCCATTCCACCATCTGCGATGCATATACATTTTAAGTGACCACTTTGACACTTGATCGGGAAGTGTGGCCTAGTGGTTAGGGTTCGTGATTCATGATCAGAGGGTTCGAATCCAGCTGCTGGCCATATGTTGTGCCCTTGGGCAAGCCACTTCATCTCCACTCGCCTCTCTCCACCCAGGAGTATAAGCGGGTACCGGCATCAGCTGAGGAGGAGCCTACGATTGAATAGCATCCCATCCAGGGGGAATAGAAATATTCTCAGTAGTTTAATGCTACTGTATCCGAAAACCAACGCCGGTTTGATGGGCCTCATTTGGGTTGTGACAGACTTAACTTATTACTACTTTTACCATTTGATGTTGAGAAGTGCAGCCTTGGACTTCGCGGACACCGCCTTCCCTCGCTGGAGTTTTCTGGATTTCGATCTTTTCGGGGCGACAGCCTGGTGACTTCCAGCAGCAAAGGCAGGGGGCGGAGCCAGGAGGGAAGGAAGTGGAGGCGTTGAAGAGGATTCCCTCCCCTGGGAGGCTGACATGGTTATGGGCCGGGCGGTGAATAAGTCCGGGGACAGGGACGTTGTGTACCGCAGCTCGGCGGGGCAAAACAACCCGGTCACGGCGGGCTTGCACCGGCGCAGACTTGTCTCATTTCTCCCCTGGTGATCGATTTTATCACAGTAGGTTCTCGACACTTCAACAGAGAGTCATCTGAGCCCAGGCTTTCAAAAAGAAATAGCTGATTTGAAGAGAACATGGAGGAATTCAAACTCTGATGCTGTGTTTACGTCTACAGTCTTCTCGTAGTATGAATATTGTCCTGCCAATCAGCTTGATGGAAGTTTTACTTCGACGCTGTGACTATATAGTTCCATCGAACAGTGTATACCCGGCCCCGCGCGGCGGAAACCATTCGGGACAAGATGTTTGCACAAAGTCACGGCAGTCCCGTTGGTTCATTGTTCGGCAGTTGGCAACTCCAAGCAACTTGGCAAATATTATTGGCGGTGAAGTGATGGTGAGGTTCGCACGAAATGGAGTCAAAGAATAATACTCCGGAGGGAAATCCACAATGGAAGTGATCGCTCCAAGTCTTCGTGTGTGGAAAATCGCTGTCTGGATGTGCAGCTTTTAGAAATATTAAGGATGAGGGCCAGTCTTGAAGTCCTGAACTGTGTGTCTCAAGCAAGACTCAGAGAGTGTATGACATCGACTATAATGTTGTGAACTAATCGGTCGCGGGACACCTCCCTACCACTTTTCTGCTGTGTACATGTATTGATTATAACGGTCTATTTCTGGCATCAATGTCCAAGTTTTTTTGTCCCAACTGACACGGGACAGTCCTAAGCCCTCTAGTGGGGATCAGTATTCATTCCAGCTGTTAATCTGCCGCTAATCCCCATTTTGTTTAGGGCCTAATCGGCTTAACGGTCAATGGACGCTGTAAAAACAACATTCTGATTATACAGTGAAAGTGATAGTCTTCCAGATCCACGGCCGGCCTTTCAGATGAAGATCGATGAAATATGTGCGCCGGATGGAATAGGGGTAAACTCCACTGCTAGAAATGTTAAAATCCAGTCTGTCTCACTTTAAAAAGAAGTGCATAATTGAAATAACAAAAATATGAGCGATAAAAAGAAATATTTCTAACACCATCAACTGGATGTTGAAAAGATGTAGTTGGAGAGTTTGTGCTCTACATGCAGCTAATTCGACTGAAGCATATTCAGGAAAACGGTATCGTTAGGTAGTTGATAATGTGATCTTAGAAGTTGCGAACGTATTTATATACACCACGGGTTTCCTTATTCAATTATTCCATCACGTGTTCTTCCGATTTGATTTGAGGAAAACCAATGTGAATACCTCCATACAAAAAGTAAAGCTGCACAAAGTTTACAGAAAAGGTTGATGAAAATCAAATCTGAGTAGACGCAAACTTATGGAACCCCATTGCGATCTTTTAAACGCGTCAAGGAAAGGAAAACATGCGGAAACAACACTACATTATACTAAAATTCAGTCAATATTGACCAAGAAACAATACCTCATTATCATATACTTGTAAACGGAGGCCATACAACTTAGGACAATCTCCTCCAAGATAATTAAACCACACACTGGAATGGTTTCGTGGAGTTGACACTCTTCAGAAACGGTCTAAAACAGTCAAAAGAACCACATGATACTACACATCATCCATGTCCGTCCAAGAATGTTGCAGCCCTGCCTTTTTGCCCGTACCTTATTCTCATTTTGTACAATTATACAAGGCCCCCAATTTGTTGCTATTTGTAAAGCGTTTACGTCGCTATAGAATCTTGGTTATACCTGGTGGGGTATTCTACGCAGTGAACAGGATCGGTGGTGCGAACAGAATTGGAGTGGACGGCAGTTACTTGGGTAGAAAGAAACATCGCTTTGAGGAAGAAGTTGCCTTTGGAAGACCGACAAACTATGAGAGAGAAAACATCAGACCCTTTTCACGTTTCAGGTTGTCAAATCGGTATTTGGCGGAAGCAGATTGATATCAGGTTTCAGGACATCATCTAGATGTATAATATTTACCCCAAAAGGAAGCCCGTGCATACATTAATTTACTTCCGACTGATCGCCACAACTTTTTGTTTTCTTTTCAAACAGTTATGCGTAATTGCGAACGCTTTGACAAAAAGTTTCTAAAATGTGTCCAGATTTTTTTTGCTGCATCGGCCTTGCAAGAATGACCATTACGGTTTCACAAGAGGGCGCATCTAATGTGAGCAGTCCGCGATGAGGGAAAACAAACAAGTGCACATTGTGAATTGCAAATAGCAAACTCAAGATCATTTGAAGCAGTAACGTAACTTGGAGGTGTTCTCTTATCAGGGGCCACTGAGGAGCATGTCATTTACAGGTGAAGGAACGCAATGGGTTTGGTGATAGTTTCAATTAATTTAATAATGTCTTGCCTTATTCTTCGAGCTGGGGGAACAAGAGGGGCGCATGCGCCGAGCCGGGGGGAGGGGGTATGACTCCAATGCACTAATCGGAAGCACAGATTTATAGAAACACACATTTATTGAAAGTTTGGAAGTTTGCAATTCAAGTTTCAGAACACAGTAAAATATTAACTGATAGGTCACTGCGATAGGTACAAACTAGGATGTTTCGTGCAAATGTGCAGCGCTGGTTTCACCCCAAAACACAATGCAGCCTTATAGAAAACCTCTACACGTGACAAAGATGGACAAAGCTTTACCGCAACCATATATCCCCGGGCGAAACTCAAACATTTCTTCCCGATCCACTCGTCTTCACCTCCCGTTCCCTTCTTTGGCAGAAAAGACCCCAAAGCAGATTTTATGTCAACATGCCCAAACAAATCCATCTCAAGAAGATGGAGACCCAGAATGAAAGATGTAGCAAAGCGGCTCTGTTTACTCGAGATGACGACGGAGCAAGAAAACGACGTGTATTATTTACGGTAAACTCCACCGCACAATGGACGGGAGTGTGTGCCCAAGGATTTGTTTCCGTGGCCCGGTGAATTGGTAAGGGTTCTCTTACCGATTTCAAGGTGGACAGCAGTGGGCAGGGAAACCCGAGGAATGGGGGCCTGGGCCTCGGTGATGGGCCAGTTTGCCGGCGCCAAACCCGGACTTTAACAAGAGAAGGTCTTTTACGTAGTACCAAAGTCACGCGCTCATAGCCTCCCAGTTAAAGAGAAAAGCCAGCATTTTGATAAGTTGATCAAGAAATCTAACAAGAGGGGAGCTGACTTTTGAAAAATATAGCTCAGTATAAGAAATTCAGTTTCGCAGACGTACATGTATGGCTAAGAGGGGCTAATGAAGCACACTTCGGCGGGGATCGCCGGCCTCAGCCCAACCCTATCTCCCTAGGATCAGCTGATGCAGCACAGATAGCATCATGCGATGTCCGACTATTATTGTCAGTCACAGGCAGCAGTGATCTTGTTATCCTTTGCGACTGAGGACTTGGGACAATGGGGAATTTGTGGCAACAAGAACCCCGAGGACCTGAGCCAAGTCCTCGGGAGGTTTTCGTGTACAAACCTTTTGGGAGATGTTGAGACAAAGTTGAAGTACAAACAACAGGGAAAAAGGAAGGGAACAATAAGGCGGTCCTCAAAAGGACAGGATAACACAACTGGGTGCGTTGTTCGGGATTGGTCGAAACTTATTGGCATAAAAAAGAGACTCCAAAGCTATTGTATTGACTAGGAAGAACACAATGTTTGTAAAAACTTATGAGAAACATTTTTCAAGCCTTGTGAGTGTTGGGAGATCGTGCGATAAGAGCTTTATTAAAACTCATCACCCAAAGGGTATACTCTCATTAACTGTTACAGGCATGATTTTGTCAATAGCTATCGTCCTTGCACACCGCTATGTGTTAATCTGGACTGAATAGGGATTACACGTACTCGTAATATAACGGTTTCCTACCTTTGTCCCGGATCTGTACATTATTCAGCTCTCTAAAGTTTATTGTGATGAGGACGAGGGGCTTATTTTGCTCTTAGCTGAACTGAGGTTTTGGCTCTGATAGTACGGAATTACATGTGCTCACGATCACTGCACTGAAAGTGCCAGCGCAGTAATAACTTTGCGCCAACCCTCTGACGTCCAAATACTTTACGAAACGCCGCGGTTCGGATTCCAGTTCAGATTCATGTGGAGGGCAAACTACTAACGACCTTAGACCTATACGTTTCTCTACTTCAAAACTCGGCTGCAATTCTATAGAGCCGTCTCAAAAAAAGAAAGTAGACACTACTTATTGCAGAATTCCTTGCGTTTCATTCCGCTTCATCAAGTTTTGACTTAAATGTGATGGCATCGAGCTTTTTACAGTTGCTTTTAAGGCCAAAAAGGGAGAGTAAATGGGGACGTTTAGGCCCACTTTTGTACCCTTAATTGCCATCACTTTTCAACACAAAGGTTACTGGCACTAACTTCGTACATAATAAACTGGTCATTTGACAGGTAAGGACGTCCTGCCTAGTCGATGTAGCAAAACTTTTGTGTCTTTAGATTCAGTATGCCGCAAAATTTGCTGACAAGAATGAGGCATGCCCTTTGTGTCTTTATACTGCAGGTGAAGTTAACGATAACTTGCCCGTGCTATTTTCAAGTTTCACCTCGAGTGATATAATTGTTTTAACTGCTTTATAGCAATATAAAAGTTATTTACTTTTGATTGAAACACTAAAAGGAAATTCCACCGACGTTTAGGTATTGAATTATTTCTTCACAAAATTTGAATTATTGGCAGCCAGACAATAATTCAGCTCTCGCGGGGCGGGTTATTTGTGCACGAAATGAAACCCCTTTTCAGAGGGTTGAAAACGCTCGACATCGGAATAAACTATAGGTAGAGTTTTTTTTGGTAAAAAAAAAAAATCAAAAATTCGTTAGGAGAAAAACCTCAATCATTATCTGGTTTGCTAAGGCTCTCTAAATCGAAGTGTAAAATATAACATTGAAAACAGCTTTTGTTATAAATCACATCATGAAAATGCAGACAGACTACGAAGAGAAGAGAATAAAGGAAACAATCAAATAAAGAAGACAAATAAAATATAAAAATGAATAAAATAAACAAACAAACAAACATAAACCAAAATCAAGCACTACGATATAAACTAGGGGTATCTATTCGAGTTCAGGATGTTATACAGCGCGTCCCGAAATACCCCCAACATTTTTTTTTTGCGAAGCTCTAGTGTCGCCGCAGAAACACATTATTCCTTGTATAAAGTATTGGTTTGATTTTCAAAAGGGTTTGGAAATTATTCGTTTTCAACTAATGGTATTTCAAAAACAAACTCAACCGATTTCAAGGGAAATCAATCAGACATGCGCATTTTTTCTAATGTGACGATGTCATTGCCTTTTACTTTCTTTGTTTCCTTTTCTTTTCGATCCACGTAAACTACACCTTAAATCGATTCACGATATTATTATTCGTTTCAATGTGTTTTAATATAAATCCACTGTTTTTGTTTGCTATTGCAACAGCTTGTTGACTCGAGTTTTCATCTGATGTACACCGCATCATCGAATTTGTCTTGAAATCTGCTGAGTGCACTTTTTCGACTGCCTTTATTTTGAATACAAATAATTTTAAAACTTTTTTGAAATATCAAAACAATATTCGCCAGGGATAAAGTTATTATTCCAAGCTTTAAAATGGTATGGGGAAAAAATGGCGGTAGTGTTTCCGCGCCGACGATAGAGTCTCGCCAAAAGAAAAGTTGCGGGTATTTGGGACGCGCTGTACAGTCGTCAAAATCCACAGGAATTTTAGACGACCATACTCAGAACGTTTCATTAGTTGTAAGAATACTATAACGAGCTGCCTTGTGGCCTTCCAAAGGATTATTTTCGTGAAAGGCCCAAGCCTATAATAGTGCGGAATAGCGGTCAGGGATTACAAGGGTTGACACTACCGTGTCGCTATTGTCGGCAGTGCCGTGGCCCTCCGCTTAATAACGGCGGAGCATTTACGGGGTTTCCCGGCTTAGCTCCAAGGAATAACAAAGATCGTGTGGGTCTTGTAAGAATGCGCCGAGCCCCCGGTAATCATTCAGAGATAATTACTTGCACCGTTGCGTACTGGATACCTTTTAAATTACTTACAAAAACACATCTAACGGTACATAATTATGGTCTGTAAAATTGGGACGAAAATGCTTCAGCTCACTATAGTAGGCCCACACACATTGTAGAGACACGAAAGAAAATGCACGATGGAGCATGGACACCTCGAGTAGAACTTTGCAGTACCGAAGACTGTCAAAATGTCGAGTTGGAGTGAGTTTGATTCTAGAGCTTTTCAAAATTGACAAAGAAGTTCGCGAGGGATGGCACTGTTTTACCTCCTGTTGTGAAAATTGAATATCATGGTCTTTTCTAAACATGCTGAAATTCATTGTTGTGAAGACCGGTTTTGGTCGTCATGATTGGCTTCCCTATCGTGATGCCTCTCCCATATCTCCTTTTAATCTAATTCCTTACTTACGAATATTAATACGAATGAATCAAACACCATACACTTCCAGATCCAGGGACGATTCAAGAAATAAGACATGTGGGGCCGAGGCTGATCTCATATTTCGAGTGAAGAAACTCAGCTTGATAAAAAAAAACTCAATTCTCAAACATCTCAATTTAAGTCAACATTCTTGAACCACAGTTCTTGAAGACTTTTCTGGGGTTTCAGCCCCCCCCCCCCCGACCGAATTCACCTAGTCCCGTTTATGCCAGCCAATGTTCCCATAGCCGAGCCATGTGAGTTCGTACAGATAGTTATGTTATACTCACCCTTCTCACTTAGTTTTCTCACTCATGCTACAATTGGCCAAGGTGCACTCAAAACATTGTCACCTGAAAGATTCTCCTTGCAACCAAACCCCGATCCGAATTTTCCAAGGGAAATGTCACTCTGGCGTGTCCAAGCAGATGCAGTCCAACTGCAATCCCACGCGAGTGACGCGACTTGTAATACCGCTCAGTGCTTGCATAAGCCTGCAGTTCCCAAGACGAAATTTGGAGTCGCGCTTGGTCTTCAAACACAAATCTTCAGTGCTCCGAGGCAGACTTAAACGGCTGATCTGAGTAGCTCAATTTACTACTCAGATCTTTTGCAAGCTGACAAAGTGATTTGCTACATTTTTATCTAGCTACATTGGATTGAATTTTTGAATGCAAAACTGATCTGAATGACGTCGGGAAGTGTATGTTATTTTTGAAAAGAGGCTTCACTCTACGAGAAGAATTTGAGGCATCAAACAGAAACTATTTTGCAGCTGAAGACAATTAAGCGTGCATCCGTTTAAACAGAAGTTCAAAAGTTTTTGAGTTTTCTCTGCGTCAGCGCGCAATATTATTGCCTCAGCCGTAAACAAACAGTCTGTGTTTGCAAGAAGCCCGGTTCCGTGTGTGAAGAATTTGATTTTTATACCTCCAGGGGAAAAATCGATATATAGCAGTTCCTTGCTAATTGCGTCAGGTTTATTCACACTCATGAATGGAATGGGATCATTACGAGAGGCGTCTAAATGGTGTCTAGTTTGGATAATGATGCAAGGAGGTAACAGTAATCAATTGATACTTGGGCTTACCGTGTTGGTGGAGAGGACAGATGGGCGAGTGATGAGTGGTCAACCCGCATGCTACTCGAACCATCTGGGGAGCTTGAACCGCACAACACGGTGAGGTGTTCCCTCCTTGACTTCTTGATCGGTGGGGTACCTGCACCGTGTTCACCGGAAACGCGGCCCCGTCGAAACGCTCTCGAAGACGGCACCTCGAACACCCGTCACTCCCCTCGTGCTCAACACCTCTCGGAGTACGTGCCGCTCCCAATAACACTCAGTCATGACACCGCACGCGGTTTACACAAAACAAACCCCGCATCACTCGGGGAGTAGGGATTGTGTTTGCATCCACAACACACTAGAGCCCCCTTTTGTGGTGTTGTGTTTGTTTGTTTTTTTCTCCTGTTTCGTCGTGTGTGTACAGAGGAGGCAGGCTAGGGTGGCGGTAGGCATATGGTTACGTAAAGTCTTGTAATTATACAGGCTTCGTTGGAGCATGCAACGAGCAACCGCGTATCCTTGGCTTCAAATTCCTAATGCTAATCCCGCTCAGAATCCCATGCACTAAGTTATCCTATTTTGCTTTGTTTTCAACAACAGCCTAGACAATTAAGTCAATTTTTTTTTCAAACTCCAAGACTGCGCCAAAACATTGGATATCCGCCTAAAATAATAGATTCGTTTGGACCCATGCAAAATGCACTCTAGCTGTAGTGACATCGATTTACTTCTTTTAGACAAGTGGCTTAGTTCCAATGTTTAACAAGATCGTGACCGACTGGTCCAAAGCACCGTGAAAGTTGACAGATTTTTATAGCACTGTGAAGAATTTTTTAGAAGGGGTGACACCTGAAATTCTTCTAAATATAGGCCTACCAAAATATGGGAATACATATATAACACGGAGGCTATTTACGACTTATGCAAATTAGACACCCTCCCCAAAAGAATTTCAGGTGTGACCCCTTCTAAATATCTTCTTAAGGGCTACAGGTTGGCATCTGCGTACAGGTACGGGGTTCTTTTGCTGGCTCGGCAGCAAGGCTTAGCTTAGGGTGCCACCTCGTTTCCTCCCTTTATATGGTGCCTGACTTTCGAGTTACATAGATGGACAGGGAAGGAGGTGTGGTGGGCCGGGTACCGAGTCCCGGAAGAGTTCTATATTGGAAGTCGGCAAGGGGCTCATTGAGTTAGGGTCATAAGTCCGACTCCTGAAGACTTGGCCATCGCCATTTCTATCCAAGGACAATTGCAAGAATGATTAATTTGCTATATTGAGAGCTTGTACTTTAATCGTTCGAAAATAATTTCAACAAATGCTCGAAAATACAAAAATAATGCATAGGCCTATAACATAAACAATCACAGCAAAATAAATGCCTCGGAGCACTGAAGATTTGTGTTTAAAGACCAAGCGCGACTCCAAATTTCGTCTTGGGAACTGCAGTCTTATGCAAGCACTGAGCGGTGTTACGTCGCGTCACTCACGTGGGATTGCATTTGGACTGCATCCGCTTGGACACGCCAGAGTGACATTTCCCTGGGAAAATTCGGATCGATGTTTGGTTGCAAGGAGAATCTTTCAGCTGACTATGTTTGACTGAGTGGTCAGGCCCGAAAAAGTGCATAAAGAAAAAACACACCCGTTTTGTGAGATTCATCGGTGAAGTGCACCCTCCGTATAATCGTTTTAGCGCCCTCTGTTGACTCTTTCCTTAAGTTTATTGGAAAATTTTAACTTGTAGTTGGTGAAATTTCTTTGAAGTAAAATTGACAGTTTTAAATTACACATCATGCGATGTGTAATACAGGTAAGATTCTTATTAGTGTATTACACTGGAGTAATAATGGGAAAATAATGTTTGTGGGTTCTTTGGGCAATAAGAGCGGAAACGTGAAATACTCGTTTGAAATACGACAGATTTACCATAAACAAGATGGCGGCGCCCGGGTGAGTTTGAACATGTTGATGAAATGAATGAAAGTTTGGCAAATATTGAATAGATTTTAACTGATGGTGGCGATCGTTGATGGAAACCTGTTGTTAAGCAAGCTTGTAGGTGTTCGTCAATCAAATCTTGATGCATGAAAATCAAATAAAAAGTAAACTGACTTCTTTGGTCGTGTACAAATTGGAGAGTTGACAATGGTCATGATGGTTGAGTGTATTTTCAAAGTAATTTCTAACAAAATTGGAAACGCTTCTCAGGTCATGTCAGTCCCAGATTTATGTCTTTTCAACATATTTGGCAATGACTGACCTTCATATATGATGAAAAAAGTGGCATCAGGGTGCAACATTCTTTCCTTTCCTTGTTTCCAGGCTGTTCATTTGTATTTTATTTCACTTTCAGTAATTCATGACGTGCTATGGAACTTGAAGTGACCAGAGAGAGCAGTCTTCAACAACTCAGCAGTACTACAGATTGATGAAGTCATGTAGGTTCACATGCAAATAGTAAACGGACTGACGAAGCCATCTCCAGATGCGTGAATCATGTCTATAACTCCAAAGAAATGCGCCATTCGGGTTGATCCACCCACTCTGGTCCTGACCTACACCGACGAAGTCACGGGCAAGGACCGGCAGCGCTCCATGCCGCTCCGCAACTTCACCAAGCGCTCGGGTGTGGACCGCTTCGTCCGCGAGCTCAAGGCCAACCCCCGCCACAAGAAGTACCTGGAGAACGTCAGTGCGATACAGCTGGAGAAGCTACTCAGCATCATCAAGGAGCGACTGTCGGGCCTCAGCATGGAGGAATCCCTGGAGAAGGTCAAGAAGGAGCTCTCCGTGGACCCCGATGAGGATCTGAACCAACTTGATGACCAGGCGCTTCAGAAGAAGAAGAGCATCATGGACGAGACGTTTGAGAAGAACCGGAAGAAACCGGGCGAGGAGGGCTTCCAGTACGACGTGGATGTGGACTTTGGGGGAGGCATCGAGTCCTCTGGCTGGGACTCGGGGGAGGAATCTGATCCCCAATTTTGACTGTAGCATGGCTGCTCCCTCCAGTTCCTTTGCATAAAATCCTAGTACTCTGCCCATAGGCCTAATTCTTTATAATGAAGTGAGTGAACTCGACGAACATATCATATATATGGCATGTGACAAAGCCATCGGGCTCATTGTGACCTCGCTTGTGATTGACTTGTGATGGGCTCCACTGCAACTCAAGCTAGTCTGAACATCGTAACAGTGATATTCTGAGAGATACAATTATTAACAAATATTAACCATTATCCTAAAGTTGTCAACACTTGCCCGGCATTGGGCCGAGTCCTAAAGCCCTCCTTTGACATACTTTTGAGAAGGGGTTCATTATACAGTCATGGTCGGGCTTTGAAATGCATTCCTATCAATTCGTACATTGTACGATCAATGTTTAAAAGGTTATACTAATGCAGTACTTTGGCCTCAATTTGCATGTTGTTTGTTGACCCCAAGTGGGTGTGGTAAACCTTTTTTTCTTTATTATATTTTGCAAAATAACGATACGTTTTGGAGTGTTTTCGTAGAGATAATGTAATATATATTCAAAGTATCAAAGAAACAACTTTGCCATTAACCCTTGCAATTTGTGCTTCCGCAGGCCTTTTCCAAAAAATGTGACACGCAGACAGACAGTGTAGGTTTTTTTTTTATATAGGATGCGACCAAACTTGAAAGATTTTTGGTTTGGGATAACACTTGTATGGTCTCTTCTGGCAGCCGACATCAGGGCTGCCTTGGTTGTCAGTTTTAAAATACAAACCCAGGATTTTGTGGCCTCACCGCAGTGTCAGAACTACGTGCAACATCAACGTATACAACTAGAAGGTTACAGGTATAGTGATGATATAGGGATTTTAAATTGGCAAAAAAACCAGTAAAATACAGTGTGCTACATAAACTCGCTGTTTTATGCGCATCGCTAGGCATAACATAAACTCGCTGTTTTATGCGCATCGCTAGGCAATGATCTCATACATGTACAAATGTACATGTATGTGAAGAACCTCAGATTTCTATTACATGTACATGTAGGTCATTTTGACTTTTTTTTAAGGGAGGGGGATTTTTGTTTGTGTTAATGTTAACTGGTCAACTAAACAACATCTGAACTTTCTCGGCATCAGTTCGAAATTATTATTTTGTTAATTTAGCCGCTGCTTCAATTTTTGTTTAAAGAATTGCACATTTAAATGTGTGAGTTGGTGAATACAGTTTTTTAGAGACAAGGATGAGAGATTTGAAAATTATATTGATCCCAACTCCCAAAAGGATCTGGTGGCGCCTTCATTGTTCCTAAATATTGCATATCGCAAATGGTTTGTTTGATTACAATTGTAGAAAATGACTATTTGGCATTTGTTACACTGTTTAAGAAGTTCGAACAAAAGAATATTTGCATCTGTGAAAGTTGATTGCAAATAACATGTAATGGCAGTTTAATCATATTCCTTTTTCCTGATGCCAACATGTTTCATAGGAATTGGACGTTTCTTGTTCTAATCACTTGATGATGATCAGTTTGCTTCCTGTTATTAATGCACTAATTTTTTTAAATGTTTTTAAATTCGTGACTTGTAACAAATTCCAGAAACGCAATGCAATAAATGTGTTTTTTTTTAAACAATTTTATTACAAATCTGCTGTGTTTTCTATAAATAATTTACAACATTGCTGCAAAAAAAAATCTATATAAAAGCCTCAACAAAATTTCACACACATCACTGAAAACAAGTAAAATACAAGTATCAAAATAGCACATGCATGGACACCACTCAAACCTTTATTAAATAAATTATAGATTATATCTTTGATATAAAATTATTAAAAAATCTTTCTTTCACACATGACACTTCATACAAATACAATGCAAGGCCAAAAAAAAAAAAATACTCGGTCTCTGGTCAGCTCGGTCTCTCGGTCTCTGGTCAGCACCAAGGCAAATGATGGAGGACACCAATGTATAATGAGGACACAAAAAAGCAAACTACATGTAGTACCCACCTTGTCTGCACAATTGAAGCTTGAAAAAAAAAAAAAAAGCCACAAAAAAAAACAAAAAACGCGTCACCGCATCAATTCCGGAACTTCGGTCTGACCGGAGACCGATTTTTTTTGGGCCTAACGCGCAAAGTTTCAAGTATTTTGACCAAAAATGCATCACTGACTTGGCAATCTGGGTACAGTTTCGTCGACCTAGTCCGGTCCGGAACGGGAACATGCACGCTGATGCGCTGTACGAAGGCTGTACCGTCTATTGTGAACTACCCCGGCCAAAAACGTCTGGCAGTACCAAGACTATTCCAACCATACATGTCAATACAACACTTGAAGCCTCACTGGACGGCTTTACATAATACACGTATATTGTACGCCATCACTGCAAGCTTAACTAATAATATTCCTAATGCTCAATCAGAACGCAGTGCTGATAGAAATATTTCATCAACTGGAATGATGCGACAGATAGTTAGGGAAGGAAAGGCGATTCAATCCTTCAAGAATCTTTTTCAAAAACTGAGAAAGATTGTGTTTGGATTAGAAGCCAAACCCTCCTTGCTTTTTTGTTGAGGTCCTACTCCTCGCTGGAATCAGTGTGATCATCCTCCACATCATCCTCATCGTCTGTCCTCTCCTCGAAATGAAACCTCCCATTCACCTCATCCGCACCCCGACTGATCCTCACTACCCAATGTCTGTTCTGCACTTCATCACTTGCATCAGGGCAGATTGCCTCGTGCAAAACCTCGCCAACCTCACTACCAACATCCATCCTTGATTCCTCGTCCCCTGCCTCCAAACCTCCTGTCCGCATTTCCCCATTTGCCTCATCACCGTTCATCTTGAACCTCATGCCAACCTCATCATACACCTCTCTATGTGTCGCATCATTCATCTCTCCAAACCCAGACATCACTGAAACCTCATGAGCCTCATCACAACCTCTCCCCTCCAACCCCTCATCCAAACCTCGGATTCGTGACACCCAACCTCGAACCCTCCCCGTCTCCTCTCCATTCCCCTGACCAAGTCTCCCACCAAGGTGCCCCAAAGACACTGAGGCACTTTGAGAGTTGCTCCTCTTGAACGCCATGAGGCAGTGGAGGTTCCCGCCCACCCTTTTGGTTTTTCTGGTCTGGACGCCGAGGTGCAGCTTGCGGATGTTCAGACACTCAGGGCTCTTGCAGTTGAGATCGGTTGAGATATCTTCCCACCTGTTGACAATTAAACCAACATGGAAATTCTAGACTAAATATCTTGGAAAGTGTCTTGATGTCACAGAATTGGTTTGTCACACCCAAGTCTCACGGCCCTAGTTTGACCAGTTTGGCAGGCTCATAGACCTAATTCTTTTTTAAGAGTTTATTCAGCATTTTCAGCAACTTCTTTTCAAGTTAGTGAAGCTTTTCTTTGGTGCACACTTTGTGAATCAACAGCCTGCCATTCATGCATCTTGTGTTGAATCTATCCATACCTGAAGCAGTGAATACCGGGCTGCTTACGACTCGGGTCAGCAACTAAGATCCAGGTATCGACTTCATCTTCAGAGAGTGGTCCTCTGCAATCCAAGAAAGGCAAGCCGACAGTCATTTTTATAACTCGTCTTCTTTTTAGGGTGAATTTTAGGCCAGGTTGTAGTACAATTTAGAATTTGATGTTGCCATGGCAAAAAAAGGTTCAAGTTTAGGTGGAGACTCAGATACCTGTCTATTTGTTGAGCAGTTTGGGTGTCAATGTCTCCTAGGGCTCGTAGCATTTGTACAGAAATGAGTCTACTAAATGGGTGCAATTTCAGTTCAGAAAAAAACTGCAGATGGAAAAGTAAAATTAGAAAATCTTGATAATTTCTCTGATCTGACAGCGGGGCGCTAGGTGTATTAAACTCAAGACGAGGAAACTTCAGTTAGGCCACTGGTTTTGGGCCTTAAATAAGATCCTTCTTCACAATACAAGACGTGACGTACCTAGAATGTTGACTGATGTTTCAGGGAATTTGAGCCAACTGTCCATTTCTAAGAGTGTCAATCTGCTGTAACTTTGTGAGAGTCACTCGATCGTTGGCACCGTACACAATATTTACGCCGCCACGTTTGTTTGCGTTGTATGTCCGCGTTGATTTTTGAGATGGCGTACCCTGATCAAGGTCATACTGACTTGTGTACAATGAGATAACTTGTGATGACCTTGTGAAAGAACAATTGTAACAGTTGATTGTGTCCGTTACCTGAAGGCATCCACAGCTTTCTTGGGCACCTCCTCAAACCCTACAGGACAGAAGTAGTGGTTCCAGCAGTGATAGATGAATGTGGTCTCAGCGTCGTGCAGCCCAGCCTTGAGCAGTCGCAGGGCTTCCTCCGACGTCCGCCCGACAGTGCGAGCTTTGCCGACCGGCTTGTACATGTGATAGGACTTGCCCCGGGTTCCGTAATGGTTGTTCAGCTTCCGAAACCATCTAACAGCACACAAAATTTCAAAAGTTGTTGAAGTGCCGATAAACTTTTTCTTTAAGCTTCATTACAGCACCAGTGTTTATAATATATCCCCCTCCTACTTGTTGACCATGGGGAATGGGCCGTTGGATCATCCCCCCCCCCCCCCAGATTTGTATGTTGAGAAACAAAAACAGTGTCAATTAGGGGGTCTTCTTGTAACTTTCCAACATTCCAAATGTATTAAATAGTTATGAAAAACAGGAAACATGAAAAACGGAGAACATACAGAGCAGAGCTTATCAAATGCACCATGTTTATGTAGGGACGTAAGCACACTACTTTGCATAAGATGTACATTTCTATCTTCAACGGCGCCCCCTAGTGTCATGTCACGTTCTAGCGCCCCCCCCCCCCCCTTTGAATTTCCCCAGCCGGGCAATTTTAGGATTTTTGGTCATCCCCCATCGTTCCCACTCACTGATTTACGCCGAGATTTTAGGAATTGGCTAGCTAGACGTTGTTACTGATGGATGTTATTGGTTGGTCGTGATAGCGCCCTCTCACAGCAACGGGTTATTGCGGCACTGGGTTATTGCATATAAAACCATAAAAATATCTAGCCCTAGCTAGACCTGGCGACGAGGTGACATCACACTATGGCAGGCAATACAAATCGTCTTTTTCTGTCAAAGCTCAAAAAAAACTAACCTCATCAACGTTCCATTTCCGGTAAAAGGCCCAAATCTTATTTCGCCGAAGGGCGGTTTGAATCCTAACACCGTCAGGGCCTCCTCCTGTGTGATTGGTCGGCGGTCACCGGCACCGATGGTGGAAAACAGGAAGTTCCAACAGGAGACTAGAGAGGATAGACCACAGGATTTACTGTACTGAGGTCGGGAGATGCAGAACCTATGGGATACAAGAAGGTAACTGTAAATTGGCATATATTGTCTACAGAGGATAGACCACAGGATTTGCTGTACTGATAAGGTCTGGAGATTCAAAACCTATGAGACAGAAGGAGATCATTCTTCCAAAAATATGCCGCAAAAATGGTTCTCTCATCCGAACCACCCCATCCAAGGGAGATATAGTGACTGCTGATCCCTTTCACAAAACTCTTATAGGAAATGCCTGTTGCAAATCCTTGTGGGCAGGTCACTTGCCACTATCAACATACGTACAGGATTGATCACATGATTTGCTGTATTTCGGTTAACTTTTCCGCCACTTCATTTTTTACCATCTTCTTTGGTCCAGGACCTTTCTCTCTGCCAGCATGGTGGTTGTCACGGTTACCATCGGAGGGATGTACTTGTCTTCTTCGGGACTTGTGGTCGAGGAGACATCCTTCTTCTGCACTTTCTTAGCAACTCCTAGGAAACAAAATAGTATACATTCAATACGTGTGCTTCTTTTTAAATTCTGCAAAAGTTACATCAACTTATAATTTCTGACTTGTACAAAAATTACGTTCGAGTCATGTATACATGTATTTCTGGCATGTGTCTACTATTAATGACCCTCTAATCAAAGACCAAAAATATTTTACTTTAAAATTACAACCAAGGCCCAGCCTTTTGGTGCTGCATAACAAAAAAAACCTTGCTGAGCCAACATTTGTGCTATGAGCACAAATCAGTGGTAACCTGTTCAGTTCTTGCAAAGCAAAGTGTTTCTGGCCTTTAGTAAATGTTTGGGCCCATTAAAGCATCATGAAATTTGCCAAAGTATATATATTTTTTTTTAAATGTTACACAGCTGCTTCTGACCCTTTCGTAAATCAGAAAAAAAAAATTAGGGGGAGAATTACTCACAGCTCATGACACTGCCAGATCAAATTTTGATGGAAAACATTTATATTTTTTTAGGTGGAAGGTCTTCTCAAAGTAACTACAAACAAAACAACACTCTACCTTTGGCAGATTTCTTTCTCTTCAAATCTTTAGGTGCAGCTAGATCAGTAACGTCGATCTCCCACGACAAGGGTTTTGTGGTCTGCTCCTCTCTCAAGTTGCTGAATGCTGCCTTTGACTGGGTTTCAGCAAACCCGTGCCTTGGATCTCTGGTACAGCTGTTAACTTCAACCTGTTCCGATGTAAGACTCCTTTTTCCTGGCCCAAAAGTCTTTGTGGATGGGGCGTGGAAAGCTTCCAACTTTTGATTCGGTTTTGTCTTGCCAGTGAGGATTGCTTCCTCATCAGTCGAGACAGAAGGCATTTCTGTCCTTTCCAAGACAGAGGTGGTATATGTTTTTGTCGCATCTGCTTCATCCTGATTATCTTGGGACGCCTTTACTTGTCTGGACACTGTTGCGTCATCAGACAGGCCTACATAAAAGAATAGTACTCAATGAGTCAGTTATTTCTAATAATAAAACACACGGGTACCCGTTAAAGAAACCCAGCCCCAAAATTCATATCTCCGAAGTTTCTGCCCAGATTGTTCATAAAGGTCCACACAATAATACAACCACATCGGTGCAATTGTCGAAGCATGTTTGCACTTGTGCGTAAATGCTCAGGCTGAGTCTGAGTAGTAATTTATTTTTTCAAAAGCAGATTGTGTTTGTCTACTTCCACCAACTGCAAGTACGTATATAGCCTAGGCCTTCGTATGATCTGGCACTGCGAATACCTGTTTGTTGTTTGAATTTTCTTTTCTCCTCTGATGGGCGACATCTATGCAGAGAGTGCAGAAGGACAATCTGGTCGAGGTCCAGAGGTCCGTCGTATCTGACGTCATCATATCCTTCATCTTCCTGGCTGAAGTCGTCTCTCTCATCTTTTATCTCCTTACCAAAGAGGCTGGATGAGATGATGTTGCCCATGATTCACACTCTGTCTGTCCAAAACATGATGGAATGTCACGCTTGTCTCATTAAGATCATTTTGAAAGAAGACGATGCTTGATAACACAAGCATGGAGCTATCAATTAATGTCCAACAAAAATGTAAAATTAAAAGATACGTGAAGACTGTAGGCCTACACATGTACATGTTTATCTTTTGGCATGTTGCCGGGGAGGGCGCTACATGTGCCATGGACTGATTGAGGAAGGAATGGTGCTATGCATTCACACTCACAGCTTCTGCCAACAGCTGAACAGGCAGATCTCAGGCAAACTATATGTGTGGAGCTTCGACCGTATTCAAAGCTCAACCATGTCAACACTGACCGACTAAAACACCTGAAAAATTACATAACTTACCAGAAAGAATTCCATACACTACCAACTAGTACTAGCTACAGCCTATACCATGTATACAGGGCCACCACCGATGACTGACCTGAAACCAAAACTTTGTAAATCTCATGAGAAACACTAATTTTTAGGAGGAGTACACAAATTATTTGATATTTGGCAAACTACCAACCTCTGAAAAAAACTCGGTAGCTTTCTTCTCTCAAATCATTCTAGAAATTTGCAGAACTGGGCAGAAAGAATATAGGCCCCGGCAGTAACTGCAGAGTCAGACGCCTGCACTGCTCCATACTGAATTCCACAGCGCACGTCGTCGTGAACATTTATTGTTTTGAAAAAGCCGGTCTGAAGAGGGCGCTATTTCATTTTGTGTGAGTTGTTTCTCTGGTTTCTCTATGGATATTACTGCGTTGGTGGCCAAGGCGTAATTGTGTGGGGGGGGGGGGGGGATTGGAGGGGTAGTCGTCACAAGCCTCCATAATACAGAAAAGTTGATTTGTAAAAAGGCTCTCACTGAATACATTCAGTTTTTCGTTGAAAAGGTGGTTTCTGTAGATGTTGTTTTAAATTATGCGAAATTCTTCTCTTCAAGTTAATTAAGTTCCATGAAATTTATAATTACATTATTTAAGCCACGTCAATATTCATGCGTGATTATCAATTACGTTATTTTTTTCGCGCGCCCGAGTCCTGGAATGTACCCTTCCACCCCCGTCAGCAACAGTCAGACGTATCCACATCCAGACTAAATAGTGAACTGCAATGGTCTCGGATATCAGTTGGATGGTCAGAGGCCAGACCGTCAATCACCCATGCAATAACCCACGACATGACAATGTGACAGAGATGGATGATGTCGCACACGAAGGTTTCACTGGTACCTGCAGCATTAACTACCATTCAGGGACCAGTCTCCACCATAATGGGCCCTATAAAGAGTACCAGGAGGAACTTTTTGAAACTTGAAACCTGAAAATTGAAAACTATGCTTTCGAAACGTGAGAACAAAATTCGAAAATTGACTCTTATTTTACACCAGCCTGCCTAATGAACCAGATGTAGTTATACCAATAATCACTATTCTCATAGTCATATCCAAAAGAGCAAACCTATAAGTTCGTGAAGGAATAATGAACTCATCGAACGATATCCATTTCATACCGTTATCCCACCCGTCAAAGAGAATTAATTTGCTGAGTTTCGTCACGTGATGTCTCCTCTTCTCAAATTGTGTTCCACTGATGTCGTCATGGCAACATCCGACGACTCCTCGCCTTAAAACTCCAACGGGATATGGAATGTCATAATAAGCGTAATGGCCTATATATCAATATGTCTTTTGGGAATATTGGCTACCTGACTCAGCGTAAATTGAGTCCCTTTAGTTGTTTAATAAACGAGGTTATCAGTAAAAACTTGCTTAAGATAAGACTGACTGACAACTACAAGTGTATGTGAGGCTCGTATAAGTCAAATAAAAAATGCCAGCTTTAATTCTGTCTATAAAAAATATAAATAGGCTACGCACAAGCCGCTCGTTATATCTACACCATTTGCCGTCAAGAGCAGACGACAGTTATTCGAACTTGATGGATAATGCTGTAGTTGTCGGAGGCAAAACCTTCAACTTGTCCCCAACGAACGCCCACACTATGTCGTAGCTACGTCGCTCAGGGACCGTTAGCGAGCTATAAATACCAGCCAAGTTAAATATAGGACAGCCGTTCGTGCAAAACATGTGCATCGCTCTCCACATTTATTATACGGTCCGGGACTCCTCTCTTACACGCAAACATCGTAGATGGGCGAAAAAGTCGGCCAAACATGAGGAGAACTTCAGCTTAGTGAGGGGAATTTCTGGTAAAGAATTCCGGCATTTCTGCAGGGTATATGAAGAGTGAGGACGACATAGGACGACTCGGTTTACATCTCTGTGTAGTTTTCTTTGCCATGACTGAGTGATGATGCTATGTACCACCATTTCTCGCAGACTCTGAGAGAGCACATCACATCCAGTTGTTGACTGCGTCGGCCGATGTACCGCCATGGCAGCTACAACCGTTTCGTGACTGAAGGTAGAGGTGAGATGGGATCAATAGTAGATCATGTAGATCAGCAGTACTAGGCCTATAGACTACGCACACGGCAAGGTTTAATCGTGCCTGATGGAGCTGGTAGGCGGGGCAATTGGGTGCAACTAGAGGGGGGAGGGGGTAACGACGGCAGAGGTGAGTTGGGATCAACAGTATATCAGCAGTAGGCTATTAAGTCTACGCGAACGACAAGGTTTCATCCTGCGTGATGGAGCTGGTAGGCGGGGCTATTGGGCGAGACTTGATGGGGTACACTTTCTCGGTTATCGATCAAACAAAATCATATAACATAGCATATTAGTATTGCTTGCAGTTGGTAATTAGTACAGTTTGACAGCGGCGTAGCTACCGGGGGGGGGGGGGGGCTCACGACCCTCATACAAAAAATAAAATCCCCCCAGTCGCCCCATCCTTTTCTTATTGTAATCTCTCCCTGCTGAGTTTCGTCACGTGATGTCTCCTCATCTCAAATTGTGTTCCATTGATTCTGCCCAATTCTCCATCAGTCCAATTAAAAGTTAATTAATAAGATGAATACAGACTGCAGCGGAACGCACTCACCAGAAGCATCATGCTAGAAGCGATGAGGGGGGGGGGGGCTCCCTCCACCTTCAAAACCTCCACCCCAGCCCCGACGCTCATGGTGTTAAATATATTGACTTCGCCAGTTTTATATTTTTTTCGTGTTCTCGTTCTCTTTTGTATTCGTTTTTCTTCGGGGGGGGGGGGGAAGCCCCCAGCCTCCCACGAAAAAGACAAAAAGAGTTTCCTGGGTTCAAGTAGTTTTATGTACACTGCAAAATCAGTGGTGTTAAATTTAACACCATCATTTTCCATCTGGTGTTAAATTTAACTGGTGTTGCCCTGTACAGATACCAGATGGTGCTATATTTACACCACATGTTTTGCAGTTACTTTATTTTGTAGTCATTTCTAAAGAACAAAAATCGTGTCATTTAAAAATACCCATGTGTTTATGCTGGCTTTTTCTACCAACGGTGGTTTTTTCTTGCATCTCGACCGGCGCCTTTGAATGGTTTCCAGAGATAGTGCGCGTTATAAATGGTGTGCTCTTATTATTATCACCCACGGCACAAAATAATATAATATAATATAATATCACGACACGGAACAGCCGTCTGGGTTCATGTTAGCGTTTTTTTAGTTGGCGCAGTGCACATGTGCTCGGCCCGGACATTGCTAGCGCGCACCGCATTCTTCAGATTCCCCGTCTCTTGCCAGCGCGCGAAAGCGAATATCATCCTAGCCACTTCTAAGTTTAACACGGTAATTCAAAACATGATTTACGGGTCAACGATATGACGTAAACATAAAGCAGGCCGGCATTAGGCCCGGAAAAAAATTATCACTTGTTCTTGTTTATCATTAATTCACAATGTGATTTATTGGCATGCAATTAATTGGTCTATGCGATGCGCGCATAAACATACATCAATTTTTTTTGTAATATAATTAAATCACTTTTAAAAGCAACAAACATTATAATTTTGTTGGTTTTTTGTTGGGGGGTTGTTTGGTGTTTTTTGTTGTTTTTTTTTTCGGTTGTGTCTAATCTAAGCACACGTGTAAAATCAATGAGACTTCGTCAAAACGAAAGTTGGTAATCGTGACATATTAGAATATCCGAAAATCTGAGATTGCTTAAAATCTCGGTTTGGGACGGATTCGCCACTTCGTCAAAACGGTGACGATTATTGTACGATTTGCCAAAAATAAAGATAAATTCAGCCAGTATTAAAGAGACAACGAGTTATCACTTGCCAAGTTGCCCAAGTGTTTCTCCAAACACCTCATTAATCAAGAGCAGCAGAATGTCAGCGGCACGGCCTGGAACGAGCAAACGACAGGAGCTTATCACATTCGCCAGCGCCGAAATTATCGCTGACGACAGCGCCTAGCACATGCTTGACCCGTCAAATATCTCAAATGTCTTGTAGCTCACGATGATTCGGCACGAGACTAATCATAATTTTAATACAACGATAGTAAGTCAGTAGGATTTAACATCAATTGTAAGGCAACGTACTTGGAAATCTGTATGCGTTGTCGACATCTCCGTGAAAAACATCTTCTTGTGAGATCAGATTGCGAAACAGTACCGACTTACACTAGCACGCGCAAACCATGAAGGCAAAGGCTGTCACTATTAATGTGGTTTCTGTCATAAGTCCAAAATCAGATTAAGCTACCGGAAAAAAATCCCTGTTTATAGCTCTCGCTGTTTATAGGCAAAACTTCTCCTTCGTTGGTATGAATAAAACTTACACCCTCCCAGACATACAAGTCTGTTATCCAATCGATTTGTTGAACGAAAACAAATGCACGCCAATGGGCAGAACGACCTTTTGGACAGAATCAACGTTAGTCCACTCAAACCAATTCGACAGCACATATTACAGTAATTTCAAATACTTCCAACGTAGTGGTTCTTCTAACACGAAAAGCGACAGTTATGTAAACAAAAAAGTTGTCATTTTTAAAGGAAGAAGTTTAAAGACAATGTCTATCCCTATTATGATTAGTCCATTAATGTTCGACGACTTCTATTTAGTGAGCAGACTCGAATAGATTGCAATCTTCATCACCGTCTAGTCTCTCACCACGGTCTGGGGATGTGGGGAGGACAGTTACCGGGAGACGGGACGGCAAACTGCCCCACGGGACTGCTGGACCGAATGGCTTCCAGTCGGTGGATGATGAGCCATCGGTACGCTCAGCATAGAAACATCCTACCGCAGGGGCAGGCGATGATTCAGGCCGGCTGCTGCTGCCTATTAAAATACTTCGGTGTTAACATCATATCTTTATTATCCAAATGATTCACGCGGAGAGATTGTTTTTCTTTTCAAGAAGCCTATCGGAATTAGGAGTCGCGCAGACATCAGGCAAATCCGGAAAGCATAATAGTTTGATATTATGTATACATGTAGTTAGTTTGTTGGTATTGAACATTGGGTGCGATAATTACGTTTGGATGATAATGTGCAGCCACGTTGATAGGCTGATCCGGATGGCGGTGCTCTCTGGATTCATGTAATCATCGAATGCACAGAAGAAGCCAACTCTGTTTTCTCTGGTATCTGGTCCATGAGCACTTTGAGTTGTAGTCAGGCATGCTAGAGTAGCCCTACCCAGAGCCTATGCTGAGTGGCATGGCGCGAACCGTGTCGCCTACTTGGGTTCGAAACTGATATTTGGTATACGTTTACTGTGGCAAGTTCTTAATTTGTCACCTCAATTAGACCACAACGCACCGCTAATTGTCTTCATGTCATGAGTAAAACAAAATTGTTCGGAGAAGAAAAAGCTTTGGTGATTGGTAGACTCTTGTGCAGCGTTACTTCCAGGACTTACACTCTGTTTTCATTTTCTCTATTCTGACTGTACTCTACTGTGTTCTTTGTACATTTCAGGAAATCAAGCTCCTAATCCAAGATGGCGACCAACGTTCTACGAGCTGAGGAGTTGGATCGACAATTTTTGCAGTGCCCGCTATGTATAGACCGCCTAAAGAAACCCAAGGTTCTCTCCTGTCAGCACACCTTCTGCGCCAGCTGCCTAGAGCTGTGGATCAACCAGAATGATGGCAAGCTCTCTTGCCCTATCTGCCGCATGGAGTACCCCATGGGTGAAGGAGGAGTGGCCTCCCTCCCGGACAACTTCTTCGTGAACGGCATCATCGATTTCATCAAGCAGAAGCGGCGGGTGTCGTCCAGCGCCCCGTCCTGCCACGGGTGTGACAGCGAGGCGGCCTACCACTGCTTCGACTGCAGCGAGTTCCTCTGCGTTGACTGCGCCAACGCCCATCGCCGGCTTCGGATGACTCGCAGCCACCGGTTGACCACAGTGGATGAGTACCAGACCAGTGGCATGCTGGTTCGCCTGGACTCCCTGGACAACAGCGCCAAGTACTGTGCCAACCACGACCGCGAGCAGTTTGAGCTTTATTGCGAGACCTGCGATGTTCCCATCTGTTACCGGTGCCGGGCCACTAGCCACCGGCCTCCCAGGCACAAGCACCGAAAGCGGCAGGAGGCGGCCCAGCAGCGGCGGGGGATCCTTGGCCAGCTGGTGGAGCGAGCGAAGGGCCGCCTGGAGACACTCCGGGACAATCTTGCCGTCCTGAAAGAGACAAATAGACAGTTGCAGCTGAATCGTAACCGGGCAGAGGCCCTGATCCAAGACAGGGCGGAGAGTCTAGCTGAGACTCTGGCAAGATACGAGCAAGAAGCTCTGGATGAACTGAACCAGTGCTACACGGCAAGGAGGGAGGCACTGAACACCGAGACAGAACTCTTACAACAGGTAGATTGGGGTATTATGTGAGGGGTTTGTTTTCATGTTAAATTAATGTTCAAATGATGAGTTTTTGTTTCTTATGAATCAACAAAGTAAGCCTTGCAAATTCCTGTCCCTACCTGCTAAAGTTGCCATATATCTTTAAAGCCCCTTTTCCATCCAGGGAGTTTGCTAAGTTATAAAGGAGATCACTCAAAATGAAAGATCATTTCCTCTAATAAATCGTGCAGGTTGAATTGTTAGAAAAATGTTAGTGTAAAAGTTTACTTTTTGAACAAGATATCACTACAAAGGGAGTAATCGTTACAAAGTTGCACTTAATAGAACAACGGGAAAGGGAGACTCTACATAAAAGGGAAACAATAAAACAGCAACGCATTATCCTGATGTTTTTATGGGGTATTTAACTTTATTGGAAGTATCCTGCTGTACTAGCGACCGTCAATTTTGTAATTATTTTGTATGCCAGCAGGGGATTCTGTGAATTAAAATGAGTTTGTGTTTGTTCTTAGGTCTTGGATAAGACCAGCAGTGTCTGTAGCGTCACTGAGAATCTTCTCACCGAGGGAAACGACACGGCACTCCTGTTCGTCAACAGAGAGACCACGTGCAAACTGGAGGAGGCCATCGACGTCGATATCACTACAACACTCGAGGAAAACGGCCACATCGGCTTCGCCTGCGGTCGGCTGGAACTGAGCCGGTCCTCCGTGCTTGGGCACATCGAGTGTCATCCGGCTATTGCTTCGAGGTCCGTGCTCAAACCGGAGGGGGAGCTCCCCCGGGATGTCCTAGTCGGGGAGGATGCCTGCGTCTGCCTGGAAACCCGAGATGCATCCGGCAACACTGTTGAGGCCGGGGGTGCCTCAGTGAGCGCTAAGCTCTGCTCCCCAGCCGACGAGGTGGGACTGGCCAGGGTCAAAGACAACGAGGATGGGACCTACGACATCGTGTTTCGCTCCAATGGCGAAGGGCGCCACAGGCTCTTCGTGGCAGTCTTCGGCCGGCAGATCATAGACAGTCCCTTCGACATCGCCGTGCACCGACCAGCCCGCAAGGTCCTGGAGTTCGGAGCGGGCGGCTGCATCACGCGACTACGGGAGCCCTGGGGCGTGGCCGTATCGGCGCGTAACGGGGACGTCTTTGTCGCCGACACCGGAAATAACTGCATCCGGATCTTTGACCTGAACGGTAACCACCGGAAGCAGTTGAACTTTCCCAATTTCCCCAGCAAGTTCGAGCCGCTTGGACTTACGTTGGTTGGAGATGAGGAGAACATTCTCGTTACAGATCACATCAATAAACAAGTATGCTTTTTTTAAAATTAAATTTCAAATAGAAAATTTGGTTCTAAGCCGACTTTAATTTAGCGGGGTTGGTGATGACATTGTTCACTTCAATGTACACCCAAAATCCCACAATTAGGCCACGTGTGAATCTCTTGTCTAGAGCTATGTACTGATGTGCGCAAATAACAACTACGTTAACTTTGCACATGGTAATGACGTATTACGTAGCTCTAGCTTTTGACGCCCGTTCCAGAAACGGCATTGGTAACGTTTCAATTCCACGTGTGAATAAAAATCAACCTAATAGAAAAGGAACCCTTGGACGTTTTGCGCACGTTAGAGCCAGTACAAAAATTGGAAGCGCAAAACCTTGAACTAAACTGCCTCTAAGCCTCTGTTAATTCGTTATAACCCGAAAAGTGGGTGTGACCTAAAGCTAAATCAATGCCTCTCAATTATTCTGTACCGTACCAGGTGTTGCTGTGTACTCGTGACGGCCAGCTCTTGCGTCGCTTCGGTGCAAGCGAACTCCGCCGGCCCTGCGGAGTGTCGGTCAATAGCATCGGCAACATTCTCATCGCCGACCATGGCACACACTGCATTCACTTCTACGACAGGTAAGCCCAAGCTCTAAAGTCTAATATGAGCACCAATTATTCCAAGGATGGGATTGGGTTGTAGGCCTACTGCCAACTTTCTAATGGGGAGTGTCGGTAGGCTGTGACATCATCCTGAAGGTTTTATACCGAACACAATCACAAATATACGGATCGTGACTCCTGTTGTCGACATAAGCCAATTTAAATATGTATTTCAATTAAAGGTAAAATTTATTGAACAGCGGCACCTGTGCATTTCACACTACATTGTAGTCTTGGCTCAAGACGGAAATTTCCGTATCGCCTGCCATTCCCTAGCAGAGTATATTTGACTTCTCGTGGAAAGCAAAGCGAATTTCATGAGGTCTCATTTCGTAAGGTTTAAATGTGAAAAATAAAGGTGGACTTTATGCCAAGGTTGATGGGACGCGTCGTATTGAGTTGCGCCTCATCACTGCTAAGGGACTATAATAAAATAAAAAATCCCGTCTTGAACAAAGATTAAACATTGCTTTTATTTGGATACCTCAGTGCCTTCCGCTACCGTAAAGACATCGGCGGGTACGGCAAAGCCACGGGCGAGTTCCGCTGTCCCATTGCAATCGGTGTAAACAGCAGAGACGAGATCGTCATCTCGGACCGGGAGAACCATCGGGTCCAGATCTTCGATCCAGACGGGGAGTTCCTGGCGGCCTTCAGCTCGACTGGCGAAGGGGAGGCCCAGCTCCGGTACCCGACGGGGCTGGCCGTGGACTGCCACGACAACATCATCGTCTGCAACGACTGGAACAACCGGGTGCTCATGTTCGACCAGCAGGGCCGGTTCCTGCGGAGGTTGGACAGCGATGCCGATACCCTGCAGTACCCGTTAGGGGTGGCCGTCACGGACCATGGTAAGGTGGTCGTGGTGGACTACGGGAACGAAGCAGTCAAGGTCTTCAAGGTGTGATGAGGCTTGACAACCGAACCAAAAATGTACTCACCGTCAATTGACCTACCGCACAGGTTACAGTGGTCAACCAGGCATCCACGTTGGTGCTTGTAACATAACACTCCAGGTCTGTTGCTGCATAATACTTATCTGGCCTGTAGCGATGAAAACGGATACCAATTTAAAGTCTGATGCCCGATGTGACGTTGAAATGCCACACTATAGGGCCTACCATCAGAGTACTCCCCCAGTAATTGGTGTACAGTGGTTATCAAAAAAACTGAACCATAGTTCAGGACGTGAAAACGTATGTAGCCAACTACAGCTACAGCTGGGCTGATTGATGATGAGGTGCAAATATTAAATTCCCATTGTACAATCACACTTCCTTGATTAGTTTTGATTGGTTTAATTCAAGTCAGTGATTGGTGAATACAATTAATTATGCAGAATTTGTAGAAACTTAAGTGGTAGAATTGCAGTAACTTGAAATAAACTGATGACTGATGCAAGTTTATGGATGAAGATTTCTCAAAGGAATGTCCGGTTTGCAAATTTGAAGTAGTAGGTTCTGAGGTTTGAAGGTTGGTCGATTGGAGGACGGAATGGTTTCACAAAGGAAGGTTAAAGATTGAAAGTTGACGGAACAGATATTTCACAAAGGTAAAGGTGTAGGGCGGTTTTGCTGAAATGAAAGACATAATAAACTACCATGAGCATTTAAACAATGAAGTCTATGTAAAGTTTGTGAATTATTGGAGACAATAAGCACAGGAATGAAGAATTTTTCATAAGGAAGTAAACATTTTTCACCTTAGAAACCCTTGCAGCAATACGTAAATCACAGAAAAATTTATGGGCCAAGTAGTAAACACTATTTAACAAAGCACTTAATAACATGGCAGCTGGGCATCGCAATCTTCATGTCAAATGCAAACCAAACAACATACTGCATGGGGAAGAACTACACAAAAAATTGAAACATTGTGGTTAGAAAATAGCACTCAAATTCACAATATGTACTTACTAAGCTGGGGTATCATCAGTGATGATCTATAAACATCGTGGTTCGACTATGAGATTACATGTACCTAACTAAAGATGACTTTTCACGAACTTATGAGATGACTTTAGGGGATAAATTTAACGGAAATTAACATCACTTTATAATTAACAATAGAATGTTTTAACCTATCCGTAATTATGAACAGCGCCATCAATTGGCACAAACTGTACTACGAAGTCCCAGAGTGGCCATGTGCATGCTGTCATTTGCTGGAGGGCAGGAACCAGGCGACATAATAGCGCCCTCATAGAGTGGATATAACATTCGTTGGTACCCACCGCCTCACTCAAGATCGCTGCTGACTTCTGATTTATTGGACTTTTATTGGAATTGTTTTTGTGTGTTGACCTGATCGATATTTCCCGTGTGCATGTGCGCGAGAGACTATGGCGCGCATTAGTGACATTTTATTCGCATCAACGATTTTAAAATGTTTTAGAGATATCTTGGAATAAATTAAGATATCTTGATGTGACTGGTGATATCTTGTGATAATCAAATGTTACGACCGCTTAAGCTTGAACAACTGTCACTTATGCGCGCCATACGGAACACCGGCGAACGAATATAATTGAACAGAGGGCGAGCGATTAGTAGGAACGAATTGATGAAAAGGTAGAATTGGCATTTGCACATTTTCTTCATGACTGTGTTTGTGGACTTATCAAGCTACTTGTATTAAATAAAGGCAGGTCGTGATTATGTCTGACTTGATTTCCGCTTAAGACGCTTGTACTGTACTACATCAGCACGCGTGCGCAAGGCAGTCACAAAATAACTGCTGATTTTCGTGGCACTGCTCAATTTTAATAGCAGAAAAGTTAATGCGCTAATGGTTGCGTGCGCATGGAGTTTTCTGTTGTAACGTCACCGATTGAAGCACGTCTTTCCGCCGAGGTTATAGCGTGCCTTTTTTGTGCTTAGCGTTTACGAGATAAAGGCTCTGTCAGCAGAAAATAGTGTGCTTAGCAGCGCAATGAAAATGGGCTTGGTGAAGTGTTAACTTGGAACTCTATGGAATATGGACTCATTGGTTGTATTGCGCATGCCTTTGTGAACGTGCATAAGAGTGACAGGTCACGTGTGAGGACTGAGTCAGGTAAAAGACCAGATTTCAAAGGAGTCGAAATTTTATATGACACCGGTCCTCTTTCGAATTTGCTCCACACCCTTAAACCAATATTGCGCCCTCTATCTGACAAAATAAGTCTTGACGCCAATGATGCATTCCCGTTTACCACAGAATAAAGGCAAATATTATCTTTCCATTAAAAGTGCTTCCAAAAGCAGAACTCCGTTTAGCCAAGAGAATTGTGTAGATTCAGTAGGGTTTTTGTATAGAAAAGGGGGGAAAATCGTTACGCTTAAACGGCTGATTTACTTCGCACTGACAACAACCCCCGTATGCAAATGGAACGATCCACTCTGAGACATCCTCCGATTTAATGAAGAGATTATCTCAGTCTATGCCTGCAAGAAGCGCCTAGAAGAAGACGTTGATGCGTGAGCGTGTTGAGACGACATCGTCCAAATTAAAGAAAAGACAAATCTCGGAGATTGTTTTCCTAGATTTATCTGTCGGAAATAATGCCGTGCTTCTGGACCCTCGCGTTTGCAGTTATTTGTTTCGCCACGGGTAAGTTAATTTATAAAAGAATGTGTTTTTTTTTCCTACTACAAATCAAACAGTTTGTTGAAAGCAAGAAATGCGTATCTACTTGAACTGCATGTAATTGGTATGAATGATTGAGATCTGATTATACCAAATAAGTATTGGTTCGATATTGGAGGCAATACAAGCTGTCCTGAAAAGTAATTATATATTTGTTTTTATTCAGTCAAAAGTAATTTATTTAGTTGACAGGACAGAATGGAAAAGTTACTCAAGGTGCGCTTTGAGTTTTACATTAAAACGTTTTCTCATGAACGATCTAATTTCATGCATTAAAAAGAATACATTAATGGTATAAATCCCTCTAAATAGACCTCCACCTGTTTGTCTTAAGGTGAACACAGGTTGCCAGAATTCCAACATGTTATTGCATACATGCACTATAGGAAGGATTTTAACGAACTTTTAACTGGGGGTGTGCAAGAAGATTGTGTTATTCGCCTTTGACTTGTACACTGTTAGAATCCTACCAACACCTCCACTGTTGACATGGCTACGAGTCTGTGCTTGATCGTGATTTTCCTTAAAGTTACTCTCATCAATGTAGTTTTGTTTTCAAAATGCATTCCGTTTGCAGTGTCTTTTGGTTTTCTATTCATTTTTTTTCTCATATCGACGGACTCTTGGTTAAATTCTGAGTTTTGTTATGCTAGGAACAACATTGATAAAGCAGTGAGAATTAGCTGGGTTCAACTGCAAATGCGGTGAAAGGGAATCTGTAGTCTAAAGTTAAAACGTGGAGAGTCATGGTCTAGCGGTTAAGAACACCGGACTCATACTCTGGTGTTTCAGAGGCAACAGTGGCGTGGGTTCGAGCCCGGGCCCGGACACTTGTGCCCTTAAGCAAGGCACTTAACCATTATTGCTTCGTCCTTCGGATGGGACGTTAAGCCGGAGGTCCCGTGTGTTGTATAAGGCCTAACGCACGTAAAAAAAACCCAGTAACACCTATCGCTAAGAGGTTTGCTCCGGTGTTTCTGGCCTCCTAGTTATACTCCCTTGTGGAAGTCCCGTTAGGACATCTTCTCCTAAGGACATCAAAAGTCCTTAGGAGAAGAACCAACCAAGTATCTAAGTAAGATTGGTGGGTGTTTCCTGCGACTTCTAGTTTTCATGTCGGTAAACTTACATAGCTCTTTTAGGAAAAAGTTTTCATTAGCTTTCGTAGCAAAACTACTGGTATGGATAAAACGAAAAAGAAGATAATCAGGCAAGGTTTATTTACAGTCTTGCAGGGTCCAAAAGTGGCGATGACCCTAGACCAATACGGGCACGCTGTCAATTCTATCACGAAGGCCCCCTTCAATGGCGAAAGCATTGTGCTAGCTATTGTTCAGATAACCCGTCACGCGGCAGTTGCTTCATGCACAAATGTTTCTCCAGGGGGCCTCATGCGTTTAGAACAGTGACCACGTCCCCAGATATATATGTGACACATAAATAAACTACTATTCCTTTTCATGCACGTTTACGGGAACTCGAAGAACAAGTATTTCGACTGTATTGCTTGAAGAGTACAGGCCTAGTACAATCACCATTACGTTTTGTGAACACTCCACCAACATCAATGTGTTTTTCTTTTCAGGAGCAATTGCGTCGGAGGAGCAGTTTCGTCTCATCGATGACATCTTTTACAAGAAGCGATACAACAAGGTGGTCCGGCCTGTCATTAACGAGACCACGCCCATACTGATCACCACGGAGCTGTACCTGAGCCAGATCAATGACGTTGTAAGTATGCACTATGGGTGTTGCCATGGGGGCGTGACAAGCCAGAAGCCTGGGCGTGTCTGTGTTTTGTTATGGTTCCCGACAAATAAAATATTGAATGGAATGTCAATTTAAAGGTATATAGGATATTTGCTTTTCATGTATTTTGTTCGTTTCCGATAATAACACCCCTCAAAATCCAAAGAAGAATGTCCAACAACTAACCTGTTGAAATATCAGCTCAGTAAAAAATACACTTTTTGAAGAAAAAAAACCAGTGAAAAACCATGCCATGGTTTTTCACTGTTTATGACACACGATTTTGTCAATAGCACCCTTCATTTCCCAAAATCAGGCAATTGACTGATCGTTGGAAGTCTCCTACATTCCTCCTACAATCTACTTTACAAATATACGTTTTATTCTTAAAAAGTGAAAAGCAGCCTCGAAAAACTGTGTTCTGTGAATCTTAGAACATGATTAAAAAAAAAGATCAAGCAATTTGTTCACTTTTAACTTCCGAATTAAATCGCCCATGTTGCATTAAACATCTACCTAATCGATTCTTATCTCGTTATCGCAACATAGAGCACTTTCCTCCGCCGCCCGATTTATGTTTGTTTTGCTCCCCCATTACCATCTTAAGGCCCTCCTGTATATCCGGAAGAAAAGACAAACATCAGGAGAGAGTCAAAGAATCATTGTTGATCCTTCCCCGAGTACTTCCCTCCCCTGTCGATTAGATTCCCCCAAAAAGGTTAGAAAAAAATATGTCATAAGAAAAAAATGTCCATTTGTATGCCTATGTATAAACGCAGTTACGTATTGATCCTGCGGCCACTTCACGCAGACCGTTGATTTCATAAGCGGATATGCGTTGGCGGTCGATCGTTGGGTAGGGACGGGGGAGGAGGGGGGGGGGGGTGATGCGACAGGCATGCCGAAGACAGGTCTAGATTGCCCGAACATCATGACTTCTGGGTTTAATTTATACATTTTCACACATCGTCAAATCCTATACGCTTTGCGCGATATTCTAATACGGCGCGGATGGGGGCTCTATAATTATGCGTATACGTTGACGGCTTGCAAACACCTTTCTGTGCCACCGAGTAAATAGTCGATGACATTATGTGTATGCGTCATTTGTTAGAGGAATTGATCTTAAATTTTGGGTTCCCTTTCAAAGTAAAATCCCACAGAGCCATAATAACAAAAATACAGAGCCATGAAATAAAAAGTGATTTTGTTTCCCCCATCAAAAGAAGGAATTGATTGAACACGATTTAAGATTAATTCATAATTCGAAAAAAAAAGAGATTGTAAGAATAAAAGTTGTATCCTATGGCGTCCACTATATAGGCCACGGAGTCACCACGAAATCTGATCCTTAAAGATTCATCTCAAACCACGTGATATATTATTCCAATAACGTAATATACTTTACGCATGCGTATTATGGTAACTAGGGCCTATGAACTTGGCCGGGTGCAGAAGAAGAAAAATTGCTGCCGGCTGCGCTTATTTCTGGATGAACCCGTGTGTACGGGAAGTGCGCTTGCGTTGGAACCGGAGTGCGCTGGCGATGTTTGCCCGGACCAGTTTATGGGGTTTAATTGACTTCAATCTCCGGGGCGAATCTTGGCCTGGCATCGTCTGCGGAGATTATTATGGATATAATTAGACAGGATTATAGGTGGGAAGTTGGAGAGGTGATGTATATTGGGGCAAACGGGTTTTGATCCCGCTCCAAATTGTGCCCAGGAAAATGTTGTTTTTCAGTGGCCCTTCATCATTGTCCCGTCATCATTGTCTTTTTTTTTCAGTGATAAATAATTTTGTCTCATTTTGCGGGCTCCGGTCATAATATTCTGAATACGTTTTTGAATCGCAATCTCGTCTCTCAGTCTCAAGACTCCATAACATAGGTACATTATAGGATCAAAACCATGTGAAAACCATCTTGAATGATTATTTCCTGTCGCTCAAAACCATGTCTTGTGGAATAATATCTTACGGTACAAGTCCTTTCTTCACGCCGAACAAGGTTTTCTCATTAAATGAGTTGATGCGTGTCCAGGTCTAGCGTAAAGAAGTGTAAAAGTGTGAGCAGGAAATTTCGGGCCGATTTCACTAGTATATGAACCAGTGGCGTGACTACAGGGGGCACCCCCAACGGAGGGCCTTACCCCGGTCCCCCCCCCCCCCCCCTATGAATTGAACACCGGTATATCACTTGCATTCAGGTGCCCTCTTGAAAAATGTGTGCACCCCATAGGTGCCCTCTCGGAATTGTAACCCTAGTTACGGCGCTGGTGTGAACCTTTGACTAGTGTAGTCTGCATAATGAAGCCAGTTGTATAACTCCAGCTTTTGGTAGGATGTTGCTCTCAATCGGGGAGAGCTGTGCGACAAAGTGCACTTATGTAAGCTGCAGTTGTGACTGCATGCCATGGTCGTCAGTAACCGCAACACAGCATATTTCCAGATGCATCGGTCATTAAAATTCATGATCGGTGTGCTCAAAACATATTCAGATTTGAGACCTTTCTCTTATTCCGACAAACTGAATGCATTTTTAAGGGTGTTTTTATAAAGAGCAAACGTCGAAATGATGAGATCCGGTGAAGAAAAAAAAACTGACAGACTTGCATTCCTATCGTTTAGAAGAGGGGGACACGGCGGAGCAAGCGCGAAGTTGTTCGTCTTGCGGGCGGCAGTTTTTAATTGGTCTTTCTTGTTGATTCATAATCTCGTGACATCTCGCAAACGGGCATTTGCCAGGTGTTTTTTTTTTCTCTCTCTCTCGCATGCAACACATTGGACAGCGGGTGGATCACGGTACTTGCTGAAGCCGGGAACGAACCTTAACCCATGAATTTCCGATGCGATATCCTGCAAGTGCATGAGATTAGTGCTGCGCACAATAGTAATGTAAAACAATTACTGTCGTTGGCTAAGATTCATAACAATTTGAAATTTTGCTCAAATTAGACAAACTCATAAAATGTCGAGAGAAAAAATCGTGCGGCGACAATAAAGGGAAAAATGTAGGGGACGCGGATATGCCCGGCCTTTTTTTTTTTTAGGGTTAAACATACTTACGTTGTTATTCTGAAGCTGTGAAGTTCCCTTTCCTTAGGGGCACGCCAGCTGATTTCCCGTCCATTTATTCATGGAAAACAGTTGAAATCAGCCGCTGTGTATTGTGCGTATCGAATCACCGGCAACGGTAGCATGTTGCTGTCGGGAAGACGAACCGAAATGAAAAATAAACACGGACCGCATAATGACGAACGTACCTTGCCTAGCATAACAACACAAAATGTAAGAATCATCTCTTACAAACATTAATATATAATGTAATAATATAGTAATTATAATAATTGAAGATGTACACAAACTTAAAAAATGTGAATCAACTGAAGATTTCTTGTTAGGATTTGTTGCTGTACTAACGCACTCAAACCATCTTGGACAGTCTACTGTTTATGACTTACAGACAAATATATTTTTCCAGAATGAAACAACGATGGACATATATTGGGTTTTTTTCCCTGTTTTTTTTAGCTCCCCATTATTGGAGAAAAAAGTACCTGTCAAATGCGTTCTTCTTACTTAACGAGACAAATACTCGAAATGGCAAAGTTTAAAGATAATTAACATACGAAGCATAATGTGTAGGGAATAAATTCAAAAACATTAAACCTTGCCCTTTTTAAAATAAATGTCATGTAGATGAGATGGTATCTATTATGTTGGTAGTATAAACATACTTCGTAATTCTTCCGCAAAGAAGAATTTGTAGATTATTTATAATAACAATTACCCTGGATTGGACATTAATTTTGGGAGACATCCCCATAAACTTGTGCACACAACTTTTCAGACTAAAATGTGCCCTGACCCACTATTCCCTTGTCCTTTTTCCACAAATTTCGGTACGTTTACTAATTAGACCACGACCAACAAATATAATGTAATTGCGACGCTAAAATTGTGTCTCTAAAGGGGAGTTGTGACATTAGGGAGACATGAAAATGTCTCCCTAATGACCGATGTCTCCCATCGTGCAAAGAAATTACGATAACGAGTCTCCTTAATGGTACCATTACGCGTATAATTATTGCTCAAACATTTTCCTCCAAGCTTGTGGTAATTATGTATTTAATAATTCGCACGACCCTGAACCTGAACCTTTAATCATTACAAACGATTGTTCTGTATGAGATAACGGAACCTAGCAAGACACCACGGGCAGATAAGAATCATGAGCGTATGGAGGTACGGGTTCGAATTACTCACGGATATCACGCGGATGATTGGTGTCGGCAAATCGAACCTTTGATGTGAATGTCAATTAAAAGGGACCGGAGTATTTTGTCCGGCTAAGGAGGAATTTTTCACTTGAAATAGACGACGTTTGAAGTAGATTGATGGGGTTTATCGGTTTTCTTTTCCATTTAAGTTCATAGATGTATTATATTTTAAGCCACTCTCAGTCAACTGAGTAGAAGAACTAACATGCGAATGTGAACATTAGGCCTATATGAATGCAGGCACGCAGATTAATGCAAAATAGCACTATATCGATTAAATGCTTTAGCCGCGCTGCTATACAGCAAGCAAGCAATAATAGGAGACACAAGAGTGAGCGAGCAAAAACTCAGTTGATGTCTGTAAAAGAAAAGAAAAATCGGTATTTTAAAAAAGTGCGGAGCGAAGAAGCACGCAGTCAAAAAACAGTTATCAAAGAACGTTGGCATGCCAACCTCCGAGCAAGAAACGAAGCTAGAGCGGGGGGGGGGAATCTTAAGTCTGCCATGAACCAATCGAAAGACAATACATCTTAGAACTTCTTCCTTATATATTTTGATCAGACCAACTTAGGCATGCAAAGCGTTGGACAGGAAAAAAATAATATAATAATATAATAATATGTCCTCACCAACGTCCGTCTTTTAAGGGAATTAAGAAATTCGACCGTGTCATCGTAGTAATGTAACAATCAGTTTAAATTTAAAAAATTGACCGTAGCATTGCATGATGAACCGGAAAAAAAAATATTGCTCATGCAGTCAAGTCGTCTTGCCAAGTTTTGGTGTGACAAAAACTTCATCGGGTAGTTATGAAAGTGTAAGGGAACGTTGACGAATCACACATTTTAGTGTGTCTGCCATATCAAATACAAATGTCATACTAACATATTTTCTCATGGCTCTTCTTATTTATGCAGAATGAGAAATTTCAGACGATCAGCACCATGGTGTGGCTAACACAGGTAAGTGCCAAATTCACTGGCTTATACTGTACGCGAAGTATATTAGATCTGGAATTATGGGATTAGGTTGCAAACGCTGTATACTTCAATCCCAGCATTCTTTGGTAGGATGAAGACATTGTGATTCTTGACACTAATGTGAAGACGATGACTGCTCTTCGTTACAACACCCCTATGTTCCGACGACCCGCACTTAAGAGTGTGTTTCTCCTGGTTAGGGTCAGGGTTAGGATTAGGGATAGGAATATGAGCAGTCGGAACATAAGGGTGTCGGAACATAGGTGTGTAAGCGTGAGGACATCTCCCCTGCTTCATCCTTAGTCCCCCTCAGCGACCTTATGTTATCTCGTCGTCTTGTTTACTTTTTGGCCTAAAAAGGAATTATTAGTGTTTTTTTTTAGATGGAAGTGAGAGTGACTGTAATCCGTGATACTTATTGCGTATGATTTAGCAAGATGGGTTTATATAGCGGCAGGCCCGGATTAAGTGTTTCGTAGGCCTATAGGCACCAGTGTTCCGTAGGCCCTACTCCGCCCTAGCCACCGTCACCAAATTCAGCGTACAAAGCACTGTACAACATCAAGCCATGTCCTAGCTCTAAAAGCTCGCTGGCTAAAAGGGCGTCAAACTTAGAAGTGGGGGTGGGGGTGGTACAAACATGTGTATGAGATCTAATGTGCGAAGCCTAAACGGCGTGGGGTTAGTCGGGGCCTGCTTAAGGGTCCCGGAAAAAAATTGAGGCAATTTCTGACTACTGGCAAGGTTTTAGCAAAATATCGTCATTTAAACATCATTTTCGAGTTTGGAGTCATTGAATAAGCTATTCTGAGCTACATAATCAAATGTAAACTAAAATTATTTATTCAGGGAAGAAAATAATTGGAGGAACATTACTACATGTCCCCTCGCCCCCACCGATCGACGTCCATGGTTGGCACCGTGCTTCAGAACGATTAACCCTTACACGTAAATTGTATACGTAGGGCCTGCATTATGTACGCCTACATGAAGCACAGCGTCAGTTGGTGAAATCGAAAATTCTGAGAGAGACTCTAGAACTTTTAAAAACGTTTCTGTGCGCGTGGGTGTGGTGTGGGAAGGCCTATATGTGTTCTATGGCACACTGCGGTATTTTCGTAGGCCCCAGGATTGTGTGTAGGCCCCCGAAATTTTCTTAGGTCCTCGGCACAGTGCCTAATGTGCCTATTGGGTAATCCGGGCCTGTATAGCCGGGTTTCGCTCAGGAATGGATGGGGTAGTCGTGAGCTTAAAATAACATAATTATATAGGCGTAGGGGGAACAACGTTTTTATCATAATTAAACTGACTGCAAATCGCTTGTATGGCTCGAATGTGTAAACATTTTTCTACTTTTAGGTGGTTAATGCTGATTGAATTTCCCGTCCCCAAAATTCATGCGACGTCCATGTAATCGCTCTCGTTTATCGAGAAACCCCGAAAGATTGCCATCTAAAAGAGTATAAGGCTTTGGTTTATTCCTAAGTGATTTCCGTATTAAATTGTACACCCAAGGGATGATTTTACAACGCAACAACCGCTAAAGCAATGTCATTCGTTCATTGAGTGGCGAAACTTAGGCCAATGACAGGTCCGCACCTCATAATTCGATCGGCCCGAAGTCATTAAATCATCCGATGACCTTGTGTGAACGTGTACATGACTGAGCGTCGAGTGGAGATTGAGCTAATGGGACTGACACCGCGATTGAGTCATATGGTTAAAGCCGCCGGGCATAATGCTCATAACTTCGACTAGGATTTTGAAATTAAAGTCGTACTTTTTTCCGTGACCATGAAAAACCTTTCCGAAACTATAACCCTCAAAATACATTGAAGTACATAGGTTACAGTTTTGGCAAGAACAGATCGTCTCCCAACTCGTTTGATAAGACCTTTATTAAAAACAAAATCTCAAATCGCTCAAACAACCCTTTGTTTTGTAAACATTTTCAGCGGATTTCTTTTTGACCAATTTCCATTAATCTATGCAAATTATAAAGCCTACATTAAAGTGTCAAAGAACATTCGAAACTTACATCACATTCAAGCTATGGTCCTTGTTTCTAAATCGATTCAGAATTCAACTCTAGTTTCATTTTCTTTTCTCGACAACCTGTCCTCTTTTTATTCAAATTTACAAAGTCACCTTTTTACCGATTGCCTTAATACTTTGCTCCGTGAAGCGTTGGACGGATGAATATCTGCAGTGGGACCCGGAGGAATACAACGACCTGACGGCTATTCGGTTGCCTTCCAGCTTGGTGTGGTTACCAGACACGGTGCTCTATAACACGTGAGTAATGCTTTTGCTGGCTGGCTGCACACTGGTGAAGAGAGCCGGCAGTGCTATCGTATAGGATCACCCCGTAACACTAATGGATGTCGGATCCCATTTATCCCTTCCTATCCCATTAATTCTCTTCCCATTTCGTCTTATCCCATCCCTTCCCATTCATCCCTTCCCATCCCATTCTAGCCCATCCCATATCCCATTGCATCCCATCCCATCCCATTCAATCCAATCCATTCCATCCAACCCCGTTCCTTCGCTTCCCATCCCATCCCATCCCATTGCATCCCATCCCATCCCATCCCATTCCATTTCATCCAATCCCGTCCCTTCGCTTCCCATCCCATCATATCCCATCCCGTCCCTTCCCATCCTGTCTCATCTTATATCCCATCCCATCAATCCTCTCCCATCCCATCAATCCATTCAATTCCCATCCCGCGTCTCGTCCCATCCCATCCCACACTATCCCCTACAATCCTATTCCATCGGATCCCTCCCATCCCATCCCAACCCATTTCATCCCTTCTCATCCCATCCCATCCCATTTCATCTCATCCCATCCCATCCCACCACACGCTATGCCATTCCATCCCATCTCATAACTTGTCATCACTTAACTAATCTGTATCATTATTATGTGGAAACTGCGAATGAATCAAATCAAATCAACATCAAACTCTCATCCTATCCACATAGTCGTGAGACGTCCAACGCGCAGCTGATGTCCATCGAAACCACGATGATCATTAACCACGACGGTAGCATCGACTGGAGTGCACCCATCACCTTGATCAGCCAGTGTAGCGTCAACGTTAACTTCTACCCTTTCGACGCCCAGAGGTGTAAGCTTAAATTCGGCTCTTGGCAGCACGACGCCAGGTTTATCGACTACCCGGAAGCAATTGCCGATGCAAGCATGTACCAACATAACGGAGAATGGGACACATTTGGTGGGTTATAATTTTGTAAACAAAACAAGCGAATCCCTCAATTTAGAGCTTCGTTTTTGTTGATTGTTGCACATCGATTCAAAATGTGTGACCCGCTAACCTCCAGACAGGTTGAAAAAGTAAATTGTGAACCCTTGGGTAACAAGATAAATGGGAATCAGATTTCATTGTAATGTACGTTAGAAACTTGACAATTACAAACTAAGAACGTGAGATTATATATGGTAGAATCCAACGCAAGCTCAGAATCAATATGTTTGCTGCCACCAAGCGTCCTAAAAGCCCCACCTGTATCTATCTTACAAGCTGTCCGCCATGTTTCTTTCCCCAATCCATGTATCCACGACGGAATACAGAGATGTCAGTCAAGCGCAACGTCAAGATCTATGCCTGCTGCCCGGACAGGCAGTACCCCGACGTGACCTTCACGCTGATCCTGCGCCGCAAGCCGCTGTTCTACGTGGTCAACCTGATCATCCCGTGCGCCCTCATCTCCGCCATGTCCATGGTGGAGTTTATCCTGCCCTGCAACTCCGGGGAGAAGGTCTCGCTGGGCATCACGGTGCTGCTGTCGCTGACGGTGTTCATGTTGGTGGTCGCGGAGAACATGCCGGCCAACAGTGATGATATACCTATCATTGGTAGGAAATTCCTGTCGTAATTCTTTCAAGTTTAACATAGACATGGATTGGAGCGTGATTAGAACTTTGCACCTCTGGAACACTGTACCGGTGCTCTACCGACTGGGCTCCATTCGATCAATATGTTTATTCAGAATCGGAGGTAGTGGGAGGTCAATGTAAATGCAGGTCTTGACAATTTATTGGACTACTTCTCGAAACCTGGATATCTCAAACTTTGTGTCTAACACTAATACGATAATGTTCGTAGGTCACAGGATCCAATCCTAGTTCCAATGGTAAATTGCAAGTTTGTTTTTCAAATGACCAGGTACGACAACATTCAAAACACCCAACCCTGTTGGCCTAAAATATAAAACCCATTATAAAATTGTATTTCCAATGGTAAAGTCCGTCAGCAGACTATTTACCATGGCAGCTATCTCTGTATTCTTTTGCAGCACGATACTACATCGTGACAATCTTCCTCGTCTCCTTCTCAACCTTCATGACGGTGATCGTGCTCAACCTCCATCATCGCAAGTACCGAGTACCAAACTGGGTGCACAGTATATTCATTGGCGGTCTGGCTCCCGTCTTCTGTCTCAAGGTAATCGCACAACTTAGAATACCAATAAAGAGAGAAAAGCATTAACACCATAGCACTTTCCCCAAACCCCAAACAAAACTAAATCATACCTTAAACCAACTGCACCAATATGAAAATGTTGAATCTTCAGTGACTTTCTCTGTAATACAAATCTACGACACTTCCAAGCAGTATACAGACATCATTAATGGACGCCTTTCTTTGACGTGCAAGAATTAAAAGATGCATTTCATCAGTCTCTCGAGCTGATCTTGGAGCATTTCAAGATAACCCTCACCTCTTCCACGACAGGTAAGCAGCCGCCGTACCAAGAACATCTACAACAGCCGGAAGCACCACTTCCAGCTGGTGCCGACAGCTAGCACGGCCACCACGTACCTGGACCAGGACTCCTACATGTCCAAGGAGGAAGCTTCCAGCATGAACAACACTCCTGCTCACGGGCATACCGAGGCCCCGTACACAACTCAGAGCCAACCTCGGAGGCCGTGGGACTGGAAGGTATAATGCTTGAATGTAATGATTTGATGAAGCTTTATATTGCAGTGGAATGAATACAAGAATGGATATCCATCTGATTCTGATCTATGAAATGTTGGCTCCGAAAGAATCGAGAGGGACGTGTTTCCCCTTAATTACATTGTGTTACCCGCAAACCTCATCTAGGCCTTGTGGCTAAAACGCTAGAAAACACCTGACATTTTTGTTTCTGCTGGATCAAAACTGACACCTTCACCTTAGCCTTTACATAGTCTAATCACCAAACTCGGACAAGATTGAGGAATCAAACAACCCTAACAAAACCAATCTGTGAACCTCAGCTGCTGTAATCGCTGGTTACCTTTTGCACACAGTCCAATAGGTAAAAAGTACGCAGAGTGCTGAACAAACTTGTATGTCTCTGAGTACCTCATGATAGAATCACTTTTCTACATTCTTTAATCGTGGCCATTTTCCCCACACGATACAGGAGCAAGCCCTGATGGACTGCCTGACCAACGTCCGGTTCCTGGCCCAGCGGTTCGCCGAGAGAGACCGCGAAGAAGAGATGGCCAATGAGTGGCAGAGCGTGGCCAAGGTCATGGATCGCTTCTTCCTGTGCGCATACATCATCTGTGTGGTGGTCATGGATGTGGTCATCGGCATGCAGATCTTCCAGGATCACGGCATCACCGACGAGGCGCTGAAATCGGCCGAATAAAACTGGTAACTGTTTCATCTGTGAACGTTTGTGTAGCGGTTTGCTGTATGCACTGGCGGTTTGACTGGCTGGGTAGTTTATGGAAGACAGACCTGACTGCAAGGATCATCGATGATTCAAGTAAGTGACTTTATTGGATTATGGTAAACCAAGACTACGGTTTGTGATGGTTAAGTGATTTGCAGCATCACTGGTTCTTAGGTACCTTCGTGACTGGTTAATGGCTGTAATGGAAAATATGGAGGAATAATAAATGATTCAAATAAGTGACTTTATTGGATCATGGTAAACTAAGACTACGGTTTGTGATGGTTAAGCGGTTTTTCAGCGTCAACTGGCTCTAGGTTACCTCCTTGGGTGGTGGATAGCTAGTTATTGGAAAATATGGAGAAACAGCAATGGTTAAACTAGGCCTACATGTTTATGTTTAACTTTACGTTTTATGGAGCGTGGTTTACTGAAGAATTTGGATATTTAACTAGAACAGCTTATGGTGCAGAGTAACCGTCTTGAACTCACCAATTTCGAAAATTGGGTTAAATATTAGTTAATAATCCTTACTAGTGCTCAAGTTGGATGCAAGGTTATGAGTTAGTCCGAGGTAAAAGGTTCAACCGTTCCAGAGGGCAATTATTGTGAAATCGGTGCTTGTGGATACCAATTCCAGCCGTAAGAGTACAAAGGACATTTTGTTATTCACTGAAATGGTATCGCCCACGCGATACCGGTTTTCAATTACAGTGATGAAAATACGGAGTTTGTATGATATAGGTGAGCTGCCGATGTCACTGAAATAAGGTTGTTAAAACAACTTTGCACGAACCTCAAGGCGGCAGAAAGATGGTATGTTTACAGGAAAAATTACTAACAATTGTTAATACATTCTAAATATTCACATTATCATTTGATCTTTATGTAAATAGCATCGTGTTGTGATATTTGAGACTTAGTCTATAAAGGTGCAAATGGTGAAAGGGATCGGGCATTGAGATGGAGTGGATTAACTTGAGATAATTTTGGAGTAACTTTGAAACAAATTGCGGAGGAGTCATGAGCACGTTCAGTTTTAACCGTCAATGACATTTTAAACAAATGTCATATCAGTCTTGTAGCTGGCCATAAAAGATGTCAGACACTTTTAATTCGTACAAATTGACGTCAACAAAAAGGTTTTGCGTATGAACGTGTTCCACCTGTGGATCCAACTGCTGGTACAGTGTACGTGAGTGACTATTGACCTACTTGACAAGTGTATTGTGCATATTTTATGAATGTTTTACCTATAGAGGTTGTGTTAAGCTGGGAGTTTGTACATATAGGGTGCATTTTTTTTCTCATGCTCAAGCGAAAGTCTTGGAGTGAAGTGAGTTTTTTATGAACGCTTTGAAAAAGAAACTATTCATAACTTAGTCTTGGTTAGTTCCTTGTATACACAACTGTACAGTGAATTGTACTACCCTTTTCCTTAAGTGTAAACTAATTAAGATAAATAAAGGTTGCCTATTGTATCTAATGTCGTGTTCCAAATATCACCTTGATGGTGCTCTTTTGTGCATATGGTTTTTGAATGTTAATGGATGTTTTAATGCTCAATATCTTTCCCCAGTACAACCACGTGTTATTTGAACATGCTGACGAAAAACTCCTTGACATTTCCTTAGTCTGGTTCCCAGACCAAAAGATTCTTACAATTTCTTATGAATCTTAGGTCAGGTGCCCGCTACAATATATATAACGGTACGTGACCGAAACGGGAGGAATGCCTCCTGGCCGTTTGTGGAAAAGTCTATAGTTTGCCCGGATATGAAATTGGTTTTACTTACCTGTCATGCTTATTAAAAAAAATATATATATATAGTTGATAATTAATGTTCATTGCTTGCATTTAGAAAACTTGAAATTCAGTGACGACATTGTGTATCAAGTATACACTCGGATCGTACGAGGGGCGAGCTATATATGCTGCGTCATGTACTATTTCGAATCTGACGACGGTTACAAAACTCGGCGTCGTCTCCATTTCGGCTTCGCCTGCTATTTGAGTCCCTAACTTTGAAGATTTCAGCTCAACATTAGTCAATGTTTTCTTTCAGAAATATAAAAAACTGCATGATATTATGAAGCAAGTAACTTGATCGGAAAAAGCCACACCGGAAACGGAGCAGCGCTTTGAAAAAAAAAAGGGTCATTATGTTGATTTTTGGCCCGGTGGCGGTTACCGTACCTGACCTACAATTAAGACGTCAGGGCGTCGGGGAATTGTCAGGTCAGGGAACCAGACTAGACATTTCTTATCACGTATCGTTGATTAAAACGAATGTTCTCGTATCAACTCTATTGCGGTATTATGTGCAAGCCATTCCAGTAGCTGTTGGCAGCATCCCTAAATAACATTGTCGTGTATTAAAGTTGTATATTTATGCAGTTAACAGTCATTCCAAGAGGCTTGCGTTCAACAAATTAAATAGTTTATGTAAAAGAGGCTTCCCAATGCGAGAGTTGCCCCTGGCCGATACGCTTACGGCGATACGCTCTACTGTCTCAAGTAATAGACGGTATATGGGTCATCCTATAAATTTAGACATTGACATTTGACATTTTTTTCCTGTCCCTGTTACCTTGGTACTTTTTAAAATTTGCCACTCAAGTATTAATTATGACTTTCGACGTCTTTTTATTTGTTAAGAAGGTAGTTTGTTGTTGATAATCACACTTGGACGACGACTGCACGAAGACGTGCATCATAGATGTCCGATGTAATTAAGACAGGGACAAAAGTGGACCCCAAATTTCATGTCTCGGGCGCAGCTCAAACGGACCGAACATCCCAGTTTGCTTAAACTGCAAAGAAAGGCAGATTTTACCTGATATACTTTTTTTGATATATCATTTTATTAGCTTTTACGGTATATATTACCGTCTGTATATGACAATAACGGACCGTATGAACGGACCGTATGGAGCACAAATTTCTAGGGCACGATGATTAAAGAATTAATTATCTCTCATTCAGACACTCGTTATTATATAAGCATGCACAAAGGTCCAACACTAATAACAAGAGAAATCCCTTCCGAAAACACATATGCTACCGACGTGACAATCATTGGAAAATAGGTTCCAAGGGATAACAGTGGATTTCTTTTTTAAATTGTGCTGAGACTATATCTCTGTCTGCGATTATATTGATCGTTCAGTTTGTCGGTGGAATGCACTGAATAATTCCCATGCGTAACATTGGTCAAATCATTCGTTTCTAACACTTAGGAAATCTACTATTACCTAAGACTTAGGCCTAACATTAACAACGTTTGTTCAGCAACGTTTGTACATTTAGAAAGCAAAAACGTAGTTAGTTTAAAAATCAAAACGGACATGCGACGGCATGAAATTAACGGCCATGGGAAATTTACATTGGTCTAGTAGAAATGTCTAAACAAATTCTGCATCGTCTGCCCATCCACTGTTAACGTACACCCCCGAGGGACTTGATTAACGTTTGCGTGAACACAGTTTCATAAAACGAGCAACGTCAAACGTGTTCTGGCATTCATATCGCTGCAGCCAGGTACGCGCAACGTATTGATTGCGCGCGCTGGCGACGAATGAAATTCATTTATTTTTTTTCGCGTTGCATTTTGGGAAGGAACATGCATGCACTCGGGCGGGAAAATATTTAGTCGTGTATACGAGGGCCGTCGGCAGCTTATTTAGCGTGGAAAGGAAAACATTTTAAGTGGGGTATTCGGTAAGTCGTAGGAAGTGTTGTAATGTATTGATCTACTGGCCCGAATTTTAACACTTGGGAATGTAAACGTTAAGTAAGTACTTTGATTGAACAATGGATAAATCTTAGGTGTATTAACATATTACGTTGTTGTAAAGCTATCCGTAAGAATAGTATTGTGATTAGATTGAACTTAAAAGATCCGGTATACCTTGTCACAGCTGACAAGGATTATATCTGTCTTAAATTAATGTACAACATTTGCAAACATTAAACAAACAAAATGCCAAAGTTTCTAGGGCCTACCTTACTTGACTGTAAGCGTAAATGAATTCTAGTCTCAAGCATCCCGTGAAATCATTGCGCCTGGTATGCTGTCATTTTCAAGAAAAGTGGAATTTTTGTATCAATTTCCAACGATGGTTGGCCAACCATCATTTGAAAAACGGCCTTTTTTTCAAATACTGCCCCCAATTGACCGAATTTAGTTAGTCCACATTTTGTTTGCAGTCGCTTACATAATCTATGGACGGGCCAAGCCAGCTTGTTTGGTTCCTTGGCTTGATAATTAATTATCTGATGTCAATACATCGGTTCTGTTTCGTCTGAAGTGTCGGGTCAGGGAATCAGAAGAAAAAAAACACAGCGGTGGCTTTTCCTCGTTTTTTTTTTTTTTTTGGGGGGGGGGGTATTTTCCCCCCAGCATCCATGAACACAAAACATGAAACAGCGCAGTGAGCCGTATGCAAACCCCTAATCCGTCCATTTCTGCAAATTACAGCAAAAGCAAATGTTGTATATATACCCCTTAGATTTCGGATGGGAATCATTTATATTGACATAAGTAAACATTTAGAAGCCCTCCCCCCGCCCCCCCCCCCCCCTCCCCCCCAAAAAATACGTGTAGTAATAATAATAATAATAATGTGTTTAACAGTGACACTCAGTCGGTGAAAATGCACTTGTTTTGCTCAATTTATAAAAGAAATGCTAACGGCCTTGTAACTTGTACACATTTTCTGCACTCTGCGTCAACGATAATGATATAGTTTTTTATAAAGTTCTTCCCGACAAACTCATATTTTAAAGGCTCGACATGAATTTTTTAAATAGGTAATATCGAAACCTATGGCTCTTTTAGGGTTAAAACTACTTTTCACTGTACATGCAATTATGCTTAGTAGCCTACGGCTTGTATATACATTATCCATGTACATGTATAAGGCACAAACACACTGATCCTGAAAAAAAAGTTGCAATTTTTGGCTGAAAACAATTTTTCTGTTCATGGATCAAGGGAGTTCTTAGTGATAAATTTTTGGAAATAAATTTTGAAAATATTCAGTTTTAATTAAGAGTAGAATGTTGTTGTGCGCATGCGTAACAAACGGTTCGTTTAAATTGATATTTGAATGGAGTATGTTGCAAAGTAGCACGATGTTTTAAATCAAGATCAGCGTGAGTTTTTCTTTCCATTTCTTACAAGGAATATAATATTATGTCTAGTATGAAATGAAACATGTATCATATTGAATTAGTAGTTGAAAATGGCGACCCATTAAGTATTTCGAATCATCGAATAGGTACTGACAATATAAGGCATGAAATAAAACCAATCACTTGGGATTTTAAAAATCTAACTGCGCATGAACCACAGCAATCATAACAAGGCTGGCAACACCGATCAGCACGGACGTCGAAGGACCGGGCGGGGCGTTGGAGCCAAGCTGCGGGGCTGGCTGCGGCCCGGCGCCCGGGTCAACAGGCGCGACAGTACCGCTCGGGGCCTCGGGGATAAAGCTGTGATCTGCTGTGTTGCCCGCCGAGGATTCCACGTACAGCTGCGTGCCGTTACTCCGGGAGTAGATGGCCGTGTAGACCTTCACGTGGGACGGGTCTGAGGCGCCATCTGCCGCACGCTTGGTACGACTCATGGAAGCTGTACAAGAGAGCAGGGTTGATGCCATCAAGTCACATGTCATAAGGAGTCAATCAGATGTCAATCAAAAATAACCCTTCATTCATAATCAAATTACAAGTCGCTCACAATTCGATCACAAGTCATTCACATCTCAATCACAAGTCCTTAACAACAAATCACAATTCAATCACAACTCAATCACAAGTCATTCACAACTTAATCACAAGTCATTCACAAGCAAATCACAAGTCACTCACAACTCAATCACAAGTCATTCACAACTCAATCACAACTCAATCAAAAGTCAGTCACAAGCAAATCACAATTCAATCACAACTCAATCACGTCGTTCATCACTCAATCACAAGTCACAACTCAGTCACAAGTCATTTACAACTCAATCAAAAGTCATTAACAAGCAAATCACAAGTCACTCACAATTCAATCACTATTCTATCACAAGTCACTCACAAGCCAAATCACAATTTAATCGCAATTCGTTTCATTTACAGCATTCCACGGACATCTCTAAAAATCGGTTCTTTTAGTAAACATGCATAACCCCTTATAGCATGGATCAATTTCAGTAATTTTGGTTACTTTAAAAAAAAATCACTAATTCGGGTCACTTTCTTTTTGACTCGCCCTGTATAACAAAACCAGGCCCCACCAGGAAAAACATTATTTGATGTGTACTGCTCATGACATGTTGCCGGCAGACATCTAAAGGAAAATGTACCGAGCAATCAACAACATTTACCGAGTTGTGTGGGATCTATGAAGAGATCCACTCGCCCATCCGGTTCCACTTTGTAGTCATGCACAGCCTCGTTAGGGTTGGGTACCTCCGAAGATAGGTAGACCGTGACCAGCCCGGACGGCGCCATGAATTTGATCGTAGCGCCCTCTGTTGCATCAATCTTTGAAATCATAATTGGAAGAAAAACACTGGACTTTTATTTCTTCTATAATACTGCCCCCAATTGACAGCGGGTGTTAAGTTCACATGTTGTTTGCGGTCGGTTAGATAATCTGTAAATGGGCACAAGTTCTGGTTCCTTTGCACGACAATATTATTCTCTGATGTCTGTAAATAATTGTTCCGTTTCGTCTAAAGCGTCGGGTCAGGGAATCAGGGGAAAAAAGAACAGCGGTGTTTTCCTCGTTCTGTTCTTCTTCCCGGCATCCATGAACACAAAACGTTAAACAGCGCAGTGGAACCATAACTATATGAAGAGAACTGAGTTCACCGCCAGTTAGAGACCAATCCGGGCCATAGACATATATTAAAAAAATAAAATAAAGCAAGTCTTGAACGGCAGATCGAAGACACGAACGTTCTGGCTTGTATCGGTGGATAGGAGGAGTTCAGACATATAGTAAGCTGCTTCACCACAAGGTGATTTAGAAACCATAAGTCCAGTCTTAGAAATGGGGACTCCGTGAGTGTATATTGATCACGTGCCCGGATTCGTCCATATTATTTAAATACATTTTTGAATATATTTTATACAACATTACCTCATCTGAGGTGAAGCGTGTGCATAACAAACCTTGCTGACGTTGATGGGGGTACACGGTACACGATCAATGATCAACATGAGAATCTTGTGAAACTGCTGTACTCAATTTTTTTCTCGACTTCTATAAAAACCATGCATACTGTCTGATGTACAATATTCACAGGTGTGAACAAAACAATCAATTTATTTGCCTACGAGAATGGAAGTGTTAATTTAATTAATATATAATCTGGGTCGTGTACCTCATAATGAGACAGACTGGACTATGATCCTAGATAAATTTATGCACGTGCATATATGGGTAGGGGCATGAGAAACCATACAGGTCTGGCCCCTCACCCCCATTTAGTTTAGACGACACCTTTAAAAACCCGCAGACGTAATCCTCTCCACGGACTGTGCTTTGCATTCCAAAACTCTTCAAAACCGTTGAGAGTGGTAAAATTATCGGGCAAGCGATTGGACCCTCTGCCGTGCTCCGCTGCAGCCCGCACGTGCTCTGTTAACCCTAACCATGCTCAATTTAACAAGATTCTGCATAATTCAAATGAACCCTTGACAGTAATGGGGGTTAATTCGATCCTTCACACAACACAAAGTCATTATCACACAGTTGGCGTGGCCCTTCATGTATCAAATAGCCACAGAAATGATTCATTATTTTGAGAGCAGAGCTCTAAGAAAGATATCAATGTACTGATTGACTTAAGGTGTGTACCTCATATGAGATGAAGCGGGCTTCGCCTTCCTCCAAGTCTGTCCGAATCGGTTGACCGACGGCAACAGCAGTCGTTTCTATTATTCATTAGCGAAACAACATTGACACCGGTTTAAAGCTATGCAAGTTCACTTCCTTATGCATGGTTATTACTCATAATTTGCTCGATGCATATGAATATGATAATTACTCACTGTTAATTACACAATGCCAAAACTCTTCACGCTCGTGAAAGCTTCATAATAGGATCATATGCTTTGTATGCATTGTTTTCGTTTGAAGTAACAACAAAATCTCTAAACCACAAGAAGGGCGCATAACAACTAACTCGCTGAAGTCTGAGCTCAGCGGCTACTCTACATTTTGAGAAAACAGAAGAAAGAAAATAATTATGCAAATTTTGGGGCCCTGTTAATGATTCTATTTTTACGCACATAAAAAAGTGTGCACGAAGGCACCGTTTTTGAAACCACATTCAATGCATTCCTTCCTTCCAAAATGACACCATTTCAAGCGGAATAATTATACTTGGCATTTCGTTTCCGTCCTATATCTTCACTTTGAGGAAGATATTTGTCATTAAATCGATGGGCACTTAAATTGCAAATGTTCCTACGTGGTTGAGCAGATCTTTATCTTTGGTATGATACATATTAAGGGAGTTCTTTTTTATATAAGTCAATTTCTTACGCCAACAAAATTTCTCACCCACCTCTGCACGTCCTGGTGGCCATGATGTTCTTGAGGTAGCTGACGGACTCGTAGTTGAGCACATGCAGGACGTGTGAGGCGATAGGCCGGGTAGCAATCAAGGAGAGTTCGCTGTCGTCTGAATCACCGATGCCGATGCAGTACATGATGATGCCATCACGGTGGGCTAACTGCAGCAAGAAATGGACCAAAGATGTACAAATATATGCGACAGAAATTATAGTAAAAGAAATTGATTTTATTCGGGCAAACATCACTAGTCAATCACGAGTCAATCAATCACAAGTCATCGTAGATTTGTTATAGCTTATCACAAGTCATCGGAGTAGTCACAAAGTTTCACAAATCATCGCAAGTCATCATCAGTTATCGCAAGTCATTGCTGTCATCAAAAGTTATGATGACAAATTATCACAAGTCATCAAAGTCATCAAAGTCATCACAAATTATCACAAATCATCGCAACTTGTCAAAGTCCATCAAAAGTTATCACAAATCATCGAGAGTCATCATAAGTTGTCACAAGAAATTAAATCTGAATAAGTTATCACAAACCATCAAATGCATCTTATACGTTATCACCATCGTAAGTTATCACAAACTATCACAAGTTTATCACAAATTATCACAAGTCGACATCACAAGTAATCACAAGCCATTAAATGCATCACAATTTATCACATATCATCGTAAGTTATCAAATTCATCACAAGTTATCACAAATCATCACAAGTCGTTAAAGGCATTCACAAGTTATCACTAATCATCGCAAGTCATCGTGAGTTATCACAATTAAGTTAAGTCATCTCAAGTCATGCCGTAAGAACTCATCACAACGAGATTTAAATCACAACAAATCACAAGTCAATTACACGCCACCAACAGTCGTTACCAGTCAATCGCAAATCATCAAACGTTAATCACAACTTATCCAGTCTCAAGTAAAGTAAGAAGTTATTTAAATGAACAGTGATTAAAAAAAAACCAATCAATATGATTATTCATCCCTAGTTATCTGTCATCATTTCTGATTTTGACATGAGATCCACTGGACTACAAATCTAGGAAATAGCGGTTAGGAAACCAGAACTGAGAAGACTTTTTTGTTCAAAAGTTGTTTTCCATATTTCGCTAGCAAATGAAAGAAATCAGTTCAATGTGATGCTTTTAAGAAGTGTATTAAAAAAAAAATCTCACCGCAGACGGGAAGAGAATGGGGAACTCTTTGTTGGTTTTGCCGTCGGTGAGAATGATAGCAATACGCGGCACGGCGTAGTCGACGGGCCTGGCCCCGCGATCCACGCTGAAGCTGTTCTGACGTATGTAGTCAATGGCCGTACCCATGGCAGTACCTTCAAAGACAATTGATCAATTTGAAAATGGAGTGCTTGCAATTGAACACCGGGTAATGATTGTGTCTACCAATGCTTATTGCAGAGGCACAAAGACCCGTCCATTGCGAGAATGCTCCTTGCAAGCTCTATCAGGATGTATCAAAATAAAGGTAATCCTAAGGTAAAGGGTTAATATGAAAAAGTTATTATCTTGAACACTGTCAAAGTGGCTCTATCTTAAAGAGTAGTTCATTAGCTTTTCATTTATATCTTATTGGCATCTCTTCCGTCACAGATGACTGAACACCATTGGTATGTTAGATATGTTGGTACTTAAGTTGGTACCGCACGTCACGTTGACCATAAATAATTAATCATTCAAAAGATTTTGTTTTTCATCACAAACTAGCGATCCAATTTCAAAAACTCTTATAAACAGCTTGCATTGGGCATAGCCAAAGCCATACCAAGTTGGGCAACGCCCGATTTATGTTTTGAGTAAATTGTTGCCATATGTAGGCCTACAGTTGGTATATTATCGAGTAAACATAACATCTTTGAAATGATTGCTTTTAATCACGAAAAATGATATTCCATTTATACTCAAACACTTTCAAGATGTCTTTTTAACACCCCCCCCCCATTCAAGAAATCTACCTATGACTTAATATGTCATAATTTATCTTTTGTAATGAATTATTATCAATACTTCTCAATTTCAAATACTTTATTTGTGGACATTAGAATTATAATCTTTCCATACCCCCTCCATTGTAGTTGATCTCATCCACGGCTCTCATGATGTCATCTCTGTTGTCATGGTCACCGAGGTCAAAGGCCACGGTGACCTCGTGCGAGAACTGGAGACAGCCCACCCGGGTCTGGTCGTCACGTGAACCGATGTTAAACGCATCCACAACCTACGTATTAAAAAGAATGACCTGACGACCCAATTATGAATGTAGTCTATATCTATATGTTAACCGTTTGGCTGACGGTTAACATCAAGATCTGAAACGATCTCTAGCGATTCTCTTCGTCTTAAGCTTGTTTTTATTAATGAAGTTAACCGTTTGGCTGACGGTTAACATTAAGATCTGAAACGATCTCTAGCGATTCTCTTCGTCTTAAGCTTGTTTTTATTAATGAAGTTAACCGTTTGGCTGACGGTTAACATTAAGATCTGAAACGATCTCTAGCGATTCTCTTCGTCTTAAGCTTGTTTTTATTAATGAAGTTAACCGTTTGGCTGACGGTTAACATTAAGATCTGAAACGATCTCTAGCGATTCTCTTCGTCTTAAGCTTGTTTTTATTAATGAAGTTACACCCACAAATATTTCACGACATCGGATCATACAAGCTGTTATTTCCAGGCATTCTATATACGCAATCTCACCTGTTTCACGAAGTTTTTACTTCGAAAAAAACCTTCTGAGCCCACGGACAGCGACGCGTCCAGGGCAAAGACCACATCCATACCGATCTTGCAAACTGCCAAAGAACAGAAATTGAAAACCCAAGATTATTTTTTTTTTATTCTCGTTTCCAACAACACATGTTTGGTTGGCCCATTGCACTCGCAGAATGATGAGAACATTTCACACGAACGGAACTGTTAGTGTACTTATGAGTGCCTGCCACCATTGGTGATAATAAGACTGGACTGATGAGAACAAGTCCCAAACACGATGGTAAAACAGGTACAGGGTGAGTCAAAAAAAAAGCGGAACCCAAACCCAAAGAAATATATTTCATTTAAAAAAAAATGTGTAGCACCAAAATAATTATTGTTATGTCATTGTATGTCATATTATGTCATATTTCATCTGTCACTAAAGAATAATATTCGTTACAATGACATAGGCTATTAAGTCATTTTATGTCATATTATGTCATATTATATATTATGACATACATGTATTGTGCCATTTAGTCTAACGAATACATATTATGTATACATATTCTTATATTATACATATATAATACATATTATTATTCTAATGAATGACAAATTATGTCATTCTTACAAGGTTTAATAAAGTTCAAAACTTCAACTTAATTTTGAAAAAAAGATGGCTCCTTTGCATTATTGCACTTTTTGGACACACCCTGTATGTTATCTGAAATTAAATGTCTTCATATATGAAACTAATTCCGGCCTACCCGCTTGCTGTTCCAACTCCGCGACTTTGATGAGAAATTCAAACTCCTGCCCCTCTGTGTTGTAATACCGCATCCACCACGCGGCCTGCTCCTCCGCCTCGTAGGCCACCTTGTCGACGGGCGGTGACGTCATCAGGACGTATATCCGGGCCGCCAGGGCCGATATGAGGGGTACCTGCAGGTCCGAGTATGTGACGTCACGCCAGTTGACGCCAAAGGAACCGTCCAGGATGCCATTGTAGTAACTGTGCAGGGTGAGTAAAAAAAGAAAAAACCCCAAATGTTGGGACCATTGTTTTAGTGAAGTTCTGCATGTAGCATTTTCAAAATCTAGGATATGAAAGCCCAATTCATAAGCTTTCTTTTAGTACAAGAATCATTCAAATCACTTATATACTCTTTAAGTTACGGAATTTTAAACAACCACCGTTTTAAGGTTCTGTCCACGGATCGCCAAAAAAGTTCCGTGTTCTTTCAGCAAAACGAAAACAAATCACATAGGGATGTGTGTGAATTGTTTTCGTTTTGCTGAAAGAACGCACACCTTTTTGATGATCCGTGGACAGAACCTTGAAACGGTGCTTGTGTTTAAAATTCTGTAACTTGAAAAGTGCTTGAGTGATTTGAATGATTCTTGTACTAAAAGAAAGCTTATGAATTGGGCTTTTGTATACTAGATTGTGAAATTGCTACATGCAGAACTTCAATACAACAGAAGTCCAGACATTTGGGTTTCGTGTTTTTTTTACTCACCCTGTATAAGAGAATGCGGTATCGTTACATGACATGTGGTAAAATGATTGTGGTAAAATGACAAGGAAGATCATTAAGAATGATGTTGGTGAAAAATTAAGCATGATAATGTCGGAGAAGTTCATTCCGCCCACCTTTCCCACCCCACGTCGGTCAGCTCTTTGGTCCTCTGAAACGCCTCCTCGCTCACCCTCCAGATACCTCCAGCCAGGCCGCCAGCAAATGCAGCCGAGTCCGTACCGTCGGCCGTCTCCACCGCGGCCAGGCGGCGTAGCAGGGAGAAATCATCCGAGAAGATGTCGGAGAGAAGGATTCGCTGGACAGTTGCCTCCACAACCTTTGAAATTGAACCATATTAAACCAACTTTTAAAACATGTTGGTAATTTTACAAACCACAAATTTTGAGACTCAACAACATTTTAACAAAACTTGTCGTCATAAGCTTCGTCTATTTCGTCTAAGTTCATCTCAAGCCTATATACAAAACCCGCAATCCCGGTCAAAGCTGACCGGGGACTTTTTAGAGTGCATACTGAGTCTTTGTCGTCCATAAGTCAGGGGAATACGATAATGGCGCTGACGCCAAAGCCGGGTGCGGAGCCGAGATTTGAAAATTTTGAAGATGTACTTTTGTCGAGACAAATTCTTGCAACAGGTTCTTCTGAAACCGCTTTGGGTATCTGGACAGTGATCTTGCCCGGCACTTCAGGCTTCCAACAGCTTCCTCTCTTGAAATTAAACCAGAGGTACGCTTTGATTCTTGGGCAGACATTATTTTAGTATTTTTTATTTTATTTTTAGTATGAGAATTAACTGCAACATCCACGTGACAACAATGTCTTCAATCAGAGTTGCAGTCAAGTCAATTACAAATCTATAAGTCAATATAGCCAAATCAGTCAACCACAAGTAAATCATAAGTCAAATCACATGTCCGGTGAATCCGGTCGCAATTAGTAAACGCGTTTTTAACGTTTATTTTGAATAACCTCTGATTTCATTATGGGATTGGATGAATGAATCGTGATTGGAGTCGTGATTGGCTTGTGTGAGGACTTGACAAGCTTGTGAGGTCTACCTGTCCTAAATTCTTTTTTCTCTCGGAAAACAATCTACATGTTAACCTCGCACGTACCTCGGGGCCGACTGCCCCCGGTGTTATGGTCAAGTCGACCGAGCCAACACGCGTGACGCATAGGAGGAGGAAGGCCGCAGTCACCGCCCGCCAAAGTGCCATACTGAGCATTTCTTGTAGAGAAAACCAAATCCTGGCAGAGAGTGATGTCCGAAATCCCGAGAAATTATTCTAAATGTGGTATTTGACCTGAAAAAAATAACGTACAAGCAACTCTAGTAATGCTTTTTTTTGTAACTAGTTCATTTTTGTATTTGCATATAATAGGCCTATAGCTTCAAATTTAAAATCATCTATTTTACGGCTTACGTGCACAATAGGCCTATGTTAATACACACATCGATAAAAAAAAACCTCACAAGAAAATTTAAAAGCACGTAGGAACTAGAACATTTACGGAAAGGTACATGCTGATTGAACACGAACATATTTGCTCAAAGAAAAGATAGGAGTGATACCAAATACCTTGCGAAATGATTACGCCTGACAACCATTGAAGGCGGTGCCCACAGGCAGTTTTTTTTATTACATGCGTCAGCAACGTAATCCGGTTACGATACCCCCAAAAGTGTACATACGTTTCCTGTTTTCTCAAAATGTATATAGTATCCACTGAGCTGAAACTTCAACAAGTTAGATTTTGAGAAATATTGACTTCAAACAAAAACAAAATGCAAAAAAAAAACACGTTCCCTTGTACCTTCAAAGCACTGCATTCAATTTATTTTTAAAGAGTCTGGTACACAAGGGTTTCAATGTTAATATCATTCAGTATTTTAAAAAAATTGTGTGTGCGATTTTAGAAAAAGGGGTTATGATTGCAAACTTAGTTATTTAACCCTACAATGCACTTATTTAAAAATGGACACACGAACAAGTTATATCGAACAAAACGAAGCCCTTGTCAACATATTTTCATGCACAACGAGGCGATAGAACTACGTTTGACACCATGGGAGTTAATTTTCAATATTATGGAATTACTGGAATTTATCAGTTATACGCTTGAGATACAAATCTACAAAGTGAGAATCACTTTTTAACTACTTTAATTTATTAGCTTCTACCAGCGTTCTCGTTGGATGAGCAATAAATATTATTCAAGCAAAAAATGGTAAACAACATAATCTACAAACCTGCCAAGTTCGTGCATCGACTACCGATGGAATTCAGGCGAATGCGGTTTTTGTTTTTCGGACGGCTTTTCAGATCCGATGGAGAAAAACATAATGATTCTGTCAGTCTCGATATCCTGTAATCGATTAAGTGGCGCATTCCGAGTCCTCACGGCAGACAGCCAGCTGTTGATGATGTGCCTTATGTCAACAATTTCGTGCGGTAGGCTACCAGTGTGAAGTCATTCGAAATGTCAGTCATTTCGCTGTATTGCATGGAATCGCCATGTTGGAACCAAAACGAGGCTTTGATTGCAAACAGAGACTTGTTCTATGTTCGCTAGTTATTACATGATAACCTCTCCAAGTTGCCGGAGTTTGCAGCCTCTCTATCAACTGTGTAGTTGGCTTAAGTAAAAATTCTCTGATCAGACAAGGGAGATTGGTACAACATTAGGAAGAAATAAGCGCTGCGAAAAATATAAAGACATTCAGGTTTAATATACAGCATCTTATGATTTCGGTAAAATGTTAATCAGAAATGTTGTCTTGTGACATTAATTGCTTTTGAATGCCACAGTTTGGCAATATGGGGGAAATTGAAGCAACGTTTTTTCCTACAATTTTGACAAACCTTTTTTGACAAGCTATCCGGTTCGTTACTTTAACGTCATTTCAGTTTTAACCACGCACACTGCACATTAATTAACATCGGATATTGGAACGGGAAGTTAACACAACTTGAGTGTTTATCCAATGGGCGCTAGTAATCGTGGTGCGCGCGCGAGTATGACGAAGTCACCAACGAATAGGATAGGCCATGTGCCCTGACCTGTGACGTCATGTCGACATGCAACCGGTTTTTTTGGCCCACATTAATATTTAAAGAGAAATGCAGTGTATGTATAACAACACCGTTTGCTGGAAGTTGAATCACGTGACTGCAGCATCCAATAAAAAATGCTACATCGACTATAGATCAATCATCAGCTAAGAAAAGTTGTATGTCTGAAAATTGACACAAATTACGTTAGGGCATGTACAAATGAAGAACATACACAAGTATTGTGCATCGGCGACGATCACGGTGGACTGTGGGGAAATTCCCCAACATTTTTTTAAGGGGGGGGGGGGGGGCTGGTGAGGAAAATTGCAGAATTATGATTTTCTTCTCAACTTGTGGAGAACCGGAGGAGAGGGTGGTTATGACATATTTCTCCCCCACCTTCCCCTGCCAATTTCCCAACCAAATAAACGGATCACTTTGAGCTGCCAGAACAGAATACTTTGAAGCAAAATCTGGCAAGGGAAGCCAACATACAAGTCTGCAAATAAAATCCAGCTACGGCTTGGATATCGACCGGCCGGCTATCTACACCACGTCCCCATCACGCGCGCTGCCTCTTGATGCACATTGCAGGACACGCACCGGCCCACGGCCGAGCCATCTGGGGGCCGAGGCGAGCGTTGGCCCCCTTGACTCCTTGCGTCACGGCCCGCTAACAACCAACCACTTCACGGTGCGCCGGGAAAATTTTTCCTTCAAACACACGGGGCCCGTTGATGGCACTTAAAACTGTTTGCCTTAGCGTGAAGTAGACGGAACAACTCGAGAGGAACAAACACAGACTTTTTTTTTTGCCAATCCCACATCCGAATCAAACATGAATAGATTCTGAACACATGTTGGAACTTGACAATTTTTTTCTAGCCTTTTAAGCGGGGCGAGAGAGAGAGAGAGAGAAATGCGAGATGCGATTTTAAAACGATTTCATTGGGGAAAAATCGCTCCGTTGAAATTCAGACGGGGGAAATTATTTGGGACAACAGACGGCGAAGTGTTTGAAAAGGTTCATGTTACCGAGTTCATCCAGAAAGGATTTTGTCTATTATTACATGTATGTTCAGCCTCACTGACGTCAACGGAGGGTGTGTAGCTAGCTAGGCAAATATTCCCATCTGAGCGTCGTTCTTTACTCCACAGGACATCGACCACCGTTCTCAAATAAATCTTCCCGAGAGAGCGCAGATTTGTGCGTATTGACTGAAGGACTGTTTGGTTTTGCACCGTGGATTCGAACAAGACTGGGACCTTCAGGGCAGAAAAATATGCGGAAAGAGTGTAGTATCCAGACGCCACTGTACTTCAGCAGTTGTGTACAAAGCCTATATGGAAAGTCAAGAACATTTTCAAAGTATTTCCTAACATATTCAGAAACGACACTTGTTTTGAAATATCAATTATCAAAACTTGAATTGGCAAATTGCCTCGATTTTAATAACAAAGTCCTCGTACGAAAGTCATAAAGAATTTGAGCAAAAATAATCAGAAAGAAATAACGCTTAATTATTTATTCAATTTACAAAGCTTCGCAATTTAAACAGCAAATTCAAATACTCGCTACCAAAATTCAAATATTCCTTACAAATTTTAGAACTAAAAAAAAAGCTTCAGCATTTATTAAAAGTGACAATGAGCAACCACAACATGCGACTGCAACTCCACTGAGTTCTTTCAAAACAAATGCCTTTAAATTTACTCAAACAATCTCTGTTTCCATACAACTTTCAAACAAATACTGTTTTGGTATAAAACCAACACACAATCATACATGTGACAAACTACAAGATCTGAAATATCAAAACTGTTCAAACATTAAAACCTGAAGAGGTTTGCTGAATGCTGCAAACCTCTGAAGGCTTGATTTGATATACATAGAATAATTTCAAATACAAAATACCACTCTGCCAAATCGAAAATATGTTTTTCAAAACTCAGTAGTGGCTTGGGTGACATTTTCCTCAAAATGAAACTGATGGAAAGGTACCTCAGAAAAAGGCCGAAGGTGCTTTTTTTTAAACAAAATCATTTCCCCATCCACAAGACGTGACTTCATAAATCAAGCACCCCTCTTGTTAAGTAGGCTGTCCGGGCAGATCACAATGTTCCGGGTTACTTATGATGATGACATAACAACAGATAATAACAGATAATTTATAAGGCGCACAGTTTCTGGAGAACCATTCAAAGGCGCCGGTCACTAGCAAATCACTGTGGTTTAAATGATAGATTGAAAAGATGAGTCGTTTGAATGATGACATATCAGTTGTGTCCCTTAACTCGTCTGGCAAGGAATTCCAGAGACGCAGTGCACAGCTGGAAAAGGCCCGGACCCCGTAGCTTGCCGGGCGCGTTTTGGGAACAGAAGGTATCTGTGATGAAGAAGATCTGAGGCCTGGTCGCAGGTTGCGAAGTTGTAACAGGTCTCGTATGTAGGATGCAGCTAATCCATGAAGGGCTTTGAATGTAAGGAGCAGGATTTTGAACTGTATTCTGTATTAAACAGGAAGCCAATGAAGATTGTATAATAAAGGTGTTATATGCTCGTATGATCTTGTTTTGGTCAGTAAGCGGGCAGACGCATTTTGGACTCTCTGGAGGCGTATTAATAATTGCTGAGGTAGTCCTGTAAGTAAACTGTTGCAGAAGTCTAGTCTGGATGAGATGAATGCGTGGATGAGTTGTTCAGCTGTATGGAGTGAAAGGGAAGCTCTGACTGCTGCTATGCGACGTAGATCGACATCCCTAGCAAATTATCCCATTTCTTTCCATCTTGCCCGCCCACATACCCAAACCACCTCCCCCTGTTATTACCTCCTTTTCCCCTCTTACCAGTTTACTGGCCAACTCCTCTTGCCAAATTTTGCCACTAGGGCCAGTACTCCACAGCCATCTTATAATGCTGTCGACATCTCTTGCGCCTCATCCTCTTGTTTCTCCTTCTCCTCCTCTTGATCCTTCTCTCCAGGCCAGACTTTCTGGCCAATGTAGGCAGCCACCAGGGCGGCTAGTCCCAGGCCGCAGGTGCCCAGCATGATACGGAGAGGGGGCAGGGTGGAGGAGGGGAGCACGCCGTACACTTGCACGGCAAACTTACCCCGGAGTTGACAAAAGCTGGAAGACAAAACATCATCAAACGCTGTCATATGAGTATTACTGTTGATGGATTCTTAAAGAAAACATGCAGTGGAAATTCAGCTCATCTTGTTTTCATGCAATTGTCTAATTGTCTTCTATCTAAAGGTTCCTTCAGGATTGTGAGCTACAGTACGTAAAGGGCACCATTGAGGAATCCTTTTGGGAAATAATAATAATAATAATGATGAAATTGTGAAGATATCTCTTACCTATAGTCAGGGTCGAGCACGGACACATTGAAGACAAGGATACTATTGTAAGGAAGCCATTTCAGCTGGTTGCTGTTGCGACTGCTCAGGACTTCGTACGGTTGGTTAGGATACCTCAATCCTACGGTATCTTCTACTGAGCAGTTCCGATAGTTCTAAAACATGGAAAAGATAAATACACCTTGAACAAAGACATTGACAAATTGGGGAATCGCCAACATAGGGCTGGATAGCTCAGTTGGTAAGAGCACCGGAACGGCAATCTGGAGGTCACAGGTTTAACTCCCGCTCCAGTCAATTTCAACAAAGAAAAACTGAACTGAACCTGCGTCTTACAATAAAAATATAAAGTTAAACAAAAATGTGGCAATTGCTGCTCAACATCTTCTTGATTGTTGGTAAACAAAAAAGTCACTTTGGGAGAATTTTCCATAAAATAACCAGCATTTCAGGTAATTTCTTTGCAACCGTCCTGTTGATTGCGATTGTCTTGTAGAGAACAAATCCTCCCAAAGATTTTACGAGGGATATTTCTCTCACTTTCGTTTTATGGAATACAAAGTACCTGTCTTGTCCATGCAGTTGCTGGGTCAGGTGAGTCCTGTGCTGTCAGCTGCTGCAACCAACTCTGTGGTTGAGACTTACAACCAGCCTGGTGACCAGAAACATATATTCACTTTTTATCGTTCAAAATGCTGCCATACATAAACGCAACTCTGTGTTGAGTTTGTGTAAGTTTAAATATTTCTATGCAAACAATTGCTGCTGAACTACATTGTACTATGTTCACGCTTTAAACCAGAGTAACATTATATACCTCCTGAGCTGTCTTTTCGTAGCCAAATGTGAACATGCCATTTACTTCATTCAGAACATAATCCTCCTTCACCTCCTCAACAAAAGTGTCACCATCATATCTGGAAAAATATATAAATAAAATAAATAATTTAATAATAAAAATAAAGAAAATTAAAAGAGGAAAAAAACAAACAAACAAACAGTGAGGTAGTTGCTTTTAAGAGATTGCATTTGAATAAAAATTAACCAATAATTAAAAGAAGTAAGGTCTTGAAACCTAATTTTGAATTGGAACTTTCTGTTGAAACAGTAGCCTGTACTAAGCACACAATGTGCCAATCGCTAAATAAAACCTACTCCCAACTGTGGAAACAGAGGAAACTTACTTAACATTTTGCTATCTATTTGTTTTTAAAAAATACATAATTGAAGGTTTGTTTGGGGATTGACAAAAATTCTACAACTTTTTTTTCAAGCAAATTCAGCCCCTGAACTAAGCATACTCGTTACTGTACTTCTGTGCAAAATGTATTCATCAACATCAAACTGAACTTACAACTCAACAATGGGTTTCAGCATGTCCTGGTAGTACACCACAAATGGGCAGCCCAGTGTGTCAAAGTCATACACGACCTCCTTGTCTTCTGTGGCAGTGACCCCGGTTGACCCCCGCATAAAGGTCGGGTCATAGGCATCCCTGTCATATCAGAAATCAAAATGTTCATTTCAATCAATTTAAGGAGTTTTTTTCTGGTGGATCCTGTGCCTGTAGAACCTGCACTCCACTCTATCAAACTGAGGGGTTAATTTAAGTACGCATCCAATTTCGTTTTGCTTCTATAAAAAAACTGATTGAGCCTTGGAGTCTTCAGGAAATCTTCAAATACCAGAAATACGTGTGAAAGTTCAGTATGTTTCCCCAAGGATCCTTTGTCACAATTATGAACAGTTACAAATCATAAGAGCAGAACAATCAAGTCCATTGAACAATCAGTGTGTTTGCAATAACAAAATGCAATCCTGACAAGCCTTTACCAGATGAAATTGTTACCAACCGTGAAAACATTGAACACATTATTCATAAATACCTAAGACAGTTTATCCATTCCTATAGGTCAAGGGGCTGTCACGTGGCCGGTTTTAAACAGTTGATAAAGACCGGCCGGCTGGTCTTAAACACTTTTCCAGTGTCACATGAAATGTTGACTCCTTTGAAATTCGGTACCTTTTAGTTACCGTTTTTAATATTGGTTGAATGTTCACAATCCTCACATAGGCATGTGCAATACTGCCAGCGAGTCTGTATTTCCGAGTCACAAATTTACACTACTCCGGCACAGCTGCGTTCTGCTACACATCACTCAGTACGCCCGACGCGCACGCCATTCTCCATATAAGGAGTTGTTTACAACTTCTCACAAGAGGGTCATACCATAGCATAGCTAGAGGGGTGTTTTGAAAAACATGAAGCAAAACTATTGAACAAAATCGTTGGAAATTTATAATTTGTGATTTCTTTAGACTTTTGTACCCAAAAGTTGTTATTTTTAGACCAAAAAGGTATTTATGAATGGAAACAATTATGTGCTTGGCCGGTTTTAAACACTTGCTTAAGACTGTTGGAGTCTGGATGCTGATAGTGACCAGAGCAGAACACATTAATTCCCTTATTATTAGATTGGTCCTACTCACTTGGAGATAATGTAGACGTAACCTCTCATGCCTGCACACTCCTCTTCACCATTCCTATTGTAAAGTGGAAAAAGGAATAATGCTTAGATCACAAGTATCATTAGCCCTAACTCCCTAGGCCTTTTTGCTAGGATGTAGCCTCAATCCTGCAAATTCCTCCATTACTTCTTGAATATGGTCTGTGGAGAGGTGACCACTGCCTCAATCCTGCAAAATCCTCTTGCTATGACTGTCAATAGGCTGAGGCAGTGGCAGTGACATCCTGGAGCAGTGCAGAGTTTTCAAGTATAATCAAGGACTAAATTTATGCACGGCTGAACATAAACAACACCAGGTCCGGCCCAAAACCTTGACACAGTGCATCCTCCGAAATCAGCAACGCACTTTTGCCATGTAACCTCAATCCTGCAAATTTCTCCAATTTGCAAAAGGATTTTGGAGGATTTGGGATGGTTAGGGCTAAAAGTCCAATTGTTCACATTTGGGCTTTGCCTTTACCCACATAATTTGATTGTATGCTCAATGCTGTGGAGATTAGAATAGTTACTTTACTCTGGTAGGACTTGAACTCTCATGCTTACTACGGGATGGGTTCGAATCCCATCCGAGCACTGTTGCGGAGTTTTTACGACCTCATAGTGGAGATAACATTTGCATCGTGGAATAATTTCGATATGAATTTGATTTTAAAAAAAATGTGTAGGAAATGATGATTGACAACTAAATAATTTTTAGGAATTTAATTTTGTGGGCTCTTTACACCCTTGGTAAATATTAGAATCAAAATGACATAATTTTATCAAAAGCAATTTGATTAATACAGCGGAACAACAGGGATGATGGAAAGATAAAACTATAATCTTAATTGGTTAACTGAACATTTTGTGAACTGTTCATAAAAAGAAAGGAAAAAAGATTAGTTCTTCTCCCAATAACACATTCAACCAAATAATGAGGTTGGAATACATATACAAAAACACAGAAACAAAAACAAAATTATGATAGAAAACTAGCAATCCAAACTGTTCCAAAATTTAAAATGTTGCAAGAGAGAAATGAGTTTTAAAAATCCAATTGAAAAAAATTACTAATACCTACCCAAACATTACGCAAAACTCTCAAACGACACAATCACAAATCATAACAGAAAGGTAACGTTAAACAAACGATTAATATCCTCAACATTTTTCACATTTAGAAAAGGACTAGGTTTGAATAATGATAACACTTTCTTTATGGTAATGAACTGAAGTATTTCAATAACTGTGATAAATATTAAAGAATCTGAAGTAAATAACACAACATTTTCATTGATAAAAACTTACTTTCTGATTCGGATATTCCTATCTGGTGGACATCCTGCTACGACACGTGCTACCTGGTATTTTGTTTAAATGGCCCATTGCAATGTAATTTGTTTAATGCAATCTTTGAAAATGCACCTTTGTGTCCTTGTTTCAATCTTGGAGTGGCTGTGTACATATTTTGGTGCCTTTTGTTTAATTGTTTTATGCTGATGCCAATTTCCATATTCATGAGCAAAAGTGTGATGTCATTCCAGGTAGAAACCTCAATGTTATAGTTTTTTCATCACCAAAACCTGCCAGAAATGTGGCTATTTTGCTGTCATTAATGTTCTCTTCTTTGGCGATTTATTGTTATGTCAGTACATGACAGTATGCCAATGAGCAAACTTTTCCTACAAATGTTTTCAATGAGCGAATTTAGGGGTTCACCATTTGAACAGAAAACCCCTGAACTAAGCAGTGTCTCCCTGAAATGACATCACATCGACAGCGCTCTCAGTTTTGCAAACACCAACACCATATAGTAAACTCAACACCCAAACTGTTGGACTCTGATTATGGTGGTACGTCTGACCCCATGTAAAGCATAATCAGTTTACTAGTGCAGTGCTCACTCTAATAGATTCCAACAAAACATGCAGTTGGATTTCAAAGGGTTGGGGTGGTTCGGGTTAATCTAAATCGTTGCACTTCCACTTACAGCTTGCTGCTTGTGATGGCACATCAAACTGGAGTCATACACACTCACACTCAGAGTTGACATACCGCGTGCCTCATCCTTTCGCCTTCAAATGGAAAAGAAAATTTATCAAGAAAAAAACTGCTCATTGTTGTCTTTACATTCATCAAAGTTAAACTTTAAACACAATTAGTGACGTCAATTCATCCCACAATGTCTTTAAACTCAAGCCGATCTGTGGAAAATTCTACAGCATTCAGAGGTGTACATGTAGTTGATTTCATCACAAGTCCAATCAAGAGTAAAACTTTTTGAAAAGTTGAACAAAGAAATTGACTGGAGCGGGGTTTGAACCTACGACCTCCTGATTATCGTTCCGGTGCTCTACCAGCTGAGCTATCCAGCCCTATGTCAATGGCTCCCCATTTAGTCAATGTCTTTGTTCAAGGGGCGCTAGTCAGAAACCATAAACCCACATATGCCATGTAGCCAGGGATCACGCCCAAAGTCACGATACAGACCTGGGAAATAGCAAACAGGGATCACTCAGAGAGGATACACCCATCACAATTAATCAAACGGAGATGAACAATGACAAAGCAATGCCTTTGTTCACTGAAACAGTTTCTTACTGAGCAACATCTGACTGACTTAAGATTGACATGTGGGGACTTGAACACACTTGCGAAAACAGGAGTAACATTAATTTAAATCAAAACAATTGAAGTGAGAAACAATGACAAAATCTTACCCCTCAGGTAGGGTATCTGCCACCAGTGCCACATTTATAATCTGCGAGGTTCAAAAATAGGCACGAAATAGACCATTAACTCAGGACTAGGAGGCCAATAGGCCTTATTCACGAGTCGGCCATATAAACTGAAAGTGAGGTAAAATCTTCAGTTTTTTTGGAAGTGGCGAGTAGAAATGAAAGTAATGAAATAAAAGTTTGTTACAAATTAATACCCGTCTGCTCTGATGAATAATTTAAAATGTCTGATCAAACATGTACATGAACCCTAAACCTTTAAGCCACATTTTAAAGAAAAATTTTTTAATTTTGTTTTTCTTCACGAAGAAATTAACAACCAAAAAAAGGTGCAAACACAGAAACAGTTGGGTTCTTCTTGGTTTACCAAAATTAAATTACAAAGGACCATTTCTGTTTGGTCGCATATATGGGAATGTAAAAATGTACTCACCAATTTCATGGTGGTCACACCTTTCGCCATGGGCCCTACATCTTGGAGGCTTGAATTCACTGATAGAATGCCAGGATTGGATAAGGTCACCTGTGACAACATGTACAATTATAGCCAGGTTTATCACAAGTCAATCACAAGTCAATCACAAGTCAACCGCAAGTCAACATACTATACAGGGCGAGTCAAAAAGAAAGTGCCCGGAATTATTTTTCCCCTTAAAAAGCAATCAGATTTGCTACACCAATGAAGTATGTCTTAAAGCTATAGTCCATCATTTGCAGCTATCCAAAAAGTAACTGGCGTAATTATTGTTGAAAAACATACTTGGTTGAAAGATAGTAAGGGGACTAAACTCCCTGTGAAATTATTCTTTCTGGCAAGCTATCAGTTAGAAGTAATCAACGAAAGAAGGCCTTTCCAACGGTGCATCTTAAGACGCACCGTTGGAAATTTCTGTTAGTAGTTCGTTTTGTTATTCGGCGAAGCGTGTGCAAGCGTTGACACGACGCACACGTGCGCCGGTTGCTATAATTCGTCGGATCAGTGCGCGACATCGCGTATAGCTGCAATCGGCTCAGTGAGAACCTGTCTCGGACGCTGAATTCAGGCCCAATTCAAAACATGATTCAGCAACTTTTGATTTGAAATTGAAATCCTAGAATGCTTTTTTTCTCGGAATTCACAGCTGCAGCTGAGCTGAAACTTCATCAGGTTAGTTGTTCAGTACCCTTCTTCAGATTTTCAGCACTTTTGTTGCTTCAAACGAACAAAATGCACAAATTATAAATGATGGACTATATCTTTAAAATATGTGGAACGTCCTTCTTTGGTTCTCAAAAAAAAATATAAAAAAATTGGTTCCACAAAGTAAGAGCAAAGGGGGAAAAAATAGAAAACGAGTCAGTATAGCTTACCATGTAGCTATTACGCTCCCAGGCACCAGGGATAAAGGTGACGTTCAGTTCCAACGTCTGACCCAGGTCCAAGTAAAATAGCTCATCATGGAAGCTAGCCATAATGCCTTGATGCTGAAAACACGGCAAAATACACAATCTTAATAACAGTTTTTGTTAGGTCTGCAAGAAATGAGAAATTCCATAGGACCACTGGCTTAAATAATAACCTTTATTAAACCCTCCCACTCTAGCTCGCAAATTTACAAAAAAAATTGTACTAAAGGGTGAGTAAAATGTCCCAAATGTCAGGACCAATTTTTTTAACGAGGTTCTGCCTGTGGCACTTTCAAAATCTAGGGTAAGAAAGTTCAATCAATGAGCTTTCTGTTAGTACAAGAATCATTCAAATCACTCCTGTACTTTTCAAGTTGTGGCATTTTGAATGCAAACACCGTTTTAAAGTTCTGTCAACGGATCATACAAAGGTACATGTTTTTTTCCGCAAAACGAAAACAATTCACATGCAATTCTATGTGAATTGTTTTCGTTTTGCTGAAAGAACACTTCATGACTGGGCTTTCATTTCCCCCTCAGAAATTTCCAATTTTCTAATAATCATTTTCACTGCTAGTCTTACCTGACAATCCTGCAACGGTGGCGCCACTTTGGCCAGCCGCTGTTGGACGTAGATCTCCTCAGACAGCATCTGAAGTTTGCTAGTTGCTGGAGGGATGACGTTCGTTGCGTTGGAATCGGCTGGATACAGCACCTGGATCTTGTTCGTTGTTTGTGCGAATCGGACGACACAGGAGTGGTCGGGGCAAGGCAGTGGGCTCCTCAGAGGCAGCTGTGTTGAGATATTACCACTATTTCACCTGAGACAGTTTACCCATTCCTTCTAGTCGGGAGTTCGTCACACGGGTGGTTTTAAAGCGCTGGTAAAAACACCGCTGCGTTCTGCACCATTGTGCAGTACGCGGTGCGCACACCAATTCTCACAGATTGTCAGCACTATGCGCGCGAGGCGCATACTATACATGGCCAGAGGGGTGTTTTGCAAAACATGCAATAAAATTGTTGAGAATCGCTGGAAATGTGTGAATTTTTGACTGCTTTGACTTTTTAACCGAAAGGTATTTATAAATGGTTTCTTGGCAGGTATGAAACAACTACGTTTAAAACTGGCTCAGACCATTGTATCCACATTCAGGTCCCTAGCTGGTTTGAAATGTACTTGTTTAAAACTGGCCAAGCACAACTTTATTCTCTTCTCTTGACATCAATTTTCACATGTCTTATTTCCTTCCATTATCAAATTTTGAAAACTTTAAAGACTTTACCTTGACTATCTTTGGTAGTAGCCCCTCTCTGCCAAAGTACAAGTCACCATTTGTTGTCAGCATTGCAAAATCTCCATCCTTGTCTGGATCACATAAAAGGAGAAAGTCCCAATACCCAAATGACCCATCCAATGTGATATTACATCAAAATACAGCTAACTTTTCTCAATCGTTACATATTTTTTCCTCAAAGATGTCTTGCAAATACAGGGAATTTTCTGAAAAATGATACCACAATTTATGTCTTAAATCATGATTGGTGGAATATAAACTAATTTTATTTAAGGTAAACGGTAATTATTTGGACGAAACGTTACTGACTGGAACTAGCTAAGGACTAGTCTATGGAATCTCCCCTTGCACAGCAAGGGTCTTATAAGAGCAAATTTGGCAACTAATTATACAAAACAAGACTGCGTCTTGACCTCGAGATTCTGACCATTCAGCGGGCGCCTTCAAGCTGGGCTTCCTTAACCCGTTGATGTTTTACAAAAAATAGCATCCAAATTGACCAATCAACAGCTTAGTCCACATTTCTGTTCGACTCCAATTGGCTGGCATGCGGGTCGCACAACATTTGCATGTTAGGCTCCACACACGTGAATGGCTGATCCACTGACCAGCTAAGGACAAGTATTTACTTAAATTTCAAAGTAAAAGTCACAGTAACTCACTGGAAATAACTTGTTGAACAGTCTGCCCTATATCTAGAGCTGGCAATGGATCCTGGGCATGGACTCTGGCCTTGACAACAGCTTTGCCTTGTACAGGAAGAAAAAGAGAAACAAAGAATTTTGATTGGGAAATTACGGATCTTTTTCTGTAATTTCAGAAGCTCTGGAAATTCTGTTAAATGTCCAATACATTTTAAGCCTCTGATCATTGTTTACCTTTTACAGGAAAAAGGTGAGGTACATGTACGTGCAGGAGCTGAGTTAGGGATGATGAGTTTGGTTGGGTGAGAGTGGGTTGGGTCGGTTTGGGTTAAGGTGGATTGATGTGGGTTGGGTTGGGTTAAGGCTGGGTTAAGGTTGGGTTAAGGTTGGGTTAAGGCTGGGTTGGGTTGGGTTAAGGCTGGGTTGGGTAAAGGCTGGGTTGGGTTGGGTTAAGGCTGGGTTGGGTTGGGTTAAGGCTGGGTTGGGTTGGGTTAAGGCTGGGTTGGGTTGGGTTGGGTTAAGGTTGGGTTGGGTTGGGTTAAGGCTGGGATGGGTTGGGTTAAGGCTGGGTTGGGTTGGGTTAAGGCTGGGTTGGGTTGGGTTGGGTTAAGGCTGGGTTGGGTTGGGTTAAGGCTGGGTTGGGTTAAGGCTGGGTTGTGTTGGGTTGGGTTAAGGCTGGGTTAAGGCTGGGTTGGGTTGGGTTAAGGCTGGGTTGGGTTGGGTTGGGTTGGGTTAAGGCTGGGTTGGGTTGGGTTAAGGCTGGGTTGGGTTAAGGTTGGGTTAAGGCTGGGTTGTGTTGGGTTGGGTTAAGGCTGGGTTAAGGTTGGGTTGGGTTGGGTTAAGGCTGGGTTGGTTGATTGGGATGGATTGGGTTGCTTTGGAAATTGGGTTGGGATGGTCACAGTTTGAGTACAGTTGGGTTGGGTTGGGAATAGGCTAATAGCTACACGAATAATGTAAGAACTACAGTTATTTGATACCTGACACAGCACTGTAGTAGATGTCCTTGCTATCCCATATCACCAGACTACCAAGTCCACTCTCCAGCTGTGCAAATGAGGTCTGGTTCCCCGTGACTTTAAACGGCAATGATACAGGCTTGGGCAAGTTGGTGTCAGTCGGGTCTATGCAGTCGTAGACGAACTGCGCACCAGCCATGTCATCTCTTTGAACAAGGAATGCAAGAGCCGATAGCGAACCAAGAACAGTGGCCCCCAATATTCCATCCTATGAAAGGAAAAGTGCTTTTTCATTTTCTCAAAGCAGTTTCATCCTTTGCAGTTTCAGGAATTCTTCGGCAAATAAACACAATGTAATACAATGCACATGTAGTCCAGTTGCTAATGGTTAACTCATATGAGTGACCTTCTTGTGATTGAAGTACCCACCTTGATGTCAAAGTCAACCTGAAGGTGTCTGACGGAAAATGACCGGCCTTGGTCAGACGATAAGAAGTATTCAATCATCGCTGTATTTGAGGAGATGTGGCTATTGTATGCCACCACTGAGTTGTCTTGCTCCTGAAATGAGAAAAAAAGAGCAGGCTGTTAAACTTATATGTGTACTATGAGCTAATAAGCTGCCTAAAACAGTGCCTGCTGAAGAGGATGAAGCAGTGACTTTAACATCATGGTGTATGTTATTTTGTAAAATTGAGGAAACCAATTCTGTACACAAAGAATTAAGATGATGTCCATCATTTATTGTAATTTTCTTCATATCATGCCCTTACTTCTGTAGCCCCTATTGCACTTGTCATCATTGTTCTTTTTTTACATGTTCCCCCTTTTCATCTTACTGAATTTTTAATTAATTGATATGATCGGACTGTTGGTGAATGGTGACTAGCCTGTGTAAAAGGCATGGCAGGGAAGGGGATTGATTTTCTTTGACTGTCTGTGACAGTTGAGACAGCAGGAGGGTTAATCTTTAATTTGAACTTAATTTGAATGCTGGAATGCTAATACATTAATGCCTGGCATAAATGGGTAGTTTTTATTGAAATTTTTGTAAAACCAAATTATTTAAGTCTTTGACTTTCTATTTGGTGGTGTTTTTTTAACCAATAAACCTGTTCTTTGTGATCAGACTTTTGATTTACTGCATTACACAACTCTGACTTCGACTCCAAAATCAAGATACGACAGTGGGCAAGAGGCCCTGCATAAGCCTGACAAAAACTTACACACTCGAATATGTTGTATTTACCTGACACCACTCCGTGTCATTGTAACAGCACTGGAAAGACGCAACGTTAGTGATGTCCACATCATCAGGGATGCCACTGGCTCTAGTCCACTGCCGCGTCTCCAGACTGTAGGTGAAGATGATCCCACTGACTGACATGATGAGACTGTCACCGGCAAATGTGGCCGACAGCAAGACAGGGGTGGTGCCGTCCTGTTATAGACATAGAATTTGATACAGAAAGAAAGAGAGACTAGACTATGGTCTTTGTGTAATAAGATGGAACTGATGTATTGACAATGACAAGATGAGGTTGTAATAACAAAGGAATAGATTAAGCCTCCTGCTATTTAAACAGTCACAGACAGTCAAAATTTGCATCCAATTCCCTGCTATACTTTTAACACAGGCTAGTCACCAGCAGTCAGATCATATGTCAAGCAAGCACTGTCAAACTCAGTCAATGAACGGACAAAGCAGGCAAGTTGGGGCACAGTGGCTTATCAATTACCCACAGTCAAAGCACAAGTTTCATAAACAGTCCCAGCCAGTCAATCCTGCTTTATGCAGGCTGGGAATTCTTAACTGTTGAATTGGGAATTCTTCACTGTCGCTTGATTGATTTTGACTGAAAGGACTACTTGGCACAGAATGTAAGATTGCATCTAGGAGAGTGAACTTGCAGCCCAAGAAACAAATGTCCAGCGAACCTGCAGGAGTTGTGATGGGACACGCAGAGGGTCCGAGGCAGAGCCGAAGCCATCTCTTGTCAGATATGCACTTCCCCTGAAATGATTCACAACAAAAGAAAGAAGTTCATTTCAAAAACATGTTTCAAATAGTGTTTTCTCAGAATGTACAGCAGTCACTGAGCTAAAACTTCATCAGGTTAGTTGTTAAGCACCCTTCTTTAGATTCTGAGCACTTTTGTTGCTTCAAATGAAAAAAAATGCACAAATAAAAAATGATATTCTCTACCTTTAAGTGATAAATGTAACAGTTCTATGATTTAGTTTTTGCTACTAAAATACAACTCGAATTGCAATATACGACCCTAAACACTAAAGGTCAAATGTGGTCAAATGGGACTGAATAACAATCGGCATTGTTAATTAATGATCGGTGTGAAAAAAAAAAACCAACATGACAACTTGTCTAGTTTGGTCACAGAAAGCGCATGATCAATTCATGAACTCAGTCGAGCGGTTCAGTAAGTCGAAGAACTGTCACCTTAGGTACAGAAGCGTATCCCTGTTGCATCTGTCTTGCACCAGCGATGACCGGTTCCCTTCATGGATTAGAAGGATACCAGTGGCCGGGCCTTCTACTGGGTACGACCAGTGGTTGATGACTGGGATGTCTGTGTTTGCAGCAACACGGCTGAGGAATGAAAATGCAGTGTGATAATATTAATAATCAACATTGGTTTGAGTTATTACCCCTGCTCATCGTGCAAATGAAAGCATTCCAAAGATCATCTCAGCTCGGGGGTTTCTTAGCTTGATTTATCCATTCAATGTGTTAGTGTCAATGGTTCTCACTCACGTTGGTCGTCAGTAAAATCAGGCGTTCCACAAGGGTCCGTCTTAGGACCGACACTCTTCCTCATTTATTACATCATGGATGTGAAATCGTTAAAAAAAATGTTAAAAAAGCGATCTGTAGAGTCCTACCTAGTCCTAGTCACTCGGACTAAGCAGACAAAGCTACGAGTACGACTATAGACTGCCGAGTGACAGCCAAACAAACAAATATTGGAAAAAGTTCCATACTGGCGCCGGACCACCACTCACAGCTCCTGCACAAAGTCTATGGGCCATGACAGTATATTTTAAAGTATTACCAAAGGACTTTTGCACTCCTTAAATACCCAGTGGGCAAAATACGTTGAAATAACGTTGAAACAACGTCAGTTTCCGACGTTGAACTAACGTTGAATAATGATTGAATTTGAAAGTTTTTCTGACGTTGAAATGCCGACGTTGAATCAACGTCAACATTTCAACGTTGATTTTATGTTGAAAATTCTACGTTGATTCAACGTTGATTAATGATTGAATTTGCAAGTTGATCTGACGTTGTTTTGCTGACGTTAAACCAACGTGGAAAGCACAACGTTGAATCAACGTAAATATTTCAACGTTGATTTAATGTCGGACATTCTACGTTGATTCAACGTTGATTAATGATTGAATTTGCAAGTTGATCTGACGTTATTATGCTGACGTTAAACCAACGTGGAAAGCATGACGTTGAATCAACGTAGATATGTCAACGTTGATTTAATGTCGGAGATTCTACGTTGATTCAGCGTTGATTAATGATTGAATTTGCAAATTGAAGCGACGTGGAAATGTCGACATTGAAACAACGTTAAGATCACAACGTTGAGTTAACGTAGACATTTCAACATTGATTTAACGTAGACATCTCTACATTAAAATAGCACTGACATGATGTTCAATCAACGTATAAATAATCAACATTAAATGACATCCTATTCTTAGAAATATCACAGTTAAATAAATGCAATTCTTGAATCAAAATATTTTAAGGTTTGTGTTAAGATTTAAAGCCAGAATGTACTGATAATGGTGGATGTTGGCATTTTTCCAATCGTTCTATGTTAAATAAATTTGCAAGCTGAGGAGTGTTGTTAAATCCATGTCGAAATTGAATAACTTTAAATTTAAATGAAATTCTTTATCAATCACTTTAATTTTTTCCATAAAAAAATGTGTGTATTTATTAATTAACTTCCAACCTTATCAGCTTATACAACACCTTTTAGGTTTCAACAAAGTAGTAATTAATCCATACATAGTAAAATTCAGAATTAGATTGACTTGTTCCAACAGCATTATAGCCTAAACGAGGGTACTAGTCTCTAAAAAGATACATGATAATGAATTTGATTCTTTTTTCAAAGAAATGCAGCACTGACCAGTGCATTTACATCAGAAATATAACACGAATTAACAAGCATACAGGTACAATTTTTAAACGTCTAAATTCACTTTTTTTTTTCATTTGCATACAATTCATATTAGTTTTCCAAATTTACCTGCAGCACTATTCTATCATATCTATGAATTTTCTTGTGAAATATTGCAAGAGGTTATGCGGCAGACTTGGGCAAGAGCATTAGAAACTATCAAATAGAAAATAATAAAACAAACAGCATCATTCATACAAAATTAATCTAAATGATTCAATTGAACATTTGAACAGGTCAACCAAGAATCAACAGTAATAACTAAATAATGCACAATACATGTACTGTATATAATTATTATAACAGTCCCCCACTTCTCGAACGTGGAAGTTTCAAGATGAAAAGTACAAGATGCGGCAGAGGTTGAATTTCCATCACTTAAAGAGCCTTTACCTGTTACACTTACGGAAAGATACCAGCCACTCCAGAGCAACTTACTGTATTTGAACAATTACTATTAATCAACTGTTCCAATATTGAAATATTTAACACAGTCCAAAGGTACGACTGAATGTGAAGGTGCATGGGCCCTCAGTGTGTCCCTCCATCACCTCTTCTTTCAGGCGCAAACTTGACAGGAGATGAAAAACTCAACAAGCAGCAACATCCATCACCTTGCCCGATTACGAAGTTACTAGACCTCGCTAGAAAAGACAAATAAAAGATAGAATTGCAAGCTTCCTCCCCAACCATCTCTTTATTCATTGACACAACCAAATCACCCTCAAAAACGAAAATGTTACAAACACAAACAAAGAGAAATACATACATAAACCATATTAGTTTCAACAAAGCGACAACACGTTTGGTCATCATTTTATGTGCTGACATTGTGTACAAAAAATCAACAGAATGATTCCTTTTATTAAACTTGCACTTATAAAAACTACCACTTGTATTTCCTGACACTTCAGCAATTATCAACCATACAACCAAGTACCACACAATGAGATTTTAACCAAGATCAATAATTGGTCAAAATAAATTAAATCTGGCGAAGAAAATTAAATTACCTGCGAAACTGAAAAGGTCCGTCTCCTCATCTGCTTTTTTTCAGTTCCACTCTGCCCATCATTGTTGAACTGTCTTCAATCACTTGGTCATGCACCTGTTGGATGAGAAAAAAAACAACGCTCAGAGACAAAAGCAAAGACCCATCAGGAAAAAAGATAACGGAAGAGTGTAAACATACACAAGTTATTATACAATGCACTGTGACGAAACTTCTGCCAACACTCAATTAAGATATAGCCACAAATCTGTTTTCATTTTTGCGTTTTGTTAACGTTTTGAATGAACTGGCCATTGTGTCTGTTGTTCGCACAAGTAGAAATGGATTTGAATACCACTTTTTTATGTGCGATGACTGCAATCAGAGCTACATCTCTGCAAGTGTTATTGACTTAAGAATAAAATAATCGGTTTTTGCCATAAAACTTAGCCCTGAATTTTTTTTTTGTCGGCATATACATACCAGCTACGGCACTGCGAGTACTGTCCGAAAGATTTCAAACTGAAGCATCTTCGAAAGTCATACATAACTCCTCCATACTGGTTCGACAATCCATGCTGACTTTGGCTCCTCCTCAATTCCTGTATGAATCATTGCTGAGTGGGGTTTCGTCATCTGTGAGGTCTTGTAAACTCTTCTGGAATTTTGAAAAGGATTTTTTTCTTCAGAAGCTGAAAAAGTGAGATTAACTACCCTACCTGTCCTACCTGCCAAACTTAGACTCTGCATACTCCCCAAAAAATATGCAAACCATGTCTAGTATCTACACAAAACAAAAACAAGTTTATGTAGAAATACCACCTGCCTATGCAATGATTGATTACTTAGGCCAATACATTTACGTAATTACTCACTCCCTGCACCGTGAGTCCATTTTGTTATTGCACCATTCACAGCACAGGCTACAAACAGCGGTATAATTATCCATGCTTGCATTTACCTAAAGTTTTGATACAGAAATTTGTGTTATGCATTCTCACTATTGTCACAGCAACTTTTAGTTTTACACAAAGGATCAAGGAACTACCCAGCAACTTCCTCCGTTTTGTGACTTGTACATGTGCAAGAGCACCGGGGTGGTGATAGCAACATGTGAAATCGAAATCGGGAGTGTTTATCCCCCACTTGATAGGCCTATTCCCTATGGAAGATAACCCACCTGGTTTAATAATCAGGGGAAGTAAAACGGTATAATGTACATGACCCACGACCTATCACCGCTGTGTAGCTGTACGAAGAAATCCAGTATGGCAGTAATTGACCTCGAGAAAATATACTGCATTCCATTCTACAATCACTTTTGGACGATCCATTTTTACTTTTTAGCCTGAAAATTACATGAAAACTGAAACTCTACAGTGCAGAAAATCGAATTATATTTTTCCTGGTTATTATTTTTTTTAACCAGGTAGGCTTAAGTACATTTCATCATCATGCATTTCATGTCCATAAGGTCTACCAAGTGAAAAAAAATGCAATTTCTATTTCCTCAGAAACAACTTTTCAATACAAAGGAAATCCAGTAATTGAGCCACATTTATTCATGGTAACAATATCGTCTCGGAAAGTTTAAGTCACACGTCCATTATACTGTACAGTTCAAAACGCCAATGGAGGATTATTTCTCAGGATTTCTCTCACTACTTTCCCATTGAACCCGTTTTAGTACAGCTCAGCAATACACTGTTCCGAGTGCCGGGATGCATGCGGTCGACCTGGTTCCCATACGTACCGGACGCCGGTATCATCAGTAACCATGCATGCCAGTGTCCCCGACCCCAGTGATGTGTCAATATTTGTTTATCGTTTTGGGGAGAAATTGGTTGCAATTAATAAGTAAGTGCTTCGAATAAACGTCAGGTATGTCTAAGCAACATCATAACAATAACTACGAATTTTGATGGCAAAATTCTTACCTGTTATTTGAGTAAAATGATGTCGGCTGCACGCTACACGTCCACACAACTGCAGTATGATGTCGAAATATGTAACGGTCATATGCTTGCGCGCCATATCGTGATTCAAAGAGAGTACATGAAAACTGATTGGCCAGCGTCACAACCTTGGAATGTAGAACAAATTACGCGCCGTGTGATTGGCTAGCGTCACAGCTTTGGCGTGCTGACAAATAATATGTTTTCATAAAAAAGGCCACAAAGTTCAATTAAGTCGGCTATTTTGTTTATATTTCTTGACATAATATTTTGCACTTTGATAGTTAAAATTATACGTTAATTGATACAGCAGGACTGACGTTGAAGTAACCGCGAGGATACTCAATTTCAAAGCAATGCAATATGTTTGATTGCGACGCACTTAATTTCGACATTTTTTCAACTTTGGACTAATTAAAATCCGTATGTTAAACAAAGTTTACCAAACCGACATTGGTACATTTAGGTCGTTATCACGACGCAATTTTAAGCATTTATCCAACATCAGAATAATGTCAAAATACGTTGGAACAATTACAAAACTGACGATTGATAGACATTGAATTTAACATTGTTAATATCGTGACGCAATTTAAACGCATATTCAACGTCAGATTAATGTTGAAATCTGTACGTTGGAACAACGTTACCAAACTGACGTTGAATAGACATGGAATTTCGGTTGTCAATATCGTGACGCAATTTAAACTTTTATTCGACGTCAGATTAATGTCGAAATCTGTACGTTGGAACAACGTTACCAAACCGACGTCAGAGAGACGTTAATTTTAGGTTGTTAATATCGCGACGCAATTTTAACATTTATCCAACGTTAGATTAATGTCGAAATATGTACGTTGGAACAACGTTACCAAACCGACGTTGAATAGACATTGAGTTTTGGTTAATAATATCGCGACGCAATTTCAACCAACATTTAACGTTGGATTAATGTCGAAATATGGACGTTGAAACAACGTTACAAAACCGACGTTGGCTAGACATTGAATTTAGGTTGATAATATCGCGACGCAATTTCAACCAACATTCAATGTTGGATTAATGTCGAAATATGGACGTTGGAACAACGTTTCAAAACCGACGTTGGATAGACATTGAATTTAGGTTGATAATATCGCGACGCAATTTCAACATTTATTCGACGTTGAAACAACGTCAAACTGTAACATAAAATCAACGTCGCAAAAGTGACGTTGAAATAACGTTGTTTTACGGTATTTCGACGTCGTGACGTCATTTCAACCAACATTCAACGTTGAAACAACGTCATGTGCCCACTGGGTAGTGTTTCTTCATCAGATTTACAACTTTTGGTACTTTTCAATTTCCCCTGGCTTATATAGTCGTGTTCCCTAACGTGGCGCACTTCAAAGCTTACCCAACTTTCCTCGTGTAGTGTTGCCAAACCTCTTTGTTGACAAACCTCAAATTCATGTAGTAACATAATGGTACTTTTTCCTTATTAATGCTTGCTATTTAACCTCCGTCAACAATTTCGGTTTCATAAAATTTAATCCGAAATTAAAAAACGGTGGCGTCCGGAAATTGGGCACAAATTGGCGGAGTGTTCCCTAATGTGGCGCACTTAAATAAATCTCGGACAATTCCAAATTAACATTTAAGAATTTCTGTAAACTTGATCAATTCTGATTAATCATTATTATTTCTACTTACATACCCAGCCAGATGTTCGTCAGAAAATTATTTTCTTATTTTTCGGGGCATTTCCAAAGGTTTCACTTTGCACTTGAAAATAAAATCGGAAAATCACGCCAAAATACATTTTTCTTTTAACTTTGTAGCGGGTAAATAAACTCGCAATTTATGAACGGGTGTGTTTAGAACTTGATGAAATTTCACTTTCTGTGAAATTTCAGTTAAAACTTTTGCTCTAGCTAGGCGCTACAGGCGAAAAATCAAAGTGCGCCACGTTAGGGGCCGCGCCACGTTAGGGTACATCAACAATAATTATATCTGAAATATTATGAGTGGTGGCCCAGTAATGGCAGTATGGAAGTTTTTCCGAGTTGTATTCACATTTTGAACAATTATTTTACCTATTAGAAGATAAAATACTGCAGATTATCAAACATGGCATATGGCGCAAAAATGCCAGCAATTCCATAATGGAGTTTATGGAGTCAAATCCGCTCGGGGATCGCTCGCACGTGCACCAGAACACTTTCAAGTCATCAAAAAGATACACTGGTATAGCGCCCTCAATATTTATATTGTAAAAACAAATTGCGCCCTCAATCGGTCTCATCCATAATGGCGGCGCCCAAGTGATTTTTCTTGTCCGCGGCATTACCACATCCAGGCCTCATCATCAGTGATCTACAGTAATTTTGGAGCCGTTTGTGTTCCTTCCTCCATGCTTAAATTTAACGATACAGGCGATCGTGTAGTGTAGGGCCTAGCCCCATAAACGTGGCCAATGATTTACCCTACTACTTCCGTAAATAAAAAACTTAAATTGGTAGTGTATATTTTGCCGGAGGTAACGCCGGCAAACTAACGTTTACTAAAGGTTTGCCGGCGGCAATCCATATCAACAGAGGGCGCTGTACTCTTTAAGATAGGGCTGAATTATAACATGTATTGAATTCCCACCAAAGTTGTATAGCACAATCGGTGCAGTGGTTAAGCAATAGCTCTAGTGAGTGGGATGTCCCGAGTTCGAATCCTGACCCCCGCCACAATTTTAAGGTTTTTTTCCAATCCCCAAATAAATAAGAATATTCTTCTTTTATTATTTTAATATGTCGCAAACATTTTATTGCAGAGTATTACTTTTTCTTTTTCAGATTTGTGGCTCTGGAGGATTTTTTTTTAAAGGGAAATAAAGTCCGAAATTATAAAATGGTCTGATTCCCATCTTGTTAATACAAAAATACAACGATAATATTGGCATGGAGCCAGACTAAAATTTGTCACCGGAAAATGTTTCAGTACAAAAAAACAGTAACTGCGCATGTTCAGTGCATATCCGGCAAACTAACGTTTACTGAAGGTTTGCCGTCTCCGGCAAAATATCCACTGCCTAAATAAAAACCACACTTCATAACCATGATAACATTAATTAACATGTCGAACTCAAAGTTAAATTTGTCAAATTTTGATTTTCACATTTAGGCTTAGTTTGTAGTGTATTTTTGCTTTAGAAGCATACTCGCCTTCTTTATAGGCTTATCAGAAGGTGCTGCCTTTTTCAGATGTCTACTTTTCGTGAAATTTCCAGATTCGTTTGAACACATTTACGTATCAAATTTTCAACATGAAATTTCACGAAAATTAGACGTCTGAAAAAAGGAAGCACTTTCGGTAATCTTACTTTTAGGACCCCGTTCCTATAAGGTTTAGACTCACCAAAACAGCTGACTAAATGACACTCAGAAGTGACATTCTGATGTTTCTTGACACATTTGAACAGTTGGCAATGACACCTTCTTTAATATCAGCAGGTTTAATTTTGTAAAAAGAGGGCAGGGCTTTGATTTATGAGGGGTTAAAGACGACGATGACAAACAGAAAATATATTTAAAAAGCAAGATGGCAAACTGCAAAAAAAGGCAGAAAAGTCACATTTTCTTTGAAAGTGCTTTCAAAATGACAACTAACATGAGTTTATCTGAGGAAAAAAGACTGCTTTAGCCTGCAAAAGTCACTTCGGTACTGGACAGTCACCTGCAAAAGTCAGTTTTGAACAGAACTCGTAAAAATAGAGGTGTCCTAAAGATAAGGATTACCGCACTTTCTGATTAGCATATAATTTATAGGCTAATCAGAATGTGCTGCCTTTTTCAAATCATTTACCTGTTTTGACATGTCATTGTGTGGATGCCCAAAGTTTCTAAAGGTACATGTAAATTCCATTTGTGCTACGTGTATTTTCCAATGAAGCAGAAAAATGACCCCATGAAAACAGGCTAACCTAAAAAGAAAAACACTTGTTTTTCCTTTTTTCACCCAGAGTTGAGGTTCCGTCAGCAAAAGGCCAACATGTTTGCCTGCAGGTTGTGCCGCCAGCAGCAATCTTGGGTGCGGCTCCTCAAGAACAGTCTGCTGAGAAAGAGTAAAGTTGGCAGTAGACTTGAAACCTTTCCTGAGCATCGGTCTCGGAGCGTGACCACTTGGTCGCCATTGGCGTCGGCATTCAACACGAGACCAAAAAGGCGACTGGAAGCAAGTGGACGAAATGTGGTTAGAATCACTTATATGCATCATACATGCATGCACCAACCTAGCTAAGATTTACCTTGTTTCTTTGGACTTCAATTTTGTTGGGGGAATTGATTCAGAATCTTTCCAAGGGTCATAGATCAGTTAGGGATTGACTCCAAATTTCCTTTAGAGAAAAGGGGAAAGCCTTGGTTAAAATGCACCAATGGCGTTGTTGTGGATCGTTAATATTAGGTCATTCAGAGGTTAAATTGAAAAGTTCCTTTGCAAAAACAGGTATTTCCATTTTTCACCTTTTGAAAAAATCTGCTTTAAAACAAAAAAAGCACATTATTTATGCACAAATGTGGACTGTCCATCACATCATATCCTGAGAACTCTTGACAATTTTTATTTTAAAAAAATATAAAAACGTTCAGGAAAAAAATATTTATTTGGTGGTTGGATTTTATCCATTTTCATAAAATTGGCGTTTATTGGCTTTTGCTAATGAACTCTTCAATTACTCTCTTAAAAATGATTATTTGTCTCAAATTGTTCCTAAAGTTGCAGTACTCACTAGATGGAGCAGATTTAGCTCAGTCTTTGATTATAGCCGCGTACTGTGTAAAAGCACTATTGAAACCATGCATTCAACTACTAAAGAGGCCCCATATTTTTTTGTCAGTTGATATATTTTTGGATAGGGGTAGGGGTGTCAGTTGACATGATGGCACATCCACTAAAAAAAAAAGTCCTATCATTTAATTTGAAATATAGATAACTACAAATGTATTACTTTAGAACAATGATGTTTGGAATCATATTGTGCGTGTCAATCTTTGTCGTTCCAGGGTCTGTTTGGAATGCAAGAGCTGACCAGCCCGGAGGGTTTTGCTGAGGCCCAGAGGGCGTCAGTCCAAGAGGCAGAAGAGCTCGTCCAAGAAGCCATCCGTTCCCCCACCAGTGCAGACATTGTAGTCCTATTTGATAAGCTGTCTGATGCCCTGTGCAGAGTTGCTGACCTGGTAGGCTTTCTTATTCTGAACTCATCTTGATTCACATGGTCCGCAACATATGGCATCTTAACTCTAACCCTGCCAGAGCCAACACAGAGCATCAGGTGGGAAAGCCTGGTGCACTTTGATGCATTCAGCTACCAACACCAGTGCATAAAACAGCCGCGTCTGAGACAATGAGAGCTAGTCCCATACAGAACGGTATTTTTGGCTAGAAACCATTCCAACACTTATCTAAGTGACAAGCCTGCCCAGTGTAGCAAGATCCATCAGGCCAAAAGTCTCAAGGCCAAACTGCCTCAAGAGTCTGTGGTCCCCGAACGCAGCAGGATACAAGTAAGGCATTGTTCAATGGGACTAGCTCTCATTATCTCAGAAGCGGTCGTTTATGCACTGGTGTTGGTAGCTGAATGCATCAAAGTGCACCAGACTTTTCCACCTGATGCACTGCGTTGCGTCTGACAGGGTGTAGGGTTTACGTCCCCAACAAGTGAGGGCGCTGTGCCAAATACGTATTGACACAAACAGCTGTACATCCTGATTTTAAATCCAGCCCCATAATTCATATTTAGTCCAATTGTTTTGTTCCTCATATGAACCATTGTGATATTTACTTTCAGGCTGATTTTGTGCGAGTTGCCCATCCAGACCGGAGGTTTGCAAAGGCTGCCGAAGATGCTTGCATCAATATCAGTGCAATGGTAGAACAGTAAGTCTCAGTACAGAGCAGCCTACAACATGCATGCCATAATTATGGATTCTTCAGGAATTGGATACAATGTAATACAATGTAATACAATGTAATACAATGTAATACAATGTAATACAATGTAATACAATGTGATACAATGTAATACAATGTAATACAATGTAATACAATGTAATACAATGTATACAAGTAACTGCTGATGACCGGCCAGAAAATCACCTTGAACTTCTGAAGCGTCATTTCTCGACCAATAAGATTTCACAAACTAACATCATGGTTTTTATCTGTTCATGTTTTGTGGCCAGGCTGAACACAAACATAGACTTGAAGGAGTCCCTTCAGCGTCTGCTGGATGATCCCGCCATCTTCTCTGCAATGGATGAGGAGTCCCAGATTGTTGCCAGGCTGTTCATGTTTGACTTTGAGCAGAGCGGGATACACTTAGAGAAAGCCAAGGTAAAAGTTATCCGAATTGTCTGAAAAACTTTGCACGTGAACAGTAAGATGGCACTTTTTTGCAATTACCCAAAAATATACCCAGTGATATAAGGAGGAGATCCTTGCTCAAAGAGAAAACAGAAATTATTCTGTCAAAAATGGTATCCTTCGGAAGAAAACAATCATTGAAGAAGGTGTTTTAAGAAAATGTGCCCACATTGGCACAGTTTTACGTGCGTTAGCAAAGTGAACCCAGTTACGAGACCCCACCCAAATATTGTTTTCTTGATGTGTATGGACTCCGTGCGCCAACGAAAGAGGGCGCCCTTTTACCTAGCAACGACGTATCGTGGGCGGGACATTTAGTTGGTTGACGCGTAACGTTTCTTGTTCGTGACGCACGTACACCAGGGGATTTGTACTATGTGCATGCAGTGGTACATGGTACGGCCGCGCGTCACGGCAAAATTGGAGTCAGGCAAGATGGCGTCGGTCGGTCACCGCCAACTGTGCTTTCTTTGCCGGTGAGGGGGTACTTTTGAACGGAGCGGATAGTACCGGTATCTACTGAGCTGAAACTTCAACAAGTTGCAGTGTAGTTGTTGGGCACGGTTCTTAAGATTTTGAGCAATTGCTTCACATAACAAAACAAAACACATAAAGTAAATGATCCTATGTGCACCTTGTATTGCCAGAGACAAGAGTTCGTAAGACTGAATGAAGAGATTCACATCTTGGGAAGCCAGTTTGTGCAGGGCACGCAGACAGCCAACGCCATTGAGAAGAAACGTCTGCCGCAGCACATTCAGCACTCCTTTGCCGTTGATGGGGACAACGTGACGGTCGGTTCCCTGTATGCTGATAACCCCAGCGACCTGGTAAGATTTCTTACTGAACCATATGGCCTCGCTGAGCCATCTAGTTGTTTTGTCAGGTTCTGTATCGATCACCGTGGCATTGTCCCATTTTACGGTGCGGTCGGTAACCGCTCCTAGCTTAGGAGTGAAACGTAACTAATAATAGGGCTCGTTCAATGACGGCCATCTCTGTAGGAGAACTGCAACTGTGTGTTTTACGCAATCAAGTTTGCATTGCGCAGTGTTGAAAATGTTCCAAACACGCACTCTTGTTGCTCGAAATCTGTTCGAAATACGATGCTGCCGATGCGCATTATGCAAGTTGACGCTCAAAATGCCGATGCACGTGGATGATCTGTAGGAAATGACATCATTTGAACGAGACCTATACGTGAGTAACATCTAGTGATTTGTATGATTATGTCTTGAGCTTGCAGAGTTTGTTGAATCAGTTTGTTGAGTGCAACCACAAAGTTGACAAATATGACGATTTAACCGCACCACACAGTGACGGCTTGTCTATGAACTTTGTGCACATGATTTGTTACTTCATGCTGTGGCAACTATTCACAATACATCACTACATGTGCGACCGATGAGTTGATTTCATTGCGTCGACGTTGTTTCGCAGGTCCGTGAGGCGGCCTACAAAATTTTCCTCTTCCCAAACCCGAACCAATCACAACTCCTGGATCGCCTGCTGGACTCTCGTCACAAACTAGCCAAGCTGGTTGGCTTTTCCTCCTACGCCCAGCGAGCGCTGCGCGGCACTATGGCCCAGACGCCGGAAAATGTCATGGAGTTTCTGACAATGACGGGCGACAGATTATTTGACAGGTGAGAATTATAAAACATTTTTAAAAAAAAAGAGGTTTTTGTGGAAATAGACCTCCCTGGATATTTTTGCTAGGATGTAACCTCAATCTTGCAAACTCCTCCCAAGTTTTGAAACAACCTCCTTGTTTTCTTTATTTCAGAGTGACAAAGGAAATTGAGCTCATGAAAGAAACAAAGAAAGAGTGCAACCCGCACAATCCTGTAAGTTAAGTTGACTTATTATAGAAGTATATGTACTGATGCGCGATCACAGGCCGTGCCAAATCATTTATCACTGATCATTTCTTGAGTCCATACCATGTTGTTATTACCGGTACTTGTTTTTATTCCATATTTTTCATTCTGTTAATCTACACCAAAAGTACATTTTGAAGGTTTTGTTTCGCCTGTCTTTGTTTTTGTTCATCAGAATATTTTTGCCTGGGATCCATCTTATTACATTGGAGCAGCAAGGAATAAAAGGTATGGTCTATGTTGTAGCAAGTTTTGTCTACAAAAACAATAATTCTCATGATATTGCAATATATTACAGATAGCATGTTTTGAAGATAGAAAGAAGGGAGTATATAAACACCCCCCCCCCCCAAAAAAAGTCCACACTTTTTGGAGGGATCATAATTTGAATCTGATCGTCTTAAGATAACGTCATTGATACAGACCTTTGGGGAATGTTAAAACCCGTTATCCCTTGGTTTCAGATACAACATCACCAGCGCAGAGTATGCCCCTTACTTCTCGGTTGGGGCTTGCATGGAGGGGCTCAGTCTAATCTTCAGCAACCTGTATGGAGTGACACTGGAGAATGTGGAAGCGGAAAGGGGAGAACTCTGGGCACCAGACGTCTTGAAACTGGTACATTGTACTCCCTTTCTCTTTGTTGTCCCTCATTTTGCGTGCAGTTTTTACCAATGTTGATCAGTGTTGCCCGCATTTATAATAATAAAAGTTGTTAGAGGTACAATAATTCAAGAATTCAAAGCCTGCCCATCCTGAACTGAACTGAAAACAAAATTATTCATTAATTTTCCAAAAGTCTTGTTCTTCTAACACTGGTTTATACTCCACGCAACAAGTGTGACCGCAAAGTAAATTAGACATCGCTAGACATTCCGGGGGAAAATTTGCTGGAGTTAAAATTTGCTGATCTTGCCTTGACATCAGAAATTTGCATATTCTTGTTGACTTATGTGCCAAGTATATGATTGAGCCTTATTTTTTTTAATCACAATTAGCCAGACTGAATACCAGAAGTCATGTTGTGATTGATGTCTTACAATTCTCTTTCTTCATCATAAGGCCGTGACCCATGAAACCGAAGGGGTTCTGGGCTACATCTACTGCGACCTGTTTGAGCGGTCTGGCAAACCCCAGCAGGACTGTCATTTTACCATACGGGGAGGCAGGAGACTAGACGACGGTTCCTACCAGCTCCCTCACGTGGTTCTGGTCTGCAGTTTCAGGTAGATCTCTCCTTGAGCTAAAATGGATCCCTCAAAATCCACCATGGGGTAAGGCAGGATTTTGCATACACGTGAGGTATGCTCGGAATTTCCTGGGTAGCGCTGCCAATATTGTCAAGATATTCATTTTGTGGATAGAGACCTCCACTGCCGCGGCAACTTTACAGTGTTTGTCACGGGACTGGCTGCAAAACAGGGGAATAAAAAAACAGTCTTGGAACAGGATCAGCATGATTTGAGAACTTCCATGAGAAATATTGGCTCAAATTTCTTCTCTAAAATCAGTTTATAACAGCCATTCCACAACGTCGAGAAAAATGTTCCAATACCTACAAGATGATGTTTATATTATTTTAAGAAGTTCTTGCGTCAAACGCAGACGTACACAAATCCTGATTGGTGGCCAGTTTAGGCATGGCGCATGTGAAACTTGATCACTGCATTTCGATTACAGTCGAGTCTCGTTAATACAAACTCGTTCAGACCTAGCCAAATTGTTTGTTATATCAGAGTTTTGTATTAAGAGGAACATCAGTCCCATTCATTGTGTACATAAATGCACAGTCGGGACCAAGGCTTTATGTTTGTTATAACCAGAATTTTGTATTAACAGAGTTTGTACTAACGAGATTCGACTGTATTCAAATATTTGATCCAGTCCAAGTGAGAATAATTGAACACTAAATTATTTGAAAATACACAGCACCAAATGCATACTTTTCTCGAATGTACATTAATCAGAACATAAACCACAAAACCTGGTGTTTTCTCTGCAAGACAAATGCTTTGCCTCATGTGTAAGAACAAAGCAACAGTTTCAAACATTTCACACATTTTTGTCGTCAACTGTAACTTCTTTATCTTTACCTGTTCATGACTTTTTAATAATCCTCGACATATTCATGATTTTCAATTTCTTTTGCAGTCCACCGAGACCAGGAGCTCCTTCTATACTGAGTCATGGGGTATGGACATTTTGTGAATTATTGAGAGAGATAAAATTTGCAATTTGAATACAGGGTGGATAAAAAAAACCGAAACCGAGATATTATTGCTAAGTGGAACAGAAGTAGGGCACATGTGAATCAAAGGGAGATATCCCCTGTGAGGGTTGAATCTCCTCTTTAAAATGACACCCTGATCATGTCATTACATTCACGGTTGACTGAGCAGTGACCAATTTTATGAAAGGGTCTATTTAGAGGCTTGTGCACTTTTTAATGGCATCCATTTCCTGAATGTTTCCTTTTTTTCCTTGCCACATGTAGATGATGGAGAATCTTTTCCATGAGTTTGGCCATGCAATGCACTGTAAGTATCATGCAAGTGCGCAATATAATCAATCTTGTGATCTGAATTGTCATGTGGTTAAATATGTTTTTATATAACACCCGAATAAATTCTTGTCATTTGATTGGAGGATTGTACATGTAGGTCAAGCGGCATTCATTAATCAAACCATTGCATGGCTACTTCATAAACCGTGCATTTTTGGTTCAATGCACCATGCATTTTCGTACCAGCTTCAAGAAATGTTCATGAGCTCAATCAGCTGAGGTAATAATGATTTATTGCCCCAAGCGCCGTCACTAATTTCCACGGTCCTATCCTATAGGGCGCTGGTGACTGTGATTGTTATGGTCCATGTATTTTTGTCCAGCCATGCTTGCCAGAACCCGCTACCAGCACGTGACAGGGACGCGGTGCGCCACTGATTTTGCCGAAGTGCCTTCCATATTGATGGAATACTTTGCCAACGACTACAGGGTCTTGAAACAGTTTGCAAGGCATCACAAAACAGATCAGGTAAAAAAACCCTTTGGGAAAAAATTCACCTCGAATCTAATTCGTAACAAACTTTTTAAGTATTTTATCTGTTTGGAAAGATCAGCACACCAGATACCTGAGTCTTTGCTCAAGTAAGTGGCTTAACCCTCGGAGCAGCTTATCAAAAAAAATCACACCATGGAACCACGTGGAGAATTTTATCACCACATGTGTTTATAGGTCAATAACCCTGCCATGCCTGTACATGCACAAGATATAGGTCATTCACATGGCCAGGGGTTGTTTACAACCTGTCTGGGCTCTGGGCGGCACGAGGGGTTGACACAAAGAGATCGGCGGCACTTAGGGGTTGGCCACTAAGATCTCCAATTACTGCACAAAGGCACTAGGCGCCATCTTGGCTTCTGTCTTTCAACACGCCTTACTCCGGAGTGGCCTGGGTCTGGCCAATGGGAGTCTACAGGCTTGTGGTGTATAGTAGGGGTGAGGATTACATGGAAGCTTGGCCTAATTGGCCCATTGAAAAAAAATATGCCCATATTTGGAAAATGTGGACTATATAATTACCGTCGGGCTGCTCGGAGGGTTAATAATCCTCGAAGCCTAGGCCAGCGACTTTAAAGCCATTGGCTTCAAAGTGCTCCATTTTTAAAAAATATCAATGACCCTCGATTCAACAATATCTGTGTTCCATCCCACAGACCCTTCCTGAAGAGCTGATAGCCCGCCTCTGTGCCTCCAAGAAGCAGTTTTCTGCCTTCGAGATGCAGACCCAAGTCTTCTATTCCATCCTAGACCAAATGTTCCACGGGGAAGAGCCGTTAAAAAAGGTTGGATATATATCCCTACCCTGGGGCAATACTAAAAATAGAGCATATTTTATATGAATTATTATGGGCCTTCAAAACATGACCAGAAATGTAACCCACAAGGCCAAGACATGGGCCATTTTTTTTTGCGCTGCGCGTTACGCAAAGAAATTTGTTGCAGTTTAATAGACAAAATAGGGTTACCAGCTATTTTTTCATGTGCTGTATGTTTGTTCTATTAAACTGATACCCAGTGTATTTTGTGCTTTGCAAGGTTTTAGAGGATTTAGCAGGATTTTAGGCATGTAAGGTGTGCAGGCCAGTAAATAGGCCCAAAATTGCCTACGCTGGCCAAAGCACGATTTGCATGCCCTCAAATTATCCAATATTAGAGCATTTTTGAGGGCCATGAACTTGAGGATTTGTAAAAAAGAATAATGGAAGCCATGCAGAGAACTGCAAGCCCGTACTTCTGTAAAATTTGGATGAAATTAGGCCCTGAAATGGCTCCATTTTATAATGGGGCGTCGTCTTTTTACAAAATGGTGGGCTTCAGGACTGCTTTTAGGGGTGGTCATTTTGGGATGGAATTTTCTCCCAAATGTCATTAATTAACCCCTCAAAAATTGAACGGAAAATGAAAGATGATGAAATAAGCTTTATTTTAATGTGTGTCTCAAAACACCTTGGAAACATGTGAGCCTATTTTAAGAATGTATGGGGAGGTAGAGTTAACGTTCATATTTCCTTTTATACACAGCCCACCATGGAGTTGTTGAGCGAGATTCAGAACCAGTATTCATGCATCAAGCACGTCCCGGGAACAGTGAGTCAAAAACCAACTGCGGCCATCATTATTAGCCCTTGTCTTCTCACATCCTTAAGAGTACCTCCGTAGATTTCAAAGCACTTTTCTGGTTTTGAATATAAACAGTCCATCATACAGCCATTGCTACTTTCTGTTTAAGAATGCTGTTGTAGCTTCCGTGGTAAATTTGAAGGCAAAAAAGGTTGACGCGCATGATTAAAATCAACGCGCGTGCTGACCAGAGACCGACTTTTTTTTGGCCTAACCTTGAGTTTGATGTTTGATTTAGACCACAAGACCACAGCACTGTAAAATAAAACTCTTTGTTGTCGCCAATTTTTTTTCCCCCCAGGCCTGGCATTTGCGTTTTGGTCACCTGGTAGGCTACGGTGCCAAGTACTACTCGTATCTGCTGTCGCGCGCCGTAGCATCCAGCGTCTGGCACCAGTGCTTCGAGGCCGATCCCCTGAGTCGGGATACCGGGGAGAGGTACCGCTGGGACATGCTGGCCCATGGCGGGGGCAGGGAACCGGCTACATTAGTACAGAGTAGGTATAATCTCGAATGTTTTAAACCTGCACATCAAGATTTTGATGATTATTCATTTCAGAACGACGACAGCAGATAAATGCATTCAGTCTATGGGGCAGATCTTCAATCTGCAAATTTTCATTCAAAAATAAGAAGAACATAAGTTTTGTATGTACTTCCGAACCACAACTCTTTCATTTTGTTTGTTCCTTCTAACATTTTGCAAGCATATTAAGAGTTGCTTTTTTTTAAAGGAAAATTATCAAACTTTGATGAAGAGTGCCAGCACAGGTGGAATACAGAACTGGTCAATGTGGTTTTTGTCAGTGTTATAGTTGAGCTTCAATCGGAGAGTCGAGGGCAAGTGACTGTAACAAGAATGCAGTCTTGACCAGCAACATACAATTAGTCTTGATTTCAGGGTCCATTCTGGTGGAGCCAGGGCTTAAATTAAGAGAGCACATGAGCCATTTTGGTTTTATTTTCCTACAGATATGCTGGGCAAGAAACTGTCTAATGAGGATTTAGTGCAAGCGCTGTTGGAGGAGACCATGGAACAGTGACCAAAATTCAGCATCTCCTGTCTGAACTGCTCCCAAGAAGATGGGAAAGAAACCACTGCTTCGAACCATGACTCCCTATTGAAGTTGCTGAAGAGAGCACCACATTAACTTGGCCCCAGCCGGCTGTAATCTTAACTTGCAATCAACAGATAATTGTCTTTCAGCAACAGTAATATTTCGCCTTGAATACCTCTCTTAATCAGGATGTACTTTAGTGTTCACAAGTTCTGTGCAGAATTGTTGGCGATTTTAGGTAACCAACATATTCAAGTTGAGAATTTGTTATATTTTTTTGGTGATTTTTGTCGTGCCGTTTCAAACCGTTATGTAGCATTCATGTCTTTTCAGTATTTGAGTAATGTTTGGAATGTAGTTTGGAAATAAACGCATACATGAAGTAGTTTTATTATGAATGTGTACACACAGTGAAGCATTTCAAATACGCATACCTCATTTATTATAATCGTGGTTTTCCTGAAATAGCTTACATGTAACATGAGCTTGTGATAAAATAAATATCTTTTGAATTATTCGCTCGACATACAAGCACTTGAATAAGTGGGTTCATAGGCCTACTGATAACAGTGGTAACGCGATTATATATAGGCCTAGCAGACAATCTAGCAGTACGTAGGTAAGGCCAAAAAAAAAATATTCGGTCTCTGGTCAGACCAGAGTTCCGGAATTGACGCGGCCACGCGGCTTTTTTTTTTTTTTTTTGCTTTTTTTCTTTTTTCTTCAAGCTTGGATTGTACAGACAAGGTGGGGTACTATTTTGCTTTTTTGGTGTCCTCATGCACTTTGGTGTCCTCCATAATTTGCCTTGGTGCTTTCGATCATTTGCCTTGGTGCAATTTCCCTTTCCTTGGTGGTCTTTGGTAAAAAAAAAATGAGGAGGTGCGGAAATAGAGGGCGCTGTTGGAGCTACCGCGGAACATTTAAAAAAAAAAAAATCGACGCGCATGATTAAAATCGACGCGCGCGCTGACCAGAGACCGACTTATTTTTTTTTTGGCCTAATGTGTGCTTGTTTCAATCTTTAATCTCGTTTCATGGACCAAAGTCGGGACACGGCTGTGGGGAAGGTCTACACATGAAAATTGTGCTTCCTTGTAATTTACTAGCAATATTAATGTACATGTACAAATAATACAGCGGAATTTTCTTGTCAATCGCTTCTTGAAAGTGGGGGGGGGGACATACCTTGATCAGCAGTAACGCAAACGCTATAACGACGTTTTTGGATTCTAGACGCTCTCTGGTACGATCTGAGGCAATTTCTGATCACTTAAACCACTTTTGTTTAGCAAAAGATAATCTGTTAAACATCATTTCGAATTTGGAGTCATTGGGTCGGATGTATAAAAATTATCATTTGCTTTTATTATCTATGTTTAAGCATTTACTTGCATTTGTATGAAAAAACAATGAAGCAAATGCTTTTGCGGGTCAAAATGACACTTTCCGGGTCAAAATGTGACCAGGACGAAATCCAGGGAATCGTCATTTTTACCCCGTCGGAAAGTGTCATATTTTGACCCGGAATAAAAGTGTTATTTTTGACCTGGAAAAAGTATCATGTTGATCCTTTACTTATGCGACTCGCGTATAAGGCCCAGAGGCCCATGGAGGCCAAGAGGCCCCTTCCGGCAGAATCTTTCCCTCTGCTCCGTAAATATTCACTTTTATTTTCTTTAAACAAAACTCCAGCGCGTCGTCGAGGTCGTACTTGTCGCGCCGAACTTATCGTGGCTTCTTAAAGCCCGGTTCATACTCTGCGCGAAAGCGAACGCGAATTTGTGACGTCGTGGCAAGTATTCGCGCTGCGAATTCGTAAAAGTTGAACATATCTCAACTCGGGCGAATTTCGCAACAAATGTTTTATGACGTCAAATTCGCTTCGCATTCGCTTTCGCATGAAGTATGAACCGGGCTTAACCCTTGCGATTATTATGCAAAATACGGTCTGCTGGCTTCCCGCTTCATGCAAATTTCGCATACATAGATCGCGCAGTACAGAGGTCAAACGTGCGCTGCAAAAATTAATGTTTCGGCCGTAAAGCATATTGGCTTCATTTTTTATGGCAGCCAGTTTACACGACCCTCGATCGTACGGAAGCGTATTTAAGAAATGACCGAAGAAAAATTTCTGGCCCACTATTTCGCCCGGGCGGATTACTATTTCGCCCGGGCGGATTACTTTTTCGCCCGGGCGGGTTACTATTTCGCCCGGGTGGATCACTATTCCGCCCGGGGCGGATTAGTAATCTGCCCGGCTGAAAAAGTAATCCGCCAGGGCGAAATAGTAATCCGCCAGGGCGAAATAGTAATCTGCCCTGGCGAAAAAGTAATCTGCCCGGGCGAAATAGTAATCTGCCCGGGCGAAATAGTCCGCCCGGGCGAAATAGTAATCCGTTAGGGCGAAATAGTAATTCGCCCGGGCGGAATAGAGTGCCGCAATGTGGGTTTTTTTTTTTTTTTTTGGTCATGTCCTAAATACACTTCCGTACGATCGGGCGTTAGCCGAAAAGCCAGTTATTTCCTCATTTGAAGTTACCGAAGTTGTGGCGTTACCGAAAGGCACAGCGTAGAATCACTCCTTGCCTAGGGGCTGCGGAGAGAGCAACACATACAATTATAACTGGGGAAGCTACGTGGTGAGTACTTCAATTTTTTTCTTGAAAAACTGACATTGGGCCAATAAAAAAGGAGACATCTTTTAGCATCCGCGCCCGCTCAAGCCCTCCATGCATGCAATGATCAGGCTGTTGTTTTTTTACCGAAATATATAGCCTACAGTCACCAGTGACGTCATTTTATCCCGTCGTCTGTCGCATCTAGTCCATATAAAGCTGGGATGTCATTTCCCGAGTCCAAGCGGCGGCATACAAAAAAAAAAGAAATTCAAAAAAGCAGGACGCTAATACTTTTTTTTACATGGCCTTGTAAGAAAATCAACATAGTTAATGTGGTGACCTGCCCTACTATCATTCTACTTTTCCGAGGGTTAGGGTTCGTCCATGTACTCAAACCTAGATGACGCTGGAGTCTGACACCAACTTCTCTTTTATTTATTACGATGCTAGGTCATGTAGGTCATAAAATAACCCCCAAAACAAAACCCCCAGTCATGTCAGTCAGTCCCAAATGTTAGGATGTCTCATGCATGTACATGGAGTGGTGTACAATTTTCCTGGAACTTTAGTCCCCCAAAATTGTACTTTTCTGTCTCATTTCAGGATGCAGGGTTGTCATTCCTGAGTTCCTGACATTAGCGTACAGCATTCTCCTACATGTGTCAGAATTTCTCATCGATCGCCCACTCTACGCAAAATTATTTCTCATTGAGGGAAAGTCCCTCCGCACGCAATCACGGTGCCATATAGAGAAAAAGCTCTCACGACAAACACACCATACACAACGGCGGTGTCCTATAAATATATCGGGACTCCCACATTAAAATATGTATTGATAAAGTGTAGGAGAAAACTCGGTTGGGGAAGGGGGTAAGGAGAACTGACAAATCCCCCCCTAATTCCCGGCGCCGTCACCGTTTGCGGGTCAAAATGACACTTTCCGGGTCAAGATATGACCAAGACGAAATCCAGTTAGAATCGTCATTTTTACCTCGTCGGAAAGTGTCATTGACTCGGAAATGAAAGTGTTATTTTTTACCTGGAAAAAGTGTCATTTCGACCCGGAAAAGTGTCTTTGGAGTAGAAATGTACTTTTTCCGGGTCGAAATGACACTTTTCCCGGTCGAAATTACATCTTTCCTGGGTCGAAATGCCACCTTTCACGGTCGAAAAGGGGACTTTTAAGAGTGTGCATTCGACCCTATTACCAGTTTTCTTTATCTTAGAGTCCAAAACCTTAGGCCCATCTGCTTCTACATTCCTTTTCCATCTATTTTTCCAGCCCAAACGTAAACGAAGCAAAATGTCGAAGCCTGTAAGTGAAAAGGTGAGTGTTGGATCTTCCGATGTTATCTTCAGACCATCGAGGCACCTACTAAATATACAACCAAAGTAACAAACAAGCCAATAGGCAAGCAAGCTGAAAAAGAAACTAGCCAACATTGGAACTTTAGTTGGTAATAAATTATGGGCCTATTTTGTAAGAGGATTGGTTTGTTTAGTCCATATAGGCCAGCAGGGGCGTCAATTGCTTCTCAAAAGTGGTGGGGGGGGGGGTACATACCTTGATCAGAACTGATGCGAGCGCGAAGCCCTTACGGCGTGGTGTTGGGGCCCGCTTAAGGGCCCCGAAACATTATGGATTCTAGATGCTCTGTGGTGTGATCTGAAGCAATTTCTTACCACTTTTCTCCATGCTTTAACTAATATTTTCGTAGCAAAAAAGATCATTATTTGAACATCGTTTTGAGGTTGGAGTCATTGAATTGGCTATCAGAATTCTAAGCTAGGCGTGGAGTTCGGGGCCCGCTTAAGGGCCCCGAAAAAAAAATTGGATTCTAAATGCTCTGTGGTGCTATCTGAGACAATTTCTGACCACTTTAACCAATATTTTTTAAGTAAAAGATACATTGAAGTACCGGGGCCCTGTAAATGAGACACGAGTTCAAAAATCTGGGGGGGGGGGGGCATTTGATATTGTGCCCCCACCCTTCAAAAAGTGGGGGGGGGGGGATGTCCCCCTGTCCCCCAGGATTGACGCCCATGTATAGGCCATGCAATAATGAATTATGTCTATAATAAAAACATGTTTATTGTTAGTAGGCTTGCATGACGAACTTATCAATCCTAGAAAAACAAATATTCGTTCAGTTTGTTGTTAAGTAGGCCTATCCCAAAATGGAAACTTTAACCCCACTCACCGTTCACGATTGACACAATTTGCCGATCGGCCTTCAATCTTGGGACTTCATTTCTGCTTTAAGATAACCATTTACGATGATGCTAATTTCGGCGGCGCTTCACGGGAACTGACCGAGTCCTGCAGGGACTTGACCAAAATCGGTTTTAACGACAGAATCTCCTCCATCAAAGTTGTCGGATCTGCGTGAGTATTTTACTTTCACACAGATTTCAGTTCATCGTTCAAGAATAAGGTTTAATTACTCTAATCTTTCGAGTAGCTATAGAAGGACGAAATTGTGCATTTTTATCCCCATTATTGATCACAATTATAGACCTTTACCCCCAGCCACTTATAATCGCAATCAAGAAGGTTGTTTTTGTCCTTCAAAATTTGAAAATAACATAGGTGGGTCGGGTATGAGCACGGAAACTATGGAGGTCGGCAGTACATCTTAGAAGAACGCAACTTTCCTGATCCTAATTCATGGGGTGGCTCCAACGATCAGCTATCCTCGTTGAAAAAGCTTGACATTGTAAGTGCCCCCCCCCTTATATTTAGCCTAGTGATGGGGTTTTATCTTAAATATATACAGATGAAGTGGAATTCTCGCAATTTCGTGATGTTCCTCTTTTAGGCCTATCTATGTATTGTTGCGTGCGGGCGGGGGAGTTAGAAAGCCACTGGGGCAGAGGTGTGTTTCATCATAAAACATGAAGTATGTTGAGCAAAAGGGTTGGCAACGTTTGGTTTTTAACTTGCTTTGATTTTTTTTTTAGCGAAAAGGTCCTTAAGAATGGGAATAAGTGTCTTGGTCGGTATTAAACACTCTGTTTAAGCCTGGTTGGAGTCGGGAGTGGTGATAATTAGCCTCGGGTAATCATCACCCAGCCGGCCTTAAACAGAGCTTTGAAGTTATTCCCTTATTCTGACTTCACCGCACACGCACTTTTCTCCCCCCTTCGAATAACAAAAACTGTCCAGAACATCGGAGATGAGACTAAAATAGTTGTCTACGCCGATGGTAATTTCAAGGGCAACAGTAAACCCTTCGAGTCTGAAGTCAAAGACCTGTCTTACTACAGCTTCAACGACGTCATTTCGTCTGTGGAAGTCAAGAGCGGAACGTGAGTCAAATTTTTAAACTAAACCTGCGTTGGGGCGAGTATTGGGCTATATTCACGACTCGGCCATATTAAATTGAAAGCGAGGTAAAATCTGCATTTTTTGAACTTACGAAAAGAAAAGAAAGCAATGACATAAAGTTGATTACAAACTAATACCAGTCTGCTCTAATGAATAATATACCATATGTAATTAAACATACCTTAATGTTTAAAACACATTTGGGGAAAAAATGAAAAAGAGGCTAGAATGCATAAGAAGTCTGGCACCATCCGCATTCAACAGTTCACAAATGATAAAAATGCATTCAGGGAACACAACCAAAATAGGTCCATACTGACCATAGGAAATGGGGTTGTACATTTTTTTGATGATTACAAGTATGAAATTTATCACACAGGGTATATCATGAGAAATATTTGTGGCTTTTGGGCCATATATCGCACATTTTATCCTTTAAAAAGAAATAGGTAGAATAACAACCAATGGCAGTCCGAAAATATCTTGTTTTTCTTATGAAAATATATACACAACTTTTATAATTTTTTTCATTCGTGTATAGCGCCCTCTGTTGTAGGTTTCCGATTTTTGATTGCAGTTGTCACTATTGTCGTTATAGTCGAAAGACAATTTCAATATTTTCGCCGTTTTTATTTATTGACTTCATTTTAAGACAGATGGGTCCTATATGAGCACAGCAACTACAAAGGGCGAATGTACGTCTTAACTAAGGGGTCCTACGCAAACCCATCAGACTGGGGCCCCAACGATACTATCTCATCGCTTCGCCCAGTCAAGGAGGTAATTTCTCTTATATTGCGTTTTATTAACTTTGTGCAAGAGGGTGCACAGTTTTTCAGATTACCGATATATCGCTGGAGAGCTGGCAAAAAGCACGTGCTGCGTCCGAAACCTGTTGGAAGGAATGCAGGATCACCCCTGATGTCATTGCGCACCTCCTCGATCTCGTGTTGCGCGAAACAATGAGGTGGACTCATGCCATATTTTCAATGGGCAGCGCCAATAAAATCCTAAAATCATTCACACTATATTAACTAATGCACCCTTGTCACGGCTATTTCTTCTCCTAAAAAATAGGGGCAGACCGTTCGCAGGTACATTACAATCCTTCTTTTTCCTAATGCTATTTTTTTGTTACGAAATTTTTTTTAGGGGGGGGGCTAGACAAATTTTTTTGGGGCTACAGCCCCCCCCCCAGCCCCCCCCCCCCCCCCCCCCCCCCCGTAGAACCGCGCCTGGACAACAGAGTTATTGAGGATGAAAATAGAACAATATACGTAGTAAGTCAGCTACCACGTGTAGAATGTCCTCGTAATGACATTATGAACTCCGTTACTGCATGAAGTCACTACCGAATATATCACTTTTTTGTCGTTTGTGTTACAGCCGTTCTCTCCAACTGAGGTACTGAGCATGGAGTTCGATATCGCAGCGGGACATCTCAATGCTACGCCCAGGGCTCTGGTCGACTTCACCCAGCGCAACGACACCAGCGCGGACCAGAAAGCCACCTGGGGCACCTCGCACACGGAGACCTCGATCAAGACTTACGAGTGGCACTGGCAGAACGTACTCGACATCAGCGCCAACTACACCTTCGAGACGGGCGTGCCTGTCATTTTCGAGTCTAAGCTTTCCATCAGTGCGAAGGACACCTTCACCATCGGGGCAAGCGGCAGCGAAAAGAACACCAAGCATGATGAGTGGCACTTTGAGCTGCCGACCACCGTCAAGGCCCACACCTCGCTCCGCGTGCAGTGTCTCCTCCAGGATGGCAATATCGACGTGCCCTTCCATGCTGTGATGAAGAAAGGCGACAAACAGTGGACGGAGACAGGCACCTACCACGGAACACAGAGCTACAACATTCATGTGGATTACAAAGAAACACCCATCTAAGTCGCACTTCAATCAGAGCGCTTAATACCCCTATATCATTCCAGGAGATCTAGTAAATATTAAAGCATATGAATTGATTGAATTCTCCTTGCTTACGTAAAGATTATTGATTTTCAACAGCTTTAGTTGAAATAATTATAATATCGAATGTTTATTTTGTGGTGATGGTAAGCATTAATTGCCAAAAAAAAAAGATGTTAATTTGATGCATGTTCCTAGCTTTCTAACTTTCACAAAGTTGGTTTAATAAAATATAAAACACATGAATCAAAGAGGGCGATGCATAACAATGCAGTATGAAAGCCATAAAAGCATATGTTTCGTCTTTAAACCCCTGACGATGTAATTATTGGCCAAGGAGTTGCTTGTGTAGGCCCCTATAGGTTTGTTTGTTAATTTTAATTTTCACAGACTCTCTCATCACTCTTTGTGGAAAGTATACAGAGATTAAGTACATATTGATCAAGACAGGTTCATCAGTTATGACGCAGTAGGAATGTCACCATTTGATTTTCATGTATTTGTTGTGAGGTGACGTGGAGGGACGTTGCATCTTCTCTTGTATACACTGAATAACATCCACTCTCATTTTTCAATAAAATCATTGTTCGATGTCATTATTTCAGGTGTTTTATCTCTCTTTTGAAAAACTTTAAAACTGTTCAGAAGGTTTCACTGACATTAAGTCCCCCCAAAATTTTGAGTCTAAATATTTTTAGACAAGTAAATTTGAATTTTTTTCTAATTGTACAGACACTTCAATCCTTGGTCTTAGTGTTATTTAATCATCCATGTTGACTGTTGTAAACACAACAATGCTACAGTGAAATTTCTCTCGTCTTCCCCAAGGCATGTGAACCTATCCACCACCGTTTGTATTTTCAATTCCCACTGAAGCCTGCAGGGGCGCATAATTTCAGGACTGGTTAAATTTGGGGGTGAATTCTGAAGATTTTGATTGGGGTATGAAAATGATTGGAATTTTATTAATGGTACTCGCGAATCGCGATGAGAGATACATGTATTATCCTAAGACTCTACTATCGCTCGACCATGTCCAAATGTTAAAAAGGCGATTCGTAGAGTCCCAGTTACTAAATGACTAAATGATAAGCTTCACTACGGCCTACCAGACTCTGTTCGTGCAGCGATGTTTGGCAGATGACGCCATCACGCCAGAAAACACAAATAAAAACACACAATGACTCCGTTTATTGCGATCCTGTATTTATCAATACCAAAAACATTACTTTGATCGAAATTTTAACAGATGTGTTATTGAATTTTTCATTAGCACACCGGGCAACCATGCATGGATCGAGGCAAGTTAATTTGTACGCCGAACTATATAGTACTACTCGAGTTCTGAAATATCAAATAGACCTAAATGGTTTTGGCATATGTCGTCATCCAGCTGAAGGCTTGTCGTATGCAAAGGGCAGAGGACATCATTTTTTGCTGATTCCGTCTGTGAATAGAACGACCTCTAAGAAAATTATGTCTCTATTTTTTTTTTCCAAAAAAAGGGCAGTTTATCGGCAGATTTTTCCCCAGAAAATCACACAGAATCACAGGAAAAGATTTGCTGTCACTTTTGGGGCTTAACAACTGCCCCAGTAGCCAACCACAAACTGAACTCCCTAACAATTACAAAGCCACTCTATCATTCTATCATTCACATGGCAGTCATCATAATAACATTAGTTCTACATCCATCCTTCCTCATTAAAATCATGAGAAAAATAGGCTTTCAAATCATAATCGGAATGAATTCTGGGAGCTACATGCATGTGCTTATAATTATATTATTGCAAAAGTATATTTTTTTTACATTTCATTACATTTCAGAATCATTTTAAAATAAATATAAATCACAAATATAAAAATTATTGCATAGAATGATTGCATTTTGAAATAAATATGAATCACAAATATAAAAATTATTGCATAGAATCTTGCTACAATAATGAAGAGTTTTTGGATTTTATTCCCTATTCAATCAAACTTTAAAACAACAGTTTCATTCATTCATATCAAACGTTAATTCATATATGAATCACAAAGTTGCCTTTATATATTTTGTCTGGATTCCATTTCATTGAAGTACAGATTAACCACATGATTTATTACAAACAGAAGCGTTTTCCCCAAAATGGTAACCTCTCCAGCTGCATTCGCAAAGAACAAAAGATTCGAAACTTAAGTACTTTATTTGTATAAATGGACATTTAGTCACTCCATAACGTTTATAAAAACTGTGTAGATAGGGGAAAAGGTCTACAAGTTTTCTTTTAAATAAACAATCAGATGTTTCAAAGCTCGCTGCGCGACGTTGAACGTCTGTGCGTTCAGCATCCCGTGCCAACCGTTGTAACGATTGGTGAGTTGGACCTTGACGCCAGCCTGCTCCAGTCGCGCCGCGTACATGACCGCATCGTCCCGCAGCCCGTCGTACTGGCAACTCATGATGTAGGCCTGCGGCATCCCCGATAGATCCCCCCGCCAACCTGGTGACGTGCGGGGGTCGAGGAACAGGTACTTGTGCTTACTCCACAACTCGTCATTTCCGGTGTCCACCACAGGACCTTTGTACGACGCGTGCTGCTTGAGCGATTTCGGGACCAGCTCGTGATTGTAGATGTGGGGGTTGGACTTCTTGAAGGCCAGGGAGGTGTGGTTGTTAGCCATCATGGCTTCAACGAAGGCATCGTCTTGTCTCCCAAAGAGGAGGAAGGAACGGAAGACGCCTGCAATATTTCTCGGGACGACACCCCCGTTTGGGCCAAAGTCGGAGCGGTACTGCTGGTAGGATGGAGTGTTCAGGTCCAGCAGCTGCAAGAGTGGATACAGGAGGACCTGCAACCTGAGGCGGGGAAGGGAGGCGTCATCTGTTGCCTCTTGGGCCACCGCTGCCGCGAGGTGGCCCCCCGCGCTGTCGCCTGCCACTCCGATGCGAGACGGGTCCACACCGAAGTCCGCCGCGTGGTTTAGGAAGTACCGCAGGGCCGTCATGCAGTCTTCGTGAGCTGCTGGGAAGGCCTGCTCAGTGGCCAATCGATATCTGCCAGAACATTGGTTTAATTGCAAATAACTGATATCAGTGTTGCAGTTGGGTCCGTCACAAAGATCTGGTCACATTAATCGCGTATCTACCAACTAGTCCGATCACAAGAAGCAGGGGATGATCAATAACAAAGGAATGCACTTTTCACTGTCATTTGAACAGCTTGACTTGGGACCGGAAGGCTTGAATCCCGCAAACTATACCACTGATCTCTATATAAAGACTGAATAGCGTGCAGAAAGCTGCAGAAGAATGCCTTATGAAGCCATATTGGAGAGACCGGCTGGTGATCTATAAAGGACAAGTTGCCATCTTTACAGGCAGCATGGTTCACTTTTGTAACATTTGTTGTTCAACTGATTTACATTTTGACCACCACCACTGACCACGGTTCAAAATATTTCAACCGTTGTGGTCTACTTTTTGGAATGCCGCAGTTCACTTTTTGCAGCGTTTGGAATAATAATCACTCCGGAAATGTGTCCTTTTTATCGTAATACATGCACGTGACCAAAATGCGCGTCAACTCTTGATACAGAGGGCACTGTATACGTGTAGAGCGTTCGCAAATATGCGGCCATTAACCAAAGTAGGCTAAATAAACACAGAAATAGACTTACTCGACTGATGCGACCACAACGTCTAATTCTTCTGCAATCTGCCTGGTAAGACCATCATGCGTTTCTACAGAAAAAGTACATCAAACATTAGAACCATTAAATAAGCACTGTAGTTCAATGAGTAGATTCTACTGAGGACACCACTTAATACGTTTACGTTTTCAATATAAAATTCACACCACCATTTGGTCACTCAATAAACTGAATGCTTACCTGTTGAAAAGTGCAAAGCGCTTAGTTCAAGAAAGCAAGCAATAATTTGGGGTGCACAAGTTTACATAAAATTATATGGGATACGGACATAATTTATTTTCCTTTTTTAAAAACATATAGAGCAGCAAGACAGATTTGAGATTCCTATTCCCACAGGTGCAAGTTGCCTATTCTTGAACCATAATTGGCAAATATATGGGGGAGGCGCCTATTTTTAATTTTTTTGGGGGGTGGGGGGAGGGTTCTGTCACTGAATTTCACTATTTGTCAGGTCATTTATTCCGTGCATTTTAGACATTTTGCACCAGAGAACAGCTAGGGCTCTTACGGTGTGAAAGAGAACCTCACCTGGACTGCCGAGCATGTACCCGCCCCCATGATAGAACATCAGCCCTCCGACAGCCCCACGACCCTTCCTGTTTATCGGCTCATACAGCAGGACCCTGACCCCGTCAAAGGTCACGACCTCTGACCTGATATTGGAGCCCTCCACGTCGAAGGGCGGTCGCGGGAGGAAGGCGCTTAGCTCCTGCATGTTCTGCAAGGAATTCTTGCCGTTGAACAGCCCTATCACAGATCCCTGCATATTGGAGAATTGGAAAACAATTGTACAAATTGTAAAAAAACTGATGTGGAATACAGAATTTTTAACAACTGAGGGGCACATCACAAAGTGTGAAAGACACGATATAACAACAACTTGCCACAAAGCGAAAAATCCTTGGCAGTGCCACAAATGCCCGGAACTTGAGTTTCTCCTCGATGGCGTCCGGGACTGGAGTGTAGAGCTTGAAGCACACATAGGCAAGCAGGACAGTCAGAATGACCCAGGAGGAATTCATCTTGGAACTGGCTCTAGTCGAGATGGAATTCCTAAACTATTATCTCCAAGAAGCAGCTGTGAAAAAGAATATTTATGAATTTATGAAATGACCAATAATTAATATTAAAGGGATATATGGCCAAGTAAAAAACAAACATGTTTAGCGTCCAAGCTTGCTTCCTTTTTTGGAGGCTGCCTCCTTTTTTTTCTTTCTTTTCTTTGATAAATTTTAAAAGGTACGTGACATCATTTCTGTTGCATGATCTAGCCCATTAGCTTGCTCTCAAGGCTTAGCATTGGGCTGGAGTTACTACTTTTTTTTACTAGTATTGCATAGTAGTAGCCCATAAAATTATAAAACTGGTGTAATTATTAATTAATTTTCTGAATCCAGCAGTACCGGGGGGGGGGGGGGGGGGGGGGGCAATACGTGAAGCACCATGCCCCCACCCCTTTGAAATCTGAAAGTGAAAAAAAAGGATACTGCACTCTGTGTTTGAACAATGACCCCCCCCCCCCCGCCCCCCCCCCCCGCCCCCACCCCCAAATATAATGTTTGCCCCCGCCCTGGTTAATGAGAAAACTGGTGCTTGATACACCGGTCATCAGGTATATGGAAATATAGAAAGGAATCTTGCATTATAGTTCGTTGCAACAACTATAAATATAATGTTAACGTATACAGACCTGTGTGAACAAACAAATGCATCAGCTGCCCAACGCGCGCATCAACCATTCGCGAGTCGACAGAGCATATCGCAGCGCCCTCAATTGACAGTATTTGACACCAGCTGGCAATTAAAACAAGCTGCGCTGGATTGACTTAGACTTTTCTTTCAGACCGATAACAACGCTGGAGAATCAACATGTTCAATGAAAATGTGTGCATTGAATCCATATTCTTAGGAGTTGAAACGGAATCCTACTGAATGCATATTTTATTTGTCTTCTGTACGTCAATTAACTCATTCCTCCATGGTCAACTGCAAGTTCTAGCTCATTAGCTGTGCAGCACGCAATGTACTCGGCCAAATGCCTAGGCCTAAATCAGATCCATGCCAAAAACAGGCATGTAATATCCAGAAATGTTTACAAGGTGTGTATTTTTTTCGGGCTTTGATCGGCATGACGGTCAAATTTAAAGTACCTTAAATAATGTGTAATGTAGCTGCATGTTAACAAGATAATGTGCACAACATGCAGCTGGCAGTTTTTGCCGCAGATAATTTGCAAATAATGTTTTCTTTTGTGGTACTGTTGTAGCTCACAAGTACATTGAGAGTGCTTGCGTAGATGTCATACAAGAGATGGAGAGGTGTTGTGACAGGCTGGCCAGGCTGGAGGATTCGGTGTGCTGCTCAGGATTTAAGAAAACCGCATCACTGGCCACGCCCAAAACCAGCTGACAGGATGGCAGATGCTCACAGAAATTCTACTTCCTACGGATGGGTAGTGGTCTGGCCAGGGCAAGGCATGCAAGGGATCCTGTACTGTGACTGGTTTCATCGTGGGATCATATTGCATGATTTACATCAGTGTAATACTTAAAATATGCAAATAATTTGCAGCACCGATTTTATTTAGCAGCCAAAATGATGATAGATGCTTACACTTACAGATGTCTATAACCAGGCCGTAACAGGGGATTGTACCTCAACATCATGAAGATGCTGCCGAGTGGTCCTATGAACAGTGATACTACATGAAGTACGACTTGAGATGCCATGTGCTGCTCAGTCAGTATTCAAGACTGCATCACTGACCACGCCCAAAATGCAGTTGACAGTAAGGTCACTGCTCAGCTAGATGCCAGAGGTGCTGTGTGACAGTATGACTACGCCAGAGGTTTTATTCTCACTGAAATAATTATGGTTCAATCTTGGTTCTTGGTTGGTTCATCTCCTAAATACTCCACGTTGGAGTTTATACAGGATAGACCAGAAACACCGGGGCAAACCCCTTCTCTTACAACGCATGTTCCCAGCTGGAACAGGTGATGTTCCCTGATGAAACGTTTCAAGCATTCTGACATTTGAGACGTTCCCTAAACTGAGCTCATACTGGTTGAGTGCAGAATGAAGTTAATTGTGGGTACTTTGCAGAATACAAAACAATGCACGCATGCAGCGTAACCCCCAACACAGAGAGAGTAAGCTCTCTGGAACAGTCATAAACTTCCAGAGCATGTACTATCAGTGGACTTTTGGGCTTAAACCTTGGCTTGCCTAGTTGAGTTTTTGGACATTATACTCGACGACTCGGTCAGTGACTCAGTCTGGCAGAGGGCTGAGGAAAATAGGCTAGCCCTTTATTTGTTTCCAGCCCACAAAAGCCCAGTAAAGAACACTGCTCTACTTCAATTACACAATGTACCTGTAGCAATGTATTCACAAAATACTTGGGTCAGCAGAAACAAGTTTGTTTTCTTCAGTTTTTGCAACCGATAATTTTTATTCAACGAATACAGCTTGTGATAATCCTCCATTAGATTAAATCAAACCTTTAATGCATAACACACTGAATCAATTAACATTATCAATACAAATCGGTGAGTTTCAAGTGTGGAGTATTATGATGCAAAATAAAAAGAACATGATTGAATCCTTATGCTACTTCTGTAGTCTGTTGATAATTTTCAGAATGACAAAATGAGGTTGTTTCTATGAAAACATAAAATGACTGCTAAAACTGATCCCAAAATGATAACCAACATGGTAAAGTTCAGAAGATTACAAAAAGGTTTATTAAAAAGTCTGACATTTCGAAAAATCACTTGAGGTTCCCTACTAAAGTGGTTTTATTTTTAGAATGCAAACCCTAATATATGCAAATGTATTATTTACTTCAGTGACATTAAAGTACATAATGTATTTAAGTTAATTACAAAAAGAAATGAGAGGGCACTCAAGTTAGATTGCAAAAGCTACGAAAAACAAAACCAATTACCTACATTTAACAAACGGCTTAAATTTGGCAAGATATATGAAAGGTGTACAAGATGAAAAGAAAGTTATGATAGTTTCAAGGGCAGGCTTTTGAAAAAGAGACCTTTCTGAAAATGTATTAATTACATGCATCTTATTTAAAATGGCTATTCAAAGTTTCGAAGGTTCAATTTTACGCACTAGCACAGCATGACCAACAAAAGAGAAATTTTGAAAAGGGAGTTCTAGTATCCGAGTTACTGGGTCTAAAAAGTATGAGTAACAGAAAAGGGGTACATGTACACACTTATTTATTCGGTGGACGGAAAACATGTACACTTTGTTTGCGAATTGAGAAATACAGTATTGTAATGTATTGCATACTTTTACACATTGGGCTGTTTGACAGTCAATTTATAGCTAACAGACTAAAGAAAATGAAACAAATTCACAAACATTCTAGAAAAATAAAAGATTCGCTGAATGGTAAACATGTCTAAGGTGAGGGTATTTAAACGAAAAACTAATTGCACACAACATTTTGAATTTTGATCATTTTTCAGCTGAGATAGACTGTGTTAAAAGTATGGGTGTGATTTTGTTTCAAATGAAAATTTGAAATTTTAATAGAAGAGTTTTGAGAATTGTAAAGACAATTTTTCATTGACCGGGAGGACTGGTGAAAAGGTCACACTGATTTGTTGATGAAAATACTTTCCGTCTGTTTTTTTCTCCAATAACAAGTTACTTATGTCATTGTGTTGCGTTGCACACGCATAAAAACTGTCACATGTAAGCTAGACAGCATCACTGAACACAAACAGTTTAAGCTTGCCCCATGATTGACCGCTCTCAGCATGCTTGGCAGCTCCAAGTCAACTTGTCCTGATATTAAAAACCACCATTGCTCATAATTATTCCAAATTCAAGAATCTAAACTCCGACCATTATGAACCTGACCCAGCAGGTCACTTCAGCCCTCTTCACACAACACAAAAAATGTAGCAAGCATTGAGGAACAATTTACGAGTTGAGATAGTAAATACATTGTACTCGAACATTAACAGCTATCACTACGTACGACCGGGGTTTGTGTGGAACGCGTGACCGTGGCAACACGTGACCTAGGCGGCGTATGATGTAACCACTTCTACGGCGTATTGCACTGGTCATTTACAACAGTGTTAAATTTGTCGTAGGTCCGAGACTACGAACCTCCGCCAAAATCCCTCAAGGCTTGATATAAATTCACCAGGGATGTTGGCCACTTTTGAGCACGGAGGTCCCCTCCCATGAAGATTTTTCAAGCAGGATAATCGTTCTCAATCATCATAATTGGGTTTTTTTTTTGGTCTCGTGTGAAGAGGGCTACAGTGTACTCGTTTCAAATGACACAGAAGTTATTGCGAACCATAACAGAGGGAAGTTTGCTACATGGCCATGCCTAGCAGGAACCCTGCACCAAATCCGCCTGATATAACAAGGTTCTTCCTTCCAAGCTGCTTGACCTGTCAAGATGCAAAAAAAAAAAGTTAAACCAAATTAAAGAGGCTACAAAATGAACATTAAAGTATGGGTGTACATGCACATGTACTTTGTGCAGATACTGTGTGAAACTCTTTGAAAATAGTTGGGCACATATCTTGTTTAAAATTATTTTAACCGGGCATTGCAGTTTATTACTCACATACCACGAAGGCACTTTTACTGTTACATGTACACATTTGTACAATGTATGTCACTGTGGAAGCTCTCCCAACCTTGTGGGGAATTATTAAGCAATGTTCCTAGCATATTTCAAGACTGAACGAGCAGTTTCTCAGTTGGGCCAACATTCCCACTGCCCGTAGGGGTGTGAGTGACTACTGATAAAAAGAGCTGAACACCTGAAAAAGGCGTAAAAAAACCTGAATTTTGGAAATCTCCTATATTTCTGTACACAGCATGTGAGGAAAAAAGCTGAAATCCATAAAAAAAAACTAACAAACGCTGAAATTAGCTTTAAAGCTGAGATTTCACACCCCCTGCACTGGGGAAATCTGCTCCACCAAGGCTGTTTCAAAGGGACACTGACATATTCCCTATAAGAGCAGTTTCTATACACAAAGCAACTTTCCAAGCATACTGAGCTTTGAGTCGCTCCCTTGTGGCAAACAAATGCAGTGCAACTTGATTGAACTGACCTGGTGTGCAAATGTCGAAATGTAGGAGGCGTTTTGCTGCACCTGCGATTCAACCTTCGCCTTGGTTTTGTTGATGTCTTTTTCAAACTGTTTCCAGTTGATCTTAATGTGTCCAGTATGGTAGCCAATCTAAAACAAAAGAATGAATGAAACAGAACACACAGGAATAAGCACAGAAGGTTATTGTATTACTAAAAACTTACTTTTAGGCCATCAGCCTGGGGGTTTAGTCAGTATCGAATCGGAGCATAAATGATTATAGTGCGCATGCGCAAGGCATACCGCCTCTAGAGTGGTAACAAGCATTTTGATGGACATTTTGAAAAAAAGGGTGATAACACCCAAAAAGCTGCCACCGCTGCAATGCTATCACATATTTTCCAACTCTGGAGGTGTATACCTTGCCAAAAATCGCTATGATGATTATTCCCCTCATTTGATACCGGTGGCCAAAATTTTGGACCGAGGCTGATGGCCTATTTAGACTAAATACACAAATGTGCCACTGAGCACAGGTGATACAAGTGGTGTCAAGTGAAGTCCAGTGGGCCTAGGAGGATTAGGGTTAAAGAAAGCGTCCAAAGTTTATCAACAATGGCCTAGCGGTTAAGAGCATCGCACCGGACTCATGCTCTGGTGTTTCAGAGGCAGCAGAGTGTGGGTTCGAGCCCGGGTCTGGACACTTGTGCCCTCAAGCAAGGCACTTAACCAATATTACTTCGTCCTCCGGATGGGACGTAAAGCCTTAGGTCCCGTGTGTTGTGTAATGCAATGCACGTAAAAGAACCCAGTAACACTTATCGCTAAGAGAAGGGGTTTGCCCCGGTGTTTCTGGCCTCCAGTCAAAACTCCCATGAGGAGTATTTAGGAGAAGAACCAACCTAGTAATGAAATATCAACATCCAAATTTTACTGGCACTTATAACAATATTATGAATGTTATTTCATAAAACGGAAGTCAAATCACTGACGTGAATTGACTTCTGTTTTGACTTGTGACTGACTTGACAACCACTCTGACATTTTGTGTTGCAACTGTGTTCCTAATATAATCCCCATCACATTCTGTGCTAGCTATATTGTGCTAGCTATAGTGCACTCCATGTATATGCCATGCCTACAGGAGCAGCACAGTAATTTTCAGGCATGCACTGCTTCAAGCACAGTTGAGCTGCTTATTGTAAATGGATGTGCTATACTTATCGAATCTTACCAGGACAACCAGGAGTCCTCCCCCGACGGCTGTTGCTGCAGCCTTGCCGACTTTCTGGAACAAGTAACCCGCAACCCTGACCGAACAAAAAAAACAGCATGAGAAAATACTCGCAGTCTTTTGTGCATGTTTTAAAATTACGAAAATTCTCCAAATCGGAATTAATATCAGGCCAAGTAAAAGAAAAAAAAATGGTCTCTCATCCTGGCTTTGAAAAAAGGGAGGAGGTGACCCTTATTTTTCTCTCCAAGTTTGCGGATCTTCCAAGACGGATTTGCTTGACTCTTTTGTTGATACTTTCGTGTCAAAGGAGCTGTTACCCTTTCTATCAGATTCTAAACTTGCATACATAGCGGTAGCTGGAATTTTGCTGGAAGTGGAAGCAAATACAAACATTTGTATATTGCAAATGTATGATAAGGTACATGTAGGTAGGTGGGGAAACTCGAAGCAGAACTATTATGTTACAAATATAGCTCACTACTGCTTGATCAAAATCGTACGTGGTTCTCTTATTATTAAGCTGGTAGGCCTATAAAGTGGTGTAAAATTGAGGAAAAAGTGAGGTGTGTATTGAGGGTCCAAAATTTATGTGGCTGAGATGGTGGGCAAACACTTAAAACTGTAACAGCAAACCCTACCAGCCTGCGGATCCTCCAATGGCCACCTGCACCGGCACAGATTTCTTGGAGAGTTCCCCATCTAGTGCCTTCTCCAGCCAATTTCTCCCCGTCTCTGCAACGTCCAGAATCTCAAACATGCTGTCGTCAATGCCAGCATTGTTATCTGCCACAAGTAATAGAACCAACAAGATACATAACTACACACAGGAACAAAAAATCTTTGACATGTTTGAGTTAGACACGCTCGACAAAAACAATGAAAAGAACTTTGGGCGATTGTGTAGTTACGGGCCCTGTTCCTTTAACCTTGACCTATAACTAATTAAGAGGGGTCCCGTAACCTATTAAACTACTAGGCCTACTACTTTTACTAGGCCTCTGCAATCGCCGAACTTTGAGACCAATCCGGGGAATTCCCCTGGAAAAAAAAATGGCGGTGGCCATCATCAACATGATCGAACATGTCAAAAACCGAAAACCGAACCGGCGAACATGCCCAGAATTTCGGTTCGAATTTCTTTACCAACGTTTGACAGGAAGACTTCACAATCAACGCAATTACTTAGCAGAGTTTTAATTCTTACTACTTCACCAGAAGATTTCCTCAAAAAGCCAAGATAACTGAAATATTTGCCGATTTATGAAGGAATGAATTACCGTACCTCCCGCTGCACTCGCCATCCTGATCGACGTTTGACCTTTGACACTTAAATCGTGTTTCGATTCCGATTCTCACACACATTAGACAACTACTCGCTATTTACTTTATTCGATTCCTTACGCAAAATTTATATGCACCATCGAGTCCTTAAAAATCGATCCTAAATTGTTCTTTATGCTTGACAAGTATGACATTAATCGGTACTAATTATTACCCGCGGGATCATCGTCAGCTGGATGGATGGATGGATGATCGGTGTTCGAGGACCGATTTGAGCTTTTGCAGATCATTCTAACCGTTAATAATTGCATACAAAAGGTTAAGTACAATCCCAAAAATTATCTGCCATGTGTTGTTTAACAATTACCACTATCGCTTATTAATAATAGTTTGCATTGTCACTGGTCACAGTCATCGGTCATGCATTATGAGCACCACCGGGCCGGGGGGGGGGGGGGGGGGGCTCCGGAGGTGGGGGGGGGTGTAAATGTTGAGTGCAGGGAGCCTTTATTAAATTAAATGTTTGTGAGTGCAGTGGTATCATCACTGGTAAGAAGAATAATTTCATTGAGGTGACAGATGAATGTTCCGTCCGAGTTGAATGGATCATTCATCGGTCATCGAATGGTGAATGAAAATATTCTAACTACGCTTAAGTTCCATTTGGCATTGCAGTTTGCACGAATTTGATTGTGAAACATTCATTATTTGTTTTATATAGCACCACACGGATTGGGTGCATTCTAATTCTAGAAGTATTTTTTTCGTAGCAATTGTACTAATAATATACTTTTAAATACCCCATATTAACTTTTAGGGGGTTTGGGTTAAGGTACATGTACATGAGATGTGAGTTGTGAGTCATCTTCATCCTCTGCTGGGATGAAATGGAAGCAGTCGATTATGGATGATGTCATCCACTGCCTAAATTTGTCTTGCCAATGACTGTGGCATGTGGTGACAGTACAATGCAGTATGGAGAGTACCAATACATTGCGACAACAGAATAAAAAATTGGTGCCAAATCCATGTAAGAGTGTTTCCAGTGAGCTACCACCTCACAGAAGTTGCAGACAAAGCTCAAAGTTATTTCTGTCATCAAAAATTTGGCCTTAGTAGATTATTTACCCATGGATTAGAGCTTGGACTCAAAATCCTCTCAAAAATGCAGTACATGTACATTTGTCAATGAAGGTCATTTCTTTCATTGAGTTCAATTAGGCCTACATACATCTGGATAATTCAAATTCCAAAAATTGTTTAACTGCCTTTATTGGCTTTACGTTCATGACAGGAAGTGGATGAGTCCTACAGACAAATAATTATTTTGTTTGTTCGGATTTGTGATTGCTCCTGAGGCCAAGTAAAAATAAACTTGATCTCATCCGGGCTTTTTTAACAAATGAAGGAGTCGGGCGTTTGTTTTCTCTTTTTTTCCCCTCCAAAATGGCAGTTTGAATCTTCCATTTTCTTGACTCTTTTGTTGATACAATTTTTGCTGAGCTCAATTGTTGGTTTATAAATGTATAATATGCACCTCGCAAAAGTTACTGTACAATTTGCAGAAATTTAAATTTATTTCTAGCCCCAAAAACTTGGCCTTAGTAGATAAAAATAATCACTGGAGAGTTTGGACTTGAAATCTTCACCAATATTGTAGCACGGTACATTTGTCCATAAAGGTCATTATGGAGAATTAAAATTTAAACAGCTCTTATTTGACAAGTCAATGAAATAATAGCCACTTCTGCCATGTTTGTAGCTTTCATACATACAACTTTCCCCTTTAAACTTCTATGAATCTTGCAAATGAATGTATTTTACTTTTTAATATCATTATTTGCGATTCATGGGTAATTAATTGGTAGTATCACCTCATCTAGAATATAAAAACAACAAATTTAATGAATCATAATTTCTATTTTTGCACGCATCCTGCAGAAAGGTTATCAGGTTATCCCACGTACTATATTTAGATTATTTGAATATTTAGGGCCTGCATAAATTGGGTGTGTCGCCACAACAAATGTCGATCTTGACTTGAGTCACACCCCCGACCATGCTAGTGAACTTTGTACTATGTATTTTGCATTGTAGAACATGCTGGACTAGCTAGTGTGTGATTTGGCTCATGAATGTATGTTCATGGTTGAATTCGGCACATACAGTCACATTGAACATCTTGTGTACATGTCTACTGTCGTCTGTACAATGTAGTTCCGTGCTTTGAGGATCTGATCATTGAGTAACTTAAGTTGTTTGTCATTCCCTCAAAAACACTGAGAGTTGAACTTGTAACTTCAAAACCAATGGTAAGTTTTGTACGCTTTGACTGGAGCCAATTTTTTGTTTAACATTTTTTGTTTAACATTTTGGACAGCTTGTGGTAGAAACTGGTACATGCACATTTGTGATTTATATTTTACTTCATTTGAAATTTTCAAACAGCAGCCCGTTAACCAATCAGAGCGGAGCCTGAACGTCTCTAGTCGGGCCAGAATGACCAACCTACACGACGTGGCCAAGTGGCCCATCTTCAGCCTGATGGAGGTGGAACTACTCAACAGCATCCACCAGGTAAGGATTGAAACAACTTATTGTAGGGTTAGGATCGGTGACTCTAAATCAGAATAGATTCCAAACATGGAATTTGAATCGGAGGAGAGGGTAATCTGACGATCAGACGTTCACGTGTGCAGAGACACAATCGAACATCTGATATATCCTAAAATGTATGCGACTGCGCGCCAGCCAATCGGAGTCGACTTTAGAAACTGTGACGTCAGTTCGATCAGAAATGTGGACTAAGCTGTTGATAGGTCAATTTGGATGCCATGTTTTTGTGATGCAACAACGGAATGCCGATGACCCGATAGAAGGCGCCTGCTGAATGGTCAGAATCTCGAGGTCAAGATGAAGTCTTGTTTTGCATAATGAATCACCAAATCTGCTTGCGTATGAGAGACCGTTGCCGCGGCTATTCCGTAGACTGGGGGAGGTGGGGGGGGGGGGAATCTCAACAAGGTAGTCAATTTCAGCAATTTAAGGTCTCATTGACCTTGCAGTCAGTGCTATGTGGGGAAGTATGGCCTAGTGGTTAGGGTTTGTGACTTGTGATCAGAGGGTCAGGGGTTCCAACTCAGTGGCTGGCCAAACATGTATGTTGTGTCCTTGGGGAAGCCACTTTACTCCCACTTTTCTCTCTCCACCCATGTCAGTCAATCCAGTTTTACATTCCATTTTGCACCAATTATCTGAACAAATTTTGGATGAAAATTGTATGGGTAACGGAAATTCCTAAGAAACTTTAACTGATTCTTAAAAAAAAGTTATGGAATTGACTGGAGCGGGGTTTGAACCTGCAGCCTCCGGATTGTCGTTTCGGTTTCACTATGTTTGGCAATGTTTGGGGTTCCTGTGTATAGCCTTGTGTGAAAGATCATATTATGGCACAGGTCTTAAAAGACTTCACGAAGGACTAAAAAACTTGTATCGTTTCCATCTCTTCCAACCAGGCCTGTGTGTTCGGCAGCGGGGGCAACGAGGCTATCTTCACCACCACAGACGGCGACGTCTACGCACTGGGCAACAACCACAACAGCTGCCTGGGGTTAGGGGACATCCAAAGCACACTGGTGCCCCGCAAGATTGAGGTATTGTGCGGCAAGGGTGTGACGCTCATGGCGTTTGGCAGCGGACCGCACGTGGTGGTTGCAACCGACAGTGGGGAGCTGTACAGGTCTGTTTTTGCACTCTGGCTTGCTTGATGCCCTTCGTGCTGTCTGGGCAGTCACAGACAGTTGAAAAAATTAATCAGTCCTCTTCCCCTGCCATGCTTTTATCATGTTTCATATACAGGCTAGTCACCAACAATCAGATCGTATTTCTTGTAGGCACTGTGACAGTCAAATTCCATCAACAGACATATATCAAGTAACTGCATAGGCACAGCTGGCTTATCAATATCCTACAGTCAAAGCATAGCAGTATCAAGTTGTATAACCAGTTACAGCCAGTCGATCATGTGTTATGTAGGCAGGGAAAACTCAACTGCTAAAAAAACAGTCACTTGATTACTTTTAAGAACTGGGATGGCATTGAGGAATTAGCCAGCCACAGAGGCAGAGTTAAATTAACCAAGTCTTGGAGTAAGTTTTGAAGGCAAGTTATATTGCTGACAGCCAAAATAAAAGCGCGTAATGACGGTTCAAAAAAACGTCACGGCAAAAAGCATCTGCAGCGGAGGGACGTGCACACGTTGCGCTGTTTGCATAGAGCAAAATGAAATGCTCATTTGCTGATCGTGCATTTCGGTTTTGGGCGTATCGGCTTCAATGACGCACCAGTATGGAATTCAAATGCAGATATGCAAATAGCCGTACGAAAGCCGTACAAAATTTTGAGTATCCATGGGTTTGTGCACAAACATGGATGCGCCCAGCAGGCATTACTTTGTACACGAAGTTAGCGCTCTAGTAATTTAATATAGCTCTATGGGAAAGACCCACTTAAATTGCATGAAAATTTAAAACTGTGTGAAGTAGAATTTCCAGCCGACATTCCTGAAGTCCTGAACTTGAGTTTGCTCGTTGAACAATTTAATAAACCCCACCCTCACTCTAACCACAGCCCCCCCCCCCCCCCACACCCCACCCAAAAGAAGTCTTTTGGGGGTTGAACAGGATAGTCGTTGCATGTGACCATGAGTTGCATGGCCATGTACAGGGCCTATTGGCTGTGACAATATTGGACATTTCCTGTTCTGAAATTGTGGTCTAGACTTGCGGGCAGGATATATATAGCAAGCTGTATGTTACTATGATCCATCCTGGACTATGAGAAATAGCTAATTAAGTATAGATGCAATGCATCGTAGAAATGTCCGACATTCTTTTTTACACCAAAATATAGTGATTTACATAAACCAAAGTGTTTAAGCTGGCAAAAATGTACATGGTACAGTTTTTTTCTCTTACAAGTACATGTAATTGGTAGTCATTGAAAAAAATGATAAAAAAACATTTTTTATTTCATTAGAAATAATGTATAAAATTTCTGTTTATCATAATTACAATAATGAGCATTTTAATTAACAGGCTTTTACAAAGTAAACATTTATGTGCGAAATTTGCACATTAAGCCCAATGTGATTTTATGGTGCATGTAGTTATTGTTTTGCACATGTACAGCGCAGAAATCGGCAGAATTCATCAAATATTGCAAAAAGTCCTGTTACATGTAGTAAAATATGTGTTACTTTTAGGGGAAAAAATATATCTTTTTAGACGGTATTTGTATTAATTAATCCTAACAGTCCTGAATCCTTCAAAATCCTCTTTGCCAAAGTGAAGGAATTTGGAGGATTGAGGTTACATGTACATGGCAAAAGTGCATTACTGATTTTATAGGAGGCACTTTGTCAAGGTCTTGGGCCGGACCTTGTGTTTTTATTTTGCTCAGCCATGCATTTATAGGCCTGCATTATGCTTGAAATCCTCCGTACTGCTCCAGGATGTCACTGGCCAAGCTTCAACATATTGACAGTCACCGCGCTGCAGGATTTTGCAGGATTCAGGCAGTGGTCACCCGACCACGGACCATATTCAAGAAATAATGGAGGAATTTGCAGGATTGAGGCTATATGCTGTTTTTCCATGAGGCCAATTGGAGGATTTTGCAGGATTGAGGCTACATCCTAGCAAAAAGGCCTAGTTTAATAATACAAATACATAAACACACCCTATTCCTACTGTAATAAGCCGCAATCTATTTTGGGTTATTTTGTATTTCAGCTGGGGTCACAACGGCTACTGCCAGCTTGGCAACGGCACGACCAGCCAGAGTCCAGAGAGGATGGCTCCCTGCCTAATATCCAGCAGCCTAGGGGGCTGTATGATCAGTCAGGTGGCCTGCGGCAGCCACCATACTCTGCTCCTCACAGACAAAGGAGAGGTAGGTCGTGTCCCAGTAACACAAATGTCTGTCAACCGTTCGTGCACGGAGGATTCATAACACAAAAAGGCTGTTGCAGGGTGCATACCAACTAACCCGTTGAAGTTTGAGTTCAGTGGATGCTGTATACGCTTTGTTAAAACAGAGAAATGTGTGCGCACATTTTGGATATGTCTGGATTCTGTTGCAAACATGTGTGGCCGTGGGCAGCCTATTATGAAACCACCGTCAAAATTAATGTTACTTTTCTTCCAAATGTTACACTTTCAGGCAGAATAATTTCACAGGGTATTTGACACTAGTCCTGTCTTCACTCTTAGCAGGTTCATTCTGTCAATAATTTGTACATTTTTCAGATTATTGCTGAGGATCCTATGTGGCTTTAATTATTAAGCCACTGTTGCACATGTGGCATTGTAAGTAAAATATATCTGTTTATCTTTTTTTTGTGGTGATTCTGATTATTGACAGGTGTTTGCGTGGGGCTACAATAACTGTGGTCAGGTCGGGTCAGGAGCGACGGCCAACATAAACGCACCCAGAAAGGTCTCCTCGTTACTCAGTAAGAACAATAACGTTCTTAGGCCTACTATTCTAATTTAATCGTCAACATTCCAGTTTATTTCAAATCTGACCCTGAGGATGCGGTGGATTTGTTAGCATTTATAGGAAATATGTATCCCAGATATTGAGTAAATTAGAAGCAGATTGGGTGTTCACGTATCATTGCGTAACACTGAGTCAGCGATTTTATCCTGAGTGAATTTTGACCTGGACTACTTCATCGAGAACTGAAGTGGCTTATCATCAAGTACCAAAAACCAGAGCAACATGGGGTGGCTATTCTGGATATAAACGTGGGTCAGAGAGTTGAGACTAACATGTGCACTCCTATGCCAACCGTCTATTTCTCTCAAACTTGGGTATGCACTAGTGATGTTGTTTCCCTTCTTGAAGGTGGCAAGAGAATTACAGCGTTGGCCTGTGGTCAGACATCATCCCTCGCACTTGTGGACAATGGTGAGGTGAGTTAAAGCCAGAGTCCTTCATTTGCAGCTATCCAAAAAGTAACTGGCACCATGAATCCTGCGTCTTTGTGGCGTTTTATAACATTTTTAAGAATTTCAACAACGCAATATGAACGCCATGCATGGACGTGACAGTTTGACAGGGCCTTTACATCTACCTCTTGTACATTAAAGCAACATTCCATGGTGGTTTTTCATTTTCACAAATATTGGTACAGTGCTTCAATCATTTGAATAAAAGGGGGGGGGGGTAAATGTACTTAATGAGTGAACATTGATTCTGCACCACGAGGGGGAAGTCCCATGTAGGTTTGCTGGATTTTGCTGTTTTTTTGTCTGTGCCCACAGGTGTATGGATGGGGTTATAACGGCAACGGTCAACTAGGTCTAGGAAACAACGTCAACCAGCCAAGTCCCTGCAGGGTGTCCAGTCTGTCTGGGGTAGTTATATCACAGGTAGGTGTGTACTGCTGCTCGTTAATGTGCCCCACCGAAGTAATTTGCATAATTGAGGGCAATGCAACAATTTTGCACCAGCAAAGATGGAAGCTGTTAACTGTACTGGGATATGGTGGTTCAGCATGTATGGCTGGATCCATAGCTATGCATGATCACTGCGCTTTAGTCGTAGCCTTGTTGCCTAGTCTGGTTCGGCACTTACATTATCGTTGTGATGTTGTATTCAGGGGGCAAGAATCAGACATAAGAAATTTCGGACATAGATATATACTTCCCTTATAAAAAAATCGTCCGGAGCCACCAATTAGAAGAACAGATGGAAATTGGACCTAACAAAATTTCGGACTTTATTTCCCTTTAAAAAAAATCCTCTGATGCCACGAATTAGAAAAAAAGATGCAAAGTGGATCTGTTTGTGCCCAAAACAAAAACCTTTTTATTCAGACGTCCCAAAAAAAAAGGAAAAAGGTTTTTTTCTGTTGAAATGAAACATACAAGTTGAAAATTTAATAGAAAAGAAAAATTAAATTTGTTGAAGAGCACGGAGAACTCAACTTTAAACTTGTTTCCCCGTATATATATTTTCTCTGCCCAGATAACCTGTGGCTATGCCCACTCCATGGCCCTATCAGACGAGGGCATTTTGTATTCATGGGGTGCTAACTCCTACGGGCAACTAGGTACCGCGACAAAGCTAATCTAGTCACAGCTGTATGTAATGTAATCTCCTTTTCTCTGCCCAGATAACCTGTGGCTATGCCCACTCCATGGCCCTCTCAGACGAGGGCATTTTGTATTCATGGGGTGCCAACTCCTACGGGCAACTAGGTACCGGCAACAAAGCTAATCTAGTCACAGCTACCAGAGTAGGCACAGATATAGGAAGGTAAGAAGCTGCTTGAAAAACAAAATTAGTTGGATTAGGTTGGGTTTTTGTCCCTTCACCGACGTATAAACACTGTGTAATCAAGTTTGTATCTCTCGAGTAAAAGTTGGAAAAAAATCACTCAGGTGGGACTCGAACCCACGACCTCCTACTTTCCAGTGCAGACGTCTTACCACTCGACCGCCGAGCTTGCAGGATCTGTTTGCTGGTTCGAATCTGATGTAGCAGCGGGTACCGCAATGAAACTACCGAAATACGCCGGTGAAGGGCAAAACCTAATATTGACTTACATCACCCAGACGCAAATCCCATCTTATGAATACTGTATTTGCGGTACCCGCTGCTACATGTACATCAGATTCGAATCAGCCAACCGTTCCTGTAATCTTGGTGGTTGAGTGGTAAGACGTCCGCACCAGAAAGCAGGAGGTCGTGGGTTCGAGTCCCACCCAAGTGATTTTATCCAACTTTCACCCGGGAGGTAACGCACTAAATATACAGTGTTTATACATCGGTGGTCGTGGAAAGCCCAAATTTTGTCCCGAAAAAGTCATGGAGTTTCATTTTAAGATTTCATTTTAAAGAACCATGCTCTTTTGCCTCTGCTTATTGGCAGTCCTCAAGATTTTTTTAAGCTCAGGCTTCTCCCAAGCGCCAACTATAAATGCTTAAATCTTAATTCCTTCTTCATGTTTTATAATTAATTTTGATCCAGATTTGTAGAGATAGCGGCCACCCATTATTCCCACATCTCCTCGGCCATGTTGCAGTCCGGCATGGTCTACATGTGGGGCCAGTGTCGGGGTCAGTCTGTGACCTCACCGCTGCCCACCAAGTTCACCTGTCTGGATGACGTGTTTGCCTGCTTCTCGTCCCCCGCCGTCACGTGGCGACCGCTGCGATTCGGTAAGATTTGTTCATCAAACCAAACTTGCTGTGCATTTTAGCTTCCATATTTTTAAAATCTAATTCCTGAAATAAGGTACTGCAATGAACTTGGAACATCGAGATTCAGTTTTAAGGCCAGTTCTTACTTCAAGCGAATTTCAGTGCAAAGCGAATTCAGTAGGATAATGGCGAACGTCATTCGTTATTTTGATGTATTTCTAGAAACGTTTGTTGGAAGAAGGGCCCTAGAAGACAGCTTAAAGAGTTCATTCGATAACCAGGTGAGATAAAAAAAAATTCAATAAGCCCGAAAGTCAGAAAATACAATAAACCCATAAGTCAGAAATTGTAAACGATGTTGAGGACTAGTTCAAGGAATCTCCTTCCACAACATAGTCGTAAAGGCCAAATAACTGCATCCTTGCTTAAAAAATTCTTAAAAATGTAACAAAATGTGTTCATTACTAACACGTACATGTATGTTTATACCGGTACGTGTATCCTCGTGCGCAATCTTCATTAGATAATGGTGTGACCTCTGGGGGGTGTGGCCTAGTGGTTAGGGTTTGTGACTCATGATCAGAGGGTCAGGGGTTCGAATCCAGCTGCTGGTCATATGTTGTGTCCTTAGGCAAGCCACTTCATCCCCAATTGCCCCTCTCCACCCAGGACTCCACCCAGGAGTATAAATGGGTACCGGCATTAGCTGAGGAGTAACCTGCGATGGACTGGCATCCCATACAGGGGGAATAGAAATATTCTCAGTTGTTTCATGTTACTGAAACCGGAGATGAACGCCTGCCTGATGGGCCACATTGACCCGTGACAGACTTTGCTTTTACTACTAATGGTGTGACTGGTTGCTTTACTAAATTACTTTAATGTGCCTTGTGTGACAAACTTTGTAACCATGTACCGCTTGAAGTTCGTTTTCGATTTTTGGGTTTTTTTTACAGGAAAATTCCGACTTGAAAATTATGTTGGAAGGCAAGAGTATTCATGTACATAAAGCTATACTGAAAATCAGGTGGGTACACCAATAGCTTTCTTGCTTCTTTCACAGTTCAAAATCATTATTGCGATGATACACATGTAACCTTTATTCAATTTATAGGAGATTGTATAAAATAAAACAAACTTGACGGATAAATTTATCTGTCTATAATTATTCAAAATCCATTGTAAATTTGACCAGATTGTATATGATCTTGTGATATGCCTGCAGGTGTGAGCATTTCCGAAGCATGTTCCAATCTCATTGGGATGAGGATGGAAAAGAGTGAGTAGTCTCTTAATTACAATAATTTTTTTAATGAAGTAGATATTAAGGAGCATTTTTGAGAGAATGTGCCCTTTTGGGCTCAAAAACGTGCTCAACACAAATTAAAAATGTAAGCAAGATCGTTACAAAGTAGCATATCACCATTCTCACAACTGTATCACGAAAATACATGTATGCCGTTTTTGTTTGTAACTACGGCACCTACATAATAGGAATTTTGGGGCACAAGATTATAGTTCGAAGAAAGTTGAACCCTTCATAGCAAATGCTGTAAGACTATTTATTGTCCCATTTGCAGTGTAATAGAAATCACCCAGTACACATACCCAGTCTATAGAGCATTCCTAGAGTACCTCTACACAGACTGCTGTATTAAACAATATTTATTGTCCCCTTTGCAGTGTAATAGAAATCACCCAGTACACATACCCAGTCTATAGAGCATTCCTTGAGTACCTCTACACAGACTCTGTCTCGGTGGATCCTGAAGATGCTATAGGTAAGCCCATTTTGCATTTTTTTGTTGGCAGTTGTGCTATACCAATTGAGCTATCCAGCCCTGGCGAATAATCCAAAACCGTCATTATCTTTGTTCAAGGGGTGCTTGTCAGATGCCATTACCCCTTATATGCTATATTAGATTACTAGAGCGCTGACTAATGTACAAAGTGATGCCTGCTGGGCGCATCCATGTTTGTGCACAAACCTATGGAAACTCGAAATTGTGTACAGCTTTTGTACGGCTATTTACATATGTGTTTGTATTCTTAACAGGTGCGTTATCGAAGCCGATACGCCCAAAACCGAAACACGTGATCAGCAAATGAGCATTTCATTTTGCTCTTCACAAACAGTGCAACGTGTGTGCGTATCCGCTGGAAATGATTACCGTTATTTTTTTTTTTAACCGTGTGCACCGTGCATCGTTAGCAGAACCAGGTCAATTACAGCATAGCATTCACACTTTCACGCCCAGGACATGCCCTCAAAGTTTCTGAAAGCCTTTTCACACTTTGGTCACAGGGACCTGTGTTAAAATCAACAAGGGTCTACCGTTAGTAGAACCAGGTCAAATAGGCAAAGCATTCACACTTTCACGTTTGTAAACAAGTTTGGCATTGGTTTTGGATTTTTCTCAAATGCTGGACCCATAGAATCTGCATTGGATTCAGAAAGTGTGGAGGAGCCTCTAGATCTTATTTGTCGCCAGACCCTTTGAAAATGCTCCCTTCCCTGTACATTGTATTCTTAAAGTTTGTATGCGTGTGGATATTTAAATTGAGTCGACCCCTACTACCAGGCCCGCAGGACCAAGTCCCCCAAAATCCACCAAATTGAGGGTGTGGATTATGATGGCCTGTTTTAGTAGAAAAAACAAATTCGGAGATTTAAAAATCACCTGCTCAATTTCATTTGAAGAGGTTGGTTCCAAAATGCCAAGTTGATGCACTTTGCAATACACTTTATTCATGAGGAAGCCATTTTGATCTTGTTCCCTGTATTTTATTTATTGTAACCTGTTGAATGGGATGGTGCCAGACTATGCCTTCCAAGCCTCATTTTTAGTGGTTTATGTAAATGTGGCTCAGAACATTACAGGTATGTTTACTCACAAATTTGAGATCACTCATCAGAGCAGACTGTTATTAATTTGTAATTAACTTTATTTCATTGCTTTCATTAAGGTACACTTTTTGTTGTTAAATAATCCCTGGATAGAATTTTCTTATTGCCCAAATTAGTTAGTGCCCCATAATCCAAGTAATTTTCAGTTTCTACATAAAATATAGTGTTTGGTTTTTCTTATAAAGTTTTAATTACTGCATAATTTCTTCAAGTAGTTTAATATGAATGAACTAAACTACTCTCTGACACTCTTTTGTACTCCCCTAATGATCAAGTTATTATTATTATTTTTTTTTTTAGTTGATTAATTTACAGCGTTCTACACCCTTTGTAATTATAGTATTTTTTCCTCATCTCCTCACTGCATGCCTGACACGTCCTTGCTACTTACAAGCCAAATTCACACCAAGCTAACACACAAACAAGAGATTGATGAATGCAGGCGACACTCAGGTGATAAAATACTGGCCTTTATGTAAATGTGGCTCAGAACGTTACAGGTATGTTTACTCACAAATTTGAGATCACTCATCAGAGCAGACTGTTATTAATTTGTAATTAACTTTATTTCATTGCTTTCATTTGTATTCGCAAGTTCCAAAATTAAGATTTTATCTCGCTTTCAATTTGATATGGCCGACTCGTAAATATAAAGCCTATGACGCCTGCTCCTGTGGCCCAAAGTCAGTTTTGACAACAATTTCAGAATACAAGAAAGCGGAAAATATAGTTTAGAAACTGCTAAATATGTTGTAAGCGTTTCATCACCATGCAACTTTTTGACTTTTTTTTTCTTCAAATGGATATATTTCGCATTTGGAAATAAACTCTGCCAAAAAAGAAAAGAAAATCAAAGCCTGTCACTTATTTTTTATGATTTTCCTGCTAACCAACTGTGCTTATCAAACTCAATGCGATGTTGTTCACACCCATCTCTTCGGATGAATACCGAATTACTGTGATTTACTGTTTAAGATTCAGTCAGGCATGCAACTTTCCCACGGATCAGCTGATTTCCTCTGTTTGTACTTCACATGTTTGCCATTGAAAATAGAAAAACACTGTACAAAGTCTTGGAAAAATTTGAATTTCCTCTTTTTTGTACGACTTCCCAGTTGCATGCCTGAAGATTGCGTTACTTCATCAAGCTTCAGACAAATCGTGATAGAGACCACAGGAATGCAATCTGCCAACTCGTCTTGCATGACTCGCAAACCCCTAACCCTTCCCTGGTTACATTATTGGTGTGATACACAGTGCTATATTACCCTGACAAAACAGACAGCTATTGATGCCAAAGTATTCAGCTGCACATTCCCTGGCCGAATTGTCTCGGTACGGTGTCCTAATGAAGACAGAGTTGTCTCATTAATTACCGTCCCCCTCTGCAAGGTGATACACGTACCCGGTACGGTACCAGGGGCTTGGAGAAACACAACAACACTGGGTTAGATTGAGGTTTCTAGTTCAAAATGCATACTGTGCATTCTATCACGTGTCGTGTTAAATCTCCTATTTCACTTGTGTTTCTTGTGATACTGTCTTAGTGTTGTGTGCCATTTTTCAAAGGAATGACTGAACTTCACCTTATACAGACCAAAAGCATGTCGGCCATCTGAACAATGAACCGAAATTTGCTATAGTACATGTATATGAGCTCCTCGCATGAAAAGCAGATGACCTTTTATACCACTTTTGAAAGCCCCTTTGGTTGGAAGGGGGGATTTACTGCATGTGCATACTGATTCGCGCGCATGTGGTGCAAAGTACGCATGGCTTATTTTATTCTGAGTCACAAACTGGTTGGGTCTTCGTGTGAGTCTCAAGTGCCTAGATGATAATCTGTTCGAACGTCCGTTCCAGTGGCCTCCCCAAACTTTCTCTTTGTAACCGTTGATTGATACATACATGTACATGCCACTGATCTCTATATAAAGACTGGATAGCTAATAAAGAGCCGCACAATGTACGAATTTGACGCCATATTGGTGAGACCGGCTGGTGATCTACAAAGGACAAGTTGTCGTTTTTATAGACAGCATGATTTCTTTTGTAAACGTCGCGGTTCACTTGACTTATATTTTGACCACCATCACTGACCAAGGTTCACTACAATTTTTCTAACGTCGTGGTTACTAAAATGCCGCAAATATAACTTTTTCGGCGTTTTGAAATAATAATCACTACGGAAATGTGTCCCTTTTAGAACATCATAATATGTGTACGTGACCAAAATGCGCGTCAACTGTTGATACAACGCGCGTGTATTTACGCGTAGAACGTTCGTATAATACGCGGCCATCTTCGTGAGACCGGGGGCGAATTGGTCAATATGCAAAGTCTACTGTGTGAATGTTGTATGCATATCCGCTATCCAGTCTTTATATAGAGATCAGTGGTACATGCATGTAGTCCATTATTAAGTTGCTTGTAAGTCACTATTTAGTGTCAATTACTTTTAAAGGGAAGATACAACATTTGCAAACATCACAAAACGAAATGATCAAATTATCACGAAATACCTAACTGGATTGTTAGGGAATGACAGTCTAAAGCATCCTGTAAAATTGTGGCTCCGGGTGTGCTGACATTTTCAAGAAAAATGGTATTTTTCCAACGCTGGTCGGCCGACCAGCGTTGGAGAAACCTGGCTGTTTTCAAAAACTGCTCCTAATTTTCATAATTAGTTATTTCGCATTTTGTTTGCAATTGATTACACACCCGTGAAGGGGTACAAGCCTGCTAGACTGATTCTCTGACCTTACAATTCCCCAAAGTCTATAAATTGCTCTGTTTCATCTTAAGTGGGGTCAGGGAACCAGACTACAAGAACATGGTTGGTTTTCTTGGTTTGTCCAGCATCTACAAGCCCAAAACGCGAAACAAGTAACTTTAACAATATTTGCTATAGCACACTAATCCTCCAAATCCACTTATTTTCAAAAAATTGCAGTAAAAGCAAATGTTGTACATTCCCTTTAAGGTACACTTTTTTGTAGAACATCCCTGGATAGAATTTTCTTGTCACACAAATTAGTTAGTGCCCCATAATCCAGTTAATTTTCAGTTCCTACATAAAATATAGTGTTTGATTTTCTTATAAAGTTTTAATTACTGCATAATTTCTTCAAGTAGTTTAATATAAATGAACTAAACCACTCTCTAACACTCTCATGCACTCCCCTAAAGATCAAGTCATTATTATTTTTATTTTTTTTAGTTGATTAATTTACAGCGTTCTACACCCTTTGTAATTAAAGTATTTTACCTCATCTCTTCACTGCATGTCTGACACGTCCTTGCTACTTACAAGCCAAATTCACACCAAGCTAACACACAAACAAGAGATTGATGAATGCAGGCGACAGGTGATAAAATACCAGACTTTCTCCATTACATATCTTCTGATCTTGGCCCCTTGATTGCAACGATAAATAATATCACAGCTGAATGCATATGGTTTGGCTGCTATAACATGTTTAGGCCAAAAAAAAAGTCTCCGGTTTCTGGTATGCGCGCGCGTCGCCGTAGCCATGCGCGTCGGCAAAATGAAAAAGTTTTTTTTCAATGAAAGATGATGTCTCAAAACGGCCAAACTCACTGGTTTGACTAGAATCCTGCTGCTGCACAATTTTAACGTGTTTTTAGATGGGGTTATGATCGAGAATAAGCTTTATGTGGCCTCTCTGGACTCCCATATATATGCACTAAGTTTAGTCGGGCACCATTTGCAGTCATCAGCCGACATTTGAAGCAAAAAAAAAGTCAGGTAAAAAAAAAAAAAAAAGCCGAGTCGCCGCACCACTTTTTGGGCAAGCTCCATACCAGAAACCGGAGACTTTTTTTTTTGGCCTTAGCGTCCCCACCGGCTTCTTTTTTTTTCTTTTTTTTTAATACCAAAAAAAGGATAGAATTCTAACAGTGACATCATCTTGGCCTCTTATCTGTTGCATCTAGCCCATATAAAGCTGGTATGTCATTTCCTGAGTCCAATGGCGACCATTTATAAAAAACAACTAGCAGCCATCTTGAAAAATAGCCCGGTCGTACGCCATTTTGGAGGGGGAAAAAAAGGGCCTCCCACTTCCGGTTCGGGGCCCGCTTAAGGGCCGCGGAAAATATTTGGATTCTAGATGCTCTGTGGTGCGATCTGAGGCAATTTCTGACCACTTTAACCAATGTTTTTTTGAGGAAAAGATGGTGGTGTACTCATTGTCTGCCTTTATTGCGATGTCACATAAAAGAATAAAAAAATTGGTTTCGTTTGGGGGGGGGGGCCATGGCCCCCTTTGGCCCCCCCCCCCCCTGGATCCGCCCTTGTTTCCTATAACATTCTAATCCTCCAAATCCATTTATTTCTGTAAATTACGGCAGAAGCAAATGTTGTACATTCCCTCTAAACGAGCAACAAGACCACAAGAGTGAAATTCATTCTATGGAATAGGTGGAATTTTTACTCAAGTTTCTGATGACGTTATTGTGTTTACCTCTGCCATGCAAGGAGGTTATGTTTTCATCGGATTTGGTTAGTTTGTTGGTTGATTGGTTGGTTGGTTTGTCTGTTGACAAGATAACTCAAAAAGTTATGGATGGATTTGCATGAACATTTTTTTCGGGGTGATCCTTGGTAAAAGTACACATCGGTTAGGTTTTGGAAGTGATCCGGATCTGGGTCTGGATCCAGGATTTTTTAAAGGATTCTTCACCATTTATGCGAGTATTTCTTTTGGGTGTACTGACAATATGGCGGCAAATTGTTTAACCGTGGCAGAGGTTTGCGCTCTCTGAGTGCTTTCTATTTTTGCAAAGTTTTTCAATCGAAACTTAAAACAAAATCCTTAATCTAAATCCTCTGGGCAGCAGTTTTCATCTTCAGACATAAAAGAGTGCCTTGGAGTTCTCACCCTGTTGATATTTCCTCTGGTTTTTTTTGTGCTCAGGACTTTTGGACCTGGCCAATTCCTACTGCGAGACCCATCTCAAGAAACTGTGTGAACGCATCATCAAGCAGGGAATCAACGTGGAAAACACACCAACGCTGATGGCAGCCGCCATCAAATACGAGGCACAGGTTGGTGATCTCTTCAATTCCAAACTTTGTCGCCAGCAAGTGTTCAAATTTTCAAGGTCAGAAACTGCAGTCTTGGCAGTATTGCCATTCAATTCCGACAATCATAGGATTTTCTTTCTTTTTTATTGGTTTAAATACATAACAAAACTTCAAAACTAGGTCTGTGAGAAGTTAATGCATTTGAATCTAACTGATCCAATTTATCTTACTGAAGCAGAGTGCTTTTTTGTTCAGTGTTTGTTTAATATTAGTTTTTTTTGGCTTTTTTTTTTGTTCTCAGAGTATTTTGGTATTCAAAGGATTGCAGTCGTTTTTAGTAATTACATTTTACACCACAAATGGAATTAAGACGTTACAAACATAGAAAAAAAAATAGATAACGAGAAAATTCAAGAAGAAAAACTTGAAAGCTTGGACTACCCGTTGTGCATTTTTACTAACAGAAATTAAAAAATAAAAAGCCATAAAGACTAACCTTATTCCGTCTGTTGGGTCTTGTTAACTAAATTTGAAGTTCTTTGTAAGTTAAAAAAAGAGCAAATGGCTGCTTAGAACGTCTACAAAAGAGCCATCCGACTCGATTAGAAACGCGCTGATGAAAACCCCTCCATTTGGAAATAATGTCAATTTGACATCGGCAAAAGCACCTTGTAGTGTATGTGTATTAACCCTCTGCAGTGCCATTCAAAGGCAATTAGCGGGCCGTATCTCTGCAAATTGCTTTTCGCTCGAGTGAATGAAAAATTCTTTTGAGCGCTTCTTTTGAAGACAGCCGACGAAATGCTGACAAAGCATTTCTTTTGAAAGAGACTGTCTATTTATCGAGCGATCACAGCCTGATGTACTATACAACAATTCGCTCGAGTTATTCCTGCCGATTCCGGAATTTTTCGTCTTCCGTAGTAATTTCTCGTCTTCACGGTGCTAATCATTAACGAGTGAGCAAACACGGGAGTGTTTCCTAATCAAGTTTGAGGGAAATATGGGGCATAGCGAGAGACCCATCTTTTTGTCTTATAATACGAGTCCCTGCCTATTTGACACAAAAGGCAAAATTTGATTGTATGGCCAGGGGGCAGTTGCCCCATCCACCCATTGAAACGAAAAGCAAAGTTTACCACAAATTGACTAAAGTAGTCCCTTGATTTAATTGTTGCCAGTTTATTGAAGACTTTTCTTCTCTCTTTTATTGTTTATACAAGGCAGTGCCAAATTAGAAAGAAAAACAGTGAAAAGCAAAGATCCTTGACATGCATTTTGCATACTCTTTACTTAAGAAATTAAAAAAACGCCTTTCAAAAATTATATTTCTGAAAGATTCCCGAATAATCCCAAAGTTTGAGACCTGCAACTTGCTGTGAATTGTAATCACCATTCAGTTGATGAGGTTTGTCCAATTATACAACTCAAAGTGTCATTTATTTTTTTACTCTATTAATTGTGTTCATTGGTGCATATTGTATGCGTCTTCAGAACCAACTCGAATTAAACGGGCGCCATCAGACCTAAATGGAGTGAGGAGTACCATCCGTTGCTAGCTAGCAAATCAGTATTGTCAGTGTTGACTAAATAAATTAAAAAAAAAAATTGCAGTACGCATCCACTGTGGATGTGACTTTGCCTTTAATTTTGTAAACATTTAGCAAACATTTTAAAGAACCGTTTACACGTTTAGCCATTTCACAAAGGCTTTAATTATTGGCGCTCTTAGGAAGTTGGCATGCATGTACATGTAGGTCCCTCTTTACAATTCAGGTTTCATTAAAATGTTTTGGAAGATTTGTAAACAGAGTTAGATTTTTTGTTGTTGAAACATTTAGATGTGTTCTAACGTCACATCCTGATTTTCCACCCTAGTCAATTGTTCATTGTAGTTCAAGATTTGATGATAAAAAAATGTGACCTTTATTTTTTTGGAATGGATGTCCTGATTTCTCAATCTAGCTTTATTGCCAGAATGTCATTTCCCCAAATTCACTGAAAACTATTCATTGTTACATGTGCATGCAGCTGAAATCAAATTAACGACAACTCATTTTCTCGGTCAAACACAATCGAGATGCATTTTTTTTCAAGCCCCAGATACTGTTTTATTCGGTGTAGTGATTGATTTGAATTAGGACGCTCCATGTAATGGCGCATGTTCATGTACTGGCATGTTGAGAGAAATTTAATAACATGATTCGATACAAACGCTGGTTTGGAAAAATGGCCTGTGAATGCATGTGACAGTGAAATATTGGAAATTCATCAAATTTAGAAAAGATTGGCAATTATGAAAGAAATGAGTTGCTTTTTGCATAATCACTTCCGGGAGACGGGAGGAGGTAATTCTTATTGCTTTATAATTAAGTGGTATCGTTTGACTGCTGTTATTGGAGATATTTTGAGTGATGCCGTACATGCTTGTATGAAGGAGAATACAAGGAAAGACATTTGGGAGTGTTTCCTAGATTTGTCCATATGTACATGCATGAATATTTGTTATAAAGGAAACTTTTCACACTTACAACTTTGAGCAGATTCAAACAGTTACATGTACATGTATATCTTTAAACCAATCATCTTTTTTTCATTTGAAAATTATTTATTAAATGAAGTTTTACTAAGAACATTACCAAGTCCGCCACAATCCATCGCTAACTCTGCTTCACATAATCGTAATGCTTCAGGACAAAATCCGCCAAAATCAACCACAAATCAACCACTGCTATAGGTGGTATTTGATGGACTTTTTACTCACGGCTTGCCAACCAAAATCCCCCTAAAATGGGGGATGCATTTTGATGGAGTTGGGAAGAATAGGGTTGATCTTGTGCGCTGAGAAAAAGTCTTCACAACTCCAACAATAAGGAAGAGAACACTCTCCTTATATGACAGACAGTGTCATCATCTCAAGCAATAGCCATCCATGCATCCATCAATGATACTGCAATATTTGTAGTGTCTAGACACTGTTAATGAGGCTGTCTAGAAAGTAATAGTCTTTGTACAGTTTTTTTTTCTTACATAAAAATAAACAATACCTCCAAATACGGAGCAAGTTGAAAATGTAGAAATCCCATTATTTAGGGTCTGTTCACTGACGTGCCTTCTTTGTCTTTCTTATCCCCAACTTCAGGAGCTTGAGGATTTCTGCTTCAAGTTTGCAGTCAACCACATGACGGCTGTCGTCCAAACAGAGGCATTCCAAAACCTAGATGACTACTACCTGAAAGAGTTCCTGACCAAGGCTGCAAAATGGGGTGCTTTTAAATACTGACAGCAGGCCCCTGGGGAACGGGAGGCCCCTGGGCATTTAGAGGCCACTAGGCATTTAGAGGCACCTGGGCATTTAGAGGCTCCTGGGAAGTGAGAGGCCCAAATGACAATGAGAGACCCAAATGGCAATGAGAGACCCCTGGGCAATTGGGGATCCCAGTTGTATTAGAGGGTTTATAGCAGTGAGTGGACCATAGGCTCTAAGAGGCCCCTGAGCATCAAGAGGCACTTGGGCATCAAGAGACACTTGGGCATCAAGAGACACTTGGGCATCAAGAGGCCCCTTAGAGGCCCCTGGGCGCCAAGAGGCCCCTGGGCCCCGAGAAGCCCCTGGGCACAGAGAGGCCCCTGGGCGTCGAGAGCTGAGGCCCCTGGGCATCGAGAGGCCCCTGGGCGTCAAGAGGCCCCTGGGCACCAAGAGGCCCCTGGGTGCCAAGAGGCCCCTGGGTGCCAAGAGGCCCCTGGGCATCAGAAGGCTTCTTGGCAATCAGATATCCTGAGCCTATCGATAGGCCCATGAGCAGTGGAAGGCTCCTGGGTATCATTAGGCCCCAAGGCAACCGGAAGCCCCTTTACAATTGAAAGCCCAATCAATAGGAGGCTCTAGGGTGACAGGAGGCCGCTATCACTAAAACCAGGCAGATCAAAAAGGTTTCAAGTTACCAGCTCCTACTGCTGTAATTGCAGCACACGTGAAATACACATTCCACAGGTTTGATTGCCCAACAAACCTTTTCTTTTTATCCAACTACCTTTTTTTTTGTAAAGTAACCCTCTAGAGCCGCATACAGCCTCAGGCAAAACATTTTACGGGCAGGACAACATCTCAAAATCTAAATTACATGTACCTTCTTCTGTCTGGTTTAGGGATGTCTTTGTGGAAGATGCTTTGCATGCTGAAATTTTGCATATAGATTGATACAGGGGCTCATCCATAGGTTGAGGGTAATCCTGAAGTCTAAGCCTTGGTGGACAGACCATTCCACAGCATTGTCTGGCATACTGTAGATCCTTTCCATTGCTGCCACCTTTGAGGTGCGTTCTCATCAAAGATGGCTGCTGAATGGAAAAGGTACGTCTATTGGAAGGGATTATTTTGCAATAGATATCCTCCAGATGTCACATGTAAATAGTAAAGTCACACAGAATAATGTTTAGCATGAAATGGCATTGTGTGAAGCCATAACCTTGAAGCTGACACCCTATTCTAATTTTGTGCAATTTTGGATGGTGACCCGTTCTACAAATTAAAAAATGTTAATGCGAAGTACATAATGTGCAGTGGTATTGTTAAGTGTTCAGTGAATTTCAAAATGCTGTTTCAAATCTTTCATTTTTTAGCTGTTATAATACATACAAGCTTGTTAATTGGTTGTGCTTCGGATGAGGTGTGTAATGTATATGCACGCTTTTATGACCTCACTTAAATGACAGTCTGTCACGGTTCATCTACGTGGGCTTTCAGCCAATGTCGTCAGCGTCTCAACTCTTTTTGTGAAGGTTGTCAACTGATATTCATTGTCATGCCTCTTAATTCTAAAAAATTAAAAGATTGTAGCTTGACACTGAAGAAGTGCCAGTGGCCATAATTCCATTGTAACAACAGGCCGATTCCATATCTTTGGTTAATGTTTAACCTATATTGGAACAAATCTAATCGGAGTCTATTTTTCACCGGATTTGCGCCCTGATCTTTTCGTTTAATAACGTTTGGCTTGTCAGTCTTTATTTCAAATGGTTCAAAACTTATAAAATGCTGTCCCTCTTATTGTATTCATCTTGTCTGTGTTGCACATAAACGTATATTTTCCTGAGTAAAATGCATACGTATTTTGTGTTGTGTGCACTTTCATTCAGATTTAATTTCTAGCGATGGTTATGCTTCTCATTGTCTTCTCTCTGCAGCTTTCTTCGGGCTTGTGAGCTAAAGTGTCTATATAGGGCGCTTTTGAGGAATCCTTGGTTTCATTACGCCTTAACAAGCTTCAAGCAGCCTTAACAATAGAGAGGAGCATTGGAAAAATATCGAAAAACACTTCCAGTTGAATTTGTTAGACAGTTAGTTAACTGTCTATACAATCATTTCTTCATATAAATACAGGGTTCATGGTAAAACGTATTACAGGCAGACTTCAAAAGCCGACGATTTGCAGTTTCGAAAGCTGACATCACTTCGGCCTGTTCTAAACGCCGTGCTACTGCCGTGCCGATCTCGATTAATGTGACTTTTTTTAATGAGGAAGGAAATAGCATAGCCGACATCCCCCTTCCTGTTAGGCCTGTTTTAAACGCCGTGCTTCTGCCGTGCAGAACTGCAATTAATGTGACATGGCTCGGTACATTGAGTTTGGAACGGCACCATCCTCGGCTCGACAGCGTCTGCCGTCAAGGTGTGATCGTCGTTCCGGACGACAGCGGCACGGCACTGTTCCAAACGCGCCGTGCCATGACCGTGCCGAATTCAATTAAATTCGAAGTTCGGCAATTTAGGAATGCGCATTCTCACAATAATACAAACAATTGGTGCTTTATATATAATGCTTTATATCAAAGGTCTCAAAGCGCTTCATACAGTGATGTAGTGCCTTGATGCTTGGCCTTGGCCTTAAGACTACCTTAAGGCTGGACTTTAGGGCCTTGTCCTTGAGCTAGAGGCTTGAGGGCAAAAGCCTTGGCCTTGAGGGATCAGTGCCTTGCAATTTTGAGTCAAGGCTCTTCAAGGCCCATAGATTTTTGCATTTTCCAGATAAATCTGTTTGAAATTTTGCTGTTACCATTTTAATCGTGTTACCATGGAGGAGGGAAACACCCTATAGATTTGTGTGTTGCGCACACTTTCACTTTTATAGTATCACATTTTGTTACCATTGTAGTACATTTGCTGCAATAATATTCTGTACACTTGTGGGGCTAAGGAGATAATCACTTAAATTGCATACAATTATGGAATAGATTTGTGACTGCTGATCATGCTCTGAATATACACAAGACAAGAAAAGCAGGAGTGTGTAGTACTTCGTGGTCTTTATTCAGTCATTTGACTTTTTGTAAGTGAATGATGGGACTTAGAAAAATATAAGTAAAGCCACACAAAGTTTTAGTGAGTCACTTTTTTTCTAACTGCTGATCAATCTGATTGGTTGTATATGTCTCCCTGAGACCAGTTTTTGCAGCTGCTCGAGCTCAGTGCATTCTGGTCGCCATACCTTCACAGGTACGGTTTCTATTTATCCTGGGTGAAGAGAGACAATTATTGTAAAGTGTCTGGCCCAACAATTCAAGCACCATGCTCCCCGTCAGGGTTCAAACCCACGTATCATGGCACGTTAGTCGAAAACCGTAACCATTTTACCACAGCGCTAACCATGACCTCTCTCGCGTCCGCATCAGGGGGCCTGTGGCGTGAATGGATACTTGATGGTGCAGAAGGTGCATTGACCACAGCGCTAACCATGACCTCTCTCGCGTCCGCATCAGGGGGCCTGTGGCGTGAATGGTTACTTGATGGCGCAGAAGGTGCATTGACCACAGCGCTAACCATGACTTCTCTCGCGTCCGCATCAGGGGGCCTGTGGAGTGAATGGATACTTGATGGCGCAGAAGGTGCATTGAACTGCTTGAAAAATATAGCAGTCTACTCTGGATGCATTACTGCCGTGCGATAACCGAGCAACTGCAGAGCTCAATTCAATTTAGTTCGGCACGGCAGTGATATGGTGTTAGAACAGCTGGCCTAAGTTGTAGGCCTATAGCATGCATCCGCCTATACCCCTTTTGGGATCCGTGCCCTATTTTTGTAAATTGTTACGGAAACTGTTCCCTTTTCTGTTCCACTTTTGTGGCAACATCAATTGTGATTAATATCTCTGCCCCTACTAATGTTGGGGTAGTTTCTTAATATAGCTTCCCCTGGGTTCTTATTTTCGTTTGCCTCGCACTTTTTTTCATGAGCAACTTCCAGGTTAAAAGTTGAGTCGGATTTGATCTGAACATTTGACTGTTATAAATAGCATCAGCCGGAAATGACTTCCAGGGGTGGGAAGGGTTTAAGATTAAAGCTGGAACATTTGGAGCACATTTGTGGATCACATGTCTGATGTAGCAAGTGGTTTATGACACTTCTTTTGAAGGAATAAATTCGAGTGTGAACATTTGGCAGGAAATGTCTAAATCAAACCCTCCAAAAAGAAAGAAGACACACCCTGCAACTGTGTATATACAGTGCCGTAACTGCATGGGGGGGGGGGGGCCGGGTCACTTATGGGGCCACATTTTCCGGTGGGGCAATAACTGGGTTTTGAACAATAAAAAAACGCTCCTGTTTTGCCTTCAGCAGGGGCGGATCATTGGCTCAAGGGGAGGGGGGACTAGCTGCCGGGGCGGGGGGGGGGGGGGGGGAGGAGCAGACATTTGCTCCTCGTTGAGGCTGGCTTGTCTCCCCATGCGCCCCCCCCTTATATCTACTATACCCCTAATTACGGCACTGATGGTTGTTTTAAGACTGAAAAGGTGAAATATTGTCTGGAGCCATCTAACACTGGGTGGCGCTGTTGATCGTGGCCTCATGACTGGCGTCAGTAGGCAGCATCAAAAAAATCAATGAAGTTCATCATAACGCCCATCAAAGAATGAAGTTTCAAAACATTCACCAGAATAAACTTTAACAAGTTTGAATAGTGCCTTTTTTGTTGGTTCGCCAAGAAACCCCACCTCCTCGTTCAAATGCGTGTTGCCTTCCTTTTCGTCTGCTCCAAGGCTTATAGGCCTAATTGTTACCATATGTTTGTGTGTAATGCGTAGGCTACTTTAATCAACGTCTGGGGACGAGACTGCGAAGTGGCAAGCTGCCGCGCACGAAGAAGTGCAAGGCCGGAGTTGTTCTTGTCTGCTGGTTTCTCCGCGACACTGAACTGATTGATCCATACAGTGTCAGTATAAGTGTGAACATCCTGTAAGATGCAGTGGTATCCGTTGGTCGGAAGGTTTGATGAATAGGCAGCGCCTTGGTCTACCGTCTATGTAAAGATGTGCTCTAACGTACGGTAAAGGCTGCATTACAAGATAAGACTGCGAAAGGTGAGTGCACGCGTTAGTATTGTTCAGCAATGTGTATAGTCCGATACTTATCGGCCTTTGTACTATGCCGTGAAATGATCGTATCGAGTGAGAATAAAGTACTGAACCTGTGTTGTATTAAGCGCAGTAACTCTCCTGACATCGGTATTCCGCTAGCTGTTGCTTGTGGTTGATGAAGTTTGACAACGGAGGTTTTCGCGGGCAATATTCTCTTCTATTCAGAACTAGTGTCGTAACATAAATTAATCCTTGTAATTAATACTGTATTATTTCAAAACATTCAAAACATTAAACCTGTATTTTACAACTGTGAGACTAATTATAAGTAGACCATGCCTTCACACCTCATTATTATTTAAAGGATTGAACCCGCGAGGAGTGCAGACGACTGTTTTTAAATTGATGTAGTCTTCTCAACGCCCTTTCCCTCAACGGACTCGTGACATAAGGGGGGGGGGGAGTGCTCCCTGGCGGCAATTACCCCCCCCCCCCTTCCTGTTTTTCGAATTCGTAACGGCCGTCTGCCCGGTTGGTGAGCCACTGTTCTCCCCTCCCCCACCCCTCCGATGAAAAGGGTCTTGATCTGCCTGTGATAGTATGTTTAAAAGCCCGTTTTCGATTGTTTCCCGGAAATAATGTCGGCGGTAAAAACAAAATACCTTGATAATTTGGATAAAAACCAGGACTGTAACTTAGTTTATGTTTCGCTACAACTTTTATTCTGATCTGTTTAACTTTTTACAACATTTAGGCTTAGACCCTAAGCAAAAATGCTAAGCCATGTTTTCAAAGTTCACAAAATTGTTCACATTTTGGATGATCAGACTCTAAACAGTTAGGCCTATTTCATTGGAAAACAAAACTTCCTATATATTTTCCTAGCTTTGGCTCATTTGAGGAGTAAAAATCAGACCAAATTCGCCCCCATAGTCAGTTATGCAGGACTTGAAGCACAGTTTGGAATTTAAGTTCAAACTTTAGCAACTTTAAAAAATACAAACAAATCTTGCCCCATAATGGTTCAAATATTGATTTGCAATGAAAAGGTAAAAGTTTCTATAGGCCTATCCACAGATGGTAAAGTTCGCTGACAATTTGCAGTTAGGGCCTATGGCCTGTGTGAAACCCACAATCCCTCTTTGCTTCCACATAATAGCGACAAAAGACTTCATGTTTGTAATGTTTGAAACGAAAATACACGTCGCCATCTCCATGAAACTAAAGGTTAATGAAATTACAAAATATAAAAAAGTAATGAAAAAATATATAGTAGCTAGGCCCGTCTATAGCAGATCGATAACGATATACACAAAAATTCGTCGGCCTAGATATAGTTGCATTGCGATACCCCAAGTTGTAAAGTATCGGACTAACCCATTTCACAGAAAAAAAAGGAAGAATGCTTCGGAATGCAATGCGTATAGGCCAATGTAGTTGTGATATACTTTAAAGCTTTTATGTTTTCCATTATCACCGTAATTGTACCACGGGATCGTTTCAGAGTATAATGTGCACCGAATTGCATGTGTTCCATGAAACTGTCGATCGTTAATGCCCTTGGCACATTGAAGAAAAGGCAGCGCTTTGCTCAAAGGAGCATGCATACGGCTACATAGGACTGCAATTTAGGCCCAAAAAAAGTCTCCGGTTTCTGGTATGGAGCTTGCCCAAAAAGTGGTGCGGCGACGCGGCTTTTTTTTTTTTTTTACCTGATTTTTTTTGCCTCAAATGTCGGCTGATGACTGCAA